TGAGACTTGTCGTATACCTACTATTCTTTTTTATTGGACCAATAAAGGCCGATCAAGATGTTGACCCGCGCCGGGCCGGTGCTCTCAGATTCCCCGCCGGGCCGGGGGGGGTGTCTGAACACCCTCCCCCTTCTAACTCGGCTCCTGGGCCACGTAGCGACACGCGGTAAGCAGCAATCGAAAGAACGTCCAAAATAAGGACGAAAACACTTTCATTTTTTTTGGTCAGGTCAAAGGTCAGGTCACCAGAGGTCACCAAAGGTTGACTATTTCAACATTTTGGAAACTGCCAACGTCTATCTCGGGAACCGATTGAGCTACAGCGCCGCGGAAACGCGCATTCGATAGCCCTTTTACAGACCTTTCTGAGTAATGCTCTTAGATTTGACCTCAGGTCAACGGTTTAGCCTCCAGAGGGCAAAAACTCCAAAAATAGCCGTTTTTACGAAAAACGTTTTTTCGGCAATAACTTTTGACTCAAAAGAGCCATGACATTACTTTTGCCAGCATCGTGTTCCTCTCGTCGAGACGCGTCGAATGAACTATAATTTGACCTTGAAAGGTCAATTTGAAAATTTGACCCCTGGTCAAGGTCATGACCTGACCGGAAAAGGTCATGTTGCATATCAGTCGATCCGCAACGTCAAGCCGAACACATCTAAGGCGTTTTCAGCGCTCTAGCACCTCTCTATCAGAAGTTATTAGCGAAAAACTGTTAGATTCTGTTCGTGACCTGAGATGACCTCGGGGACATAACGAGGGGTCACAGGTGCCAATTTTCGGTTCAGTGTGTCAATCTTACCTATATCTTGATGTTTGAGAGTGTCTAGAATAGCGTTCGTGCAAAACAGACGCTTTTCAATTTTCCTCCATTGACTTATAATGGAGAGGCCGCAAAATTGACCTGACCTTAGGTCACCGATATCAAAATTCCGAGATCTACATTTTATAGATATTGTTGCTCTTATCGATCGCTGAAAGTTTCAAGGCAATCGATCAATCGGTGTAGCAATGACGAGCATTCTTATTTTTTTCTGAGGTGAGGTCACTTGGCGTGACCTAGTGACCTGACCTAAGGCGACCTGGGTCTGCAATTCCCACAACATGTGCGGAAAAGATGCACGAACAGGTGTGGCAAAAATGGCTGTATCTGCGAAAAACCGCAGGGGGGGTGTTCAAACACCTCCCCCCCGGCCCGGCGCGGGTTAACCACTGACCTAGGGTACTATATGTAGCTCAGTCTAAGACTGGTCAGAGCAGAAAAAGGAAGAGAGAAGTTACATTGAATGGCACACAATTTCACAACTTATCTTTAGTTCATTGGTGCCTTTTCCAATTCGCTAGCCCAATTTCGTCGGAGAGCAAACTCCGATGACATCCAAAGCTTAACCCTCGCCCGCACATGGGGTGGTTGCCACCCCCCCCCCCCCCAGGTAGTCTTTCTGCTCTGCACTCAACATTTTTAGAGCTAGAAGGCTGATTTTTCGTATAGCTGCTCCTCTATCCTTTCTTGAGGTCCACTGAAAATTTCAAGTTTCTGTGATTTTTGGTTTCGGAGATATGACCTTGTTTTTCAGGTCATGTCATGACCCAAATGGCCAATTCTCAACATCTTGCGCCTGCCATGGGCCTTGTGAGCTTTTGACACCCTGATTTCGGCCTTTTTTGCCAGTCTTACCTCCCACCTATCATGGAACATGTTGTTCGACGATGTACAGGGGTCAAGGTCAGGGTCAAGGTCAACCTAGGTCATCTAAGATAATTTCGTTTTAGGCAAGCTGAATTTACTTTTTGTGAAGTTTTTTGACTGCATTTTTGGTAAAAGCTTCTCAGATCATGATTTCATGTAATATGGACCCAAAAACAATCGGTGCACACATCAGTATACACACAGACACACACAGACATACAAACACATATAATTGACCTTGACCTAACTTGACCTGAAATGACCTCAGCAGCAAAATTCTGGTCGGGTAGTGTGACAATGAGGTTCTAGCTGGCTTGGCACCAGAAAACAGCATCGTCATCGGTATTTGATAAGCAGCGCACTTGATATCCAACGGTGACCCAAAACAGCAACATTTTTTAGTTTGACCTGACCTGGAAGGTCAATGACTGACCTGAGAAGGTAAAACTGGGTATCATTGGATTCGTCTCTTCCCAAAGAATCTTTTTGGTCTTTAACGCTAAGCTCTATCTCCAACAGGAACGAAATGGCGCGGGGGGTGGCAACCACCCCCCCCCCCCCATGTGCGTTCTAGGATGGGAAAATGGCATGTGCGGGCGAGGGTTAACCCGCGCACTGACGGGGGTCCGCGCCAACTTAGAACCGACGGGGGGACGGATGACTCCCCCGCCCCTGAGATCTCGAGAACGAAGCAAGATAGCGACAAGCGGTAAACGGCATGGGGTGCGCACGGATAAGGTCTATTTTTTTCTAAAACCCCTGTTTATTTTAAACCTGTTGTGTAATTAATGTTTTTCTGTATCTTCAAAGCTGTTGGCCTGACAGCTCTTCCCGCGAAACCTTTTTTTTATAGAAAACGGCAGAACATGACATCATTCTGACGTCATTGGAGGCCAACGTATTATATTTTAGCATTCGATAGGTATGACTCATTTTTCAAATGTTTTTAATTTAATGTTGATAAATATAAAATTATATATGAGTTCATAAAAAAGATACAGAACGTCAATAGAAAATAGTCAATCTAACAAGCATATGCTTGCTCAGACTAAAAAGTTACGGAACAAAAGTGGCTTTCTGTTTGCAGAAATTCCTAGCTATCAGAGGATTTCGGAAACTAGAGTCTCGCGTTCCAATTAAGTTTGTCGGCTCACTTGCTAACTGAAACTACTATGAACGTCAAACCCCTTGAGGCCCCACCTTTTTGCGATAATTTTTAAATGCGTCAACTTTCGTTGACAATATTCTGGCAATGTATGTTTCAGAACCTGCCGAAACTTTTATTACTAAGGTATTTTGACGCCAAACGATTATGGAAGGTACTTCTCATTCACTCGTAATGCTAAGGTCAATTCAGGCCCGGGCAGAGGCTTGCGCTCGGCCACACTCGAGCCCCGCCACCAGCGCCATCTGCCCTAAATGCCATCTTCCAGCGCCCGCTACCGCTACCAACTACCGCCCACCATCAAGCCTGGATGGAGCGCGAGACGCGAGTGACCGGTCGCCGGGCAAGGAGCGCCAGAGGGGTAGGGCGGAGCTTAGCGCTGACGTCATTACGTGGCTCCGCCTCATGAGCGTGTAGCCTCTACCCAAACAGCAGATTCGTTCCGTGAAATTTAACATTACGAGTGAATGAGAAGTACCTTTCATAATCGTTTGGCGTCAAAATACCTTAGTAATAAAAGTTTCGGCAGGTTCTGAAACACACATTGCCAGAATATTGTCAACGAGAGTTGACGCATTTAAAAATTATCGCAAAAAAGTGGGGTCTCAAGGGGTTTGACGTCCATAGTAGCTGAGGCTGGTTCCACCATCCGCAGACGATCGCCACAGGACCAGCAGGACCGTGTGTCGGGCCCCGGAGCGACTCGAGCCCGGGCTGGGCTCTCACCAACGGCAGCCGGACTCTCGCTGCTGGACGAACGGACAGTAACATATGAGGGCCCTCAGGTGACGGTACAGTCGACTCTCGCTGCTGGACGAACGGACAGTAACATGTGAGGGCCCTCAGGTGACGGTACAGTCGACTCTCGCTGCTGGACGAACGGACAGTAACATGTGAGGGCCCTCAGGTGACGGTACAGTCGACTCTCGCTGCTGGACGAACGGACAGTAACATATGAGGGCCCTCAGGTGACGGTACAGTCGACTCTCGCTGCTGGACGAACGGACAGTAACATATGAGGGCCCTCAGGTGACGGTATAGTCGACTCTCGCTGCTGGACGAACGGACAGTAACATGTGAGGGCCCTCAGGTGACGGTACAGTCGACTCTCGCTGCTGGACGAGCGGACAGTAACATATGAGGGCCCTCAGGTGACGGTACAGTCGACTCTCGCTGCTGGACGAACGGACAGTAACATATGAGGGCCCTCAGGTGACGGTACAGTCGACTCTCGCTGCTGGACGAACGGACAGTAACATATGAGGGCCCTCAGGTGACGGTACAGTCGACTCTCGCTGCTGGACGAACGGACAGTAACATGTGAGGGCCCTCAGGTGACGGTATAGTCGACTCTCGCTGCTGGACGAGCCGACAGGACTAGTGATGTCAGTTACAGAAAATCGAAATACCGATACCAAACCAAATACCAACCAACACCGTGGGGAAATACCGAAACCAAACCAACTTGAGAACATGAGGGAAATACCAACTTTTTACCAATTTCTTAGCCTCTTACACATTAATGAGGGTTCATGATACCAACAATATACCAAACTTATTAGGATTGAAATACCAAATACCAAATTGGTATCGGTTTGGTAACGGTTTACCAAAAAATTGGTATCCGATTGACATCTCTAGACAGGACAATAGTAGCGTATCAATCAGGGCCCTCAGGTGACGAGATACGGGGCAGATCAGAGGCAGCCGATGCTGCTGCTCCGCGCCACCCCGCAGCCCAGCCCGTCACATCAGCCCGACGTGACCCGATGTGACCTGGTGTGACCTGGTGTGACCCAAGGGGAGCGCTAACCACTTGTGACCGGTGTCCCAGGTGATGTGACCGATATTTGGTTTCGAGGGGCGGGCGGCGGCGCGGCGGCGCGCTACATACCGGCTCGTTCCAGAGGGTCGTCCAGACCCCCCCCCCCCCCACCCCGCCTCACCCCCGTGTCGGCGCCTGGAAAGGCCCCGCGGGCGGCGCGGAGTCTCAAGGCCGCTGATTGGCGGAGCCGGCTGGCGGGCGCCTTCCAGCGGGCCCGGCGGCCAATCGGGGCGGCCGTTGCAGGCGCGCCGCCCCGCCGGGTCGGTGTCGAGTGTCGGCCGAGGCTATAAAGGTGACCGGCCGATTCTGCTGGCCACAGGCAGTCCGAACGTACGTACTGCGGCCAGCCGGCGGCCGGGCGTGTGGCTGTGCGAGTGGGCGTGAGAGGTGGTGACCCGACCTGACCTGACCTGACAGCACCCGAGCCGAGCCCGACAAACAGTGAGCCGTATCAGCTGCGAACCAGCTCTGCCACAGACACCTACCAGTCTAAGTCAGGGTTCCCTCGCTGATATAGCGTGCGTTCGACATCCGGATAATCAGGGATATGAATTTTCCGGAATCACCGCGATCATTCGGTGCTTTAGGCTGACACCGTGCACAACGGACACGACAACGAGTAAAAGAGGTACCTATCTGTGAAGCAAAAGCATTATAAAGATGTGACTGAATGCATCGATGGTCTCTGCAATACCAACTAATTGCCAGTGATTCCGGATAATTATCCCTTATTTTCCGGATGTCAAACGCAGGGGTAATGTGTTCGCTACTTTTTACGCAGGCATACTTATTTACAATACGCTAAGTAATAGCCCTTTTCACGGCGGCTATCTGGTACACATATGGTGCAAATTTGGGTGCATATTTGGTCATATTAGGGCATGTTGGGTTAAATTAGGCTCAGTTTGTTTCTTGAAATTTATCAGTTTGGGTAACACAGGTGCCTATATACCTCATTTTTTTCTCAAATTATCAGATATTGTTTTCGATCAACCCGCACCGGGCCGGAGGGCATTTGAACACCCCCTTTGCGATTTTTCGCAGATATCTCAAAAACGGCGGCGTAAAGCGCCGCCATTTTTGGCACACCTGTCCAGGCATCTTTTCCACACATGCTGTTAAAATTTCAGACCCGAATCGTTCAAGGTCAGGTCACCAGGTCACGTCAAGTGACCTTATCTCAGAAGAAGCTCAAAGGCTTGCTATAGCTACGTACCGACTGAACGATCACTTTGAAACTTTCTTTAAGAGAAACAGTAGGTATGTATAAAATGTATATCTCGGATTGTTTATATCGGTGTGGCCTAAGGTCAGGCCAATTATGCGAACTATTCATTAGGTACAGGTAAACTCGACAAGCTGAACTGTGGGTGGGCACCCGTGACCTCTTTTTATGCCCCTGAAGTCACACCAAGTCATGAAAGGTCTTCAGTAATTTTTTACAAAAACTTTTGATGGAGGCATGCTGGAGTTATCAAAACACCTCAGATGTACACCTCAGATGTGTTCACCTCGAAAATACGGAATACGAATCTACTGATATGCAGCATGACCTTTTCCCGTCCTTTTGACCTTGGCGAGAGGTCAAATTTTCAAAAGGACCATTAACCCGCGCGGGGCTGGGGTCTCCAGCCGAACGCGCGGGGCTGGGGGGGGGGGGTAAATTTTACCCCCCTGTTATCTCCCGAACTAATGGTCCGATTTAAAAAATTCAAACGCCAATCGAAAGCTCTCATCACGAACTACTAAAAACATGTACTTAATTTAAAGTTTGAGGTCAAGGTCAAGGTCAGGTCAAGGGTACAAATTGCAAGTTTCTACAGTATCGGCCTTGCGCCGTAGTTGCCGAAGAATGGAGTCATGGACTGAGACTGATCGCCCAAAACGTGTTCTTAGGCTACCAAGACAATATTCGTTGCATACAATATCATTCAGAGGTCAAGGTCAATGTCAGGTCAGGTCAGGTCAGGTCACCAAAAAACAAAATATAGAAAAGGGCATGTGCGACACATGTTTTATGGGTCATTTTACTCATAGAATTCAATAGGCACACTCAATAAGTGATATGGACCACCTCTGGATGAATTTCAGGTCGAGGTCAGGTCAAGGTCAGGTCAAGTGAGGTCAAATTTTGAAGTTGGTTGTTAAGGCCTAAAAAGGTGTCTATCTGATGCAGTTTTTCACGGCAAATCAAATGGTGCTATTTTTGTTTCCGTACGAGGTCTAGAACTTCCAAAAAAGCCATTTTTCAAAAAAATTTGTGTGTCGTGACGTCATAAAATTTTGAATAACTCCCACATTTTTGAACCGATTCTTCTAAAATTTGGTATGTAGGTGCACATAGACCACTTCTCTGACATATATTCCGGTTTTTTCGATAGACTCAAAATTTTGGATTTTATAATGATTTTCCCAAAAAAAATCAGTTTTTTGAAAAAAATTTAGGCCAAAATCCTAAATTTTCAAAAAACCGAGATAGCCATTTGATAGACAAAGTAAAATTACGTTTAACCTTTTTGTGACGTCTTGATTCCTTTAAAAATGAAGATGTTAGCGGCGTTTGAACTTTTGCCGTTTTTGAGGCGAAAATGGCGAACATGACGTCACTAAAACGTCAATTTCTCAAAAATTTTCCGACGGATTTCGCTCAAATTTTCAGGGAACGTGTCAAATTGATGTAATAAAAGGTACTGAAAGTTTGGCGGCGCTGCGCGCCGCCGTTTTTGAGATATCGCAAAAATTCGCGAGGGGGGTAAAATTTACCCCCCCCGCCCCGCGCGGGTTAACCCATGACTGGGGGGAGGCTCTATAGTCTATAGAGCCCCCTCCCATTTTTCGGCAATATCTTCTAAACGGCTTGACGGATCAACACGAACCTTGCGGTACCCTAAGCAGCATCAATTTGACACGTTATTTTAAATTTCAACTTTCTAGCTACCACAGTTTGGCCGGAAATGACGTCAAAGTGACGTCATGCCTGCCGATTTTTATGCAAAATATTAGATTACGGCAAACCCTCTCAAGATCTTTGTTTTAAAGCTAGATCAAAGTTCTTTGCATCAGTTGACTACAAATACACGTAGCTATCAAACTGCTATTTCAAATTTTCGAAATTTGAAACTTTTGAACAATTACAAAAAATATTTTTTTTTTTTATTCAAAAGCAAAAATCGTTTTTTTTTTTCGCAAAAACCAAAATATATGAGATAAAACACACACTGAGGAACTACCTACTTAAGCAAGTTTTAGCCCAATATCTTCAAAGATAGCCAAATTATTTGCATTGGTGTCAAAATTTTACAATTATATATTTTTCGAAACCATATTTAAGAACGTTTTTGACATCGTACAGCAATATAACTGACACCATCGTGTTCCGGAGCTAAAACTGCATTTGATAGGCACATTTTGTGTTGTAAAATTTCATTTTTAAAATTTGATCTTTTCTGACCTGAAATTGACCTGACCTGCGGTATATTCAGCTGAAAATGACCTCAAATGACACAGACGACATTGTTTTAGAAATCTACGAGTAAAATGGACCATAAAACATGCGTCACGTGACCTATACATGATACAAATTTTTGTGACCTAAGATGACCTTGCCTTGACCTGAAAATTTAAAGTAAAAGTTCGGTACCCTCAGGGTGTCTAAGGCATATATCAAGGAGTGCGTACACAAAAAATGAGCCAGATCGGACTTGTCAGCCGGCGGTCAGAGCCTAAATTGAGAACAAGCAAAAATGCCGATAATTTTTACTTTGACCTGACCTGTGACGTCATTGGTGACCTCGAGGTCAATGAAAATAGGATTGGTTCGACGGTTTTTACAGGGCTATCAGACGCTGTTTGAATTTTGACAATCGGCCCAGCAGTTTCGGAGATAGGAGGGGGGAGGCTCTTGAGAGCCCCCCCCCCCCCACACACACACGTGATATGCAAATGTAAATGTTAAAACAAGAGATTAATCGGTTAATATAGATAGACAAATTGAATTATAAGTGGAAAACAATGGGAACGTTTTTGGTTATATTACTTTAAGATGGCTACACATGTGTTTCGATATAAATCTTTTTCAAGCCATAAAGACAAAATAAAATGTAAATAATTCGCCTAAACATCCAAGTTGTCAAAATAGTTTACGGCACAGATTAAAATTCAAATAGCAATGCTTCACACCCGTCGCTTCTCACTTTGCACTTCTAGTTTTTAGATCGTGCAAAATAAGTTCAGCCGTAAATCTGCTCAGTTTCACTTTTCCTGCATTACCATTAAGATTGTCAAAGATGTGAATATAAGCTGCTTCTACAGCCTGCCTATGCTTCTTTGTCAAACCCCTACACAACACAGACATATCATCCCAGTTGGGGAGATGTCCCGCCTCATCTACGCGTTGCACAAGGGCGTTGGACAGACGGTGGTACCTAAGGTCACTCTTATGCTCCTTTTGCCTGGTTTTAATGCCCCTGTATGTTTCACCGACGTAACATTTATCACATGCACCACAAGGAATTTTGTAAACGACACTATCCTCATTAGTAGAACCTTTCTTCTTCGGTTGCACAAGGTTTTTAATGGTCAGGCCCGCTGGGGATGAAATATTGATAGTTTCCCTTACAAAATTGTCCACAGCTTCTACAGGGTGTCCCAGAAGTCTTGAAGCTTTTTTGTTTTTGTCGTGTGACCTTGCTATGCCACCGATTAAGGCGAATTATGCCTCAAACGAAAGAGAATGAACTGAAATTTTGTATTTTCATGCGTAGAGCACCACTTTAGTCAGGTGGCCCCCGTTGTGAGTCGCACAAGATTGAGCACGAGAGATCACGTTCTTCGCTGCCGCCAAGATCTCCCGGTTTGCGAAACACCGGTGTCGCCATGCCCGTTTCTGGTCAGCTTCAGAGCCTTATTTCATGAAGCGAGCCAGGCGCCAGGAAACAGAGTATTGGATCTCCGAGAAAACATTAGCAACATAATGATTTACTGATCAGAAAGTCTCCTGACATGTTTGCACGCATCCATTACGGAAATAAGGCTCAGCTGCTTGAGCACGCTAAGCAACAGCCCGTTGTAATCCTTTGATTCGTCGCATTATTATGGGGCTAAAACAAATATCAACCCGTCGGAAATATATGTCGCTAATATTATGTCCCTCGCTTCAGGGAATAAGACTCTGAAGCTGACAAGAAACGGGCATGGCAACACCGGTGTTTCGCAAATCTTGGCGGCAGCGAAGAACGTGATCTCTCGTGCTCAATCTTGTGCGACTCACAACGGGGGCCACCTGACTAAAGTGGTGCTCTACGCATGAAAATACAAAATTTCAGTTCATTCTCTTCCGTTTGAGGCATGATTCGCCTTAATCGGTGGCATAGCAAGGTCACACGACAAAAATAAAAAAGCTTCAAGACTTCTGGGACACCCTGTACTTCTTTTGATGCTGGGACTGAGAGATACCTCCTCTTGCTATTCCTTGTGGCGTTTGAAGCTCTAGCTCGTATTTTGACGGCCCTCTTCTCTAGCTGACATAAAAGACCTGGCGGGTACTTGAGTCCAATAAATACTTCTTTAATGTAGTTCAGCTCGTCCCTGATAAATTCTTCTGAGCAAATGCGAAGTGCTCGAAGATAAAATCCCAGCACGACTCCAGTTTTTGTTCGACTGCTGTGCGCCGAGTAGAAGTGTATCAGGTCATTCTTGTTGGTGGGCTTCCGGTACACTGAAAATACAGCCTTGTTGCCCCGATTATGGATGCACGCGTCCAGAAATGCAATAGTGCCATCTTCCTCCTCTTCGGAGGTAAATTGTATCTTCTGATGCACACTGTTCAGCTGCTGCAAAATACAATTTAAATCCACATCTTTGTTGATGATGACCAGAATGTCATCGACATACCGGAGCCAGGTCGTATCGGTACCAGCAATGCTCAAGAAGTGGTCCGCTTCTAATGTCTCCATGAAAAGGCAGGCGAGTACCGGGCTCAACGGCGAACCCATCACCAGGCCATCAATCTGCTTGAATTCGGTCCCTTCAAATTCCAAAGCCCCAAATTTCACGCAGAGACGTACCAGCCTAACAAAGTCTTCCCTTGGCACTGGAAGAGTGATGTCCGGGTTTTGGTCTAACACTCTGGAGACAGCTTGCATCGCCCCTTCTATGGGCACGTTGGTAAAGAGGGCTTTTACGTCGAAGCTTGCAAGTTTTTTATTGGTTAACTCCATGTCTTTCAATCTATTAATCAAATCTCCCGAGTTCTTCAAGTGTGACTGGCTGGTTCTCCCTAGCAGGTCAGACAGGGGTTTGGCTAGTTTCTTGGCGAGCTGGTGGGGAGCGCTGCCCACACCTGAGGTAATGGGGCGCATCGGATTGCCAGCCTTATGCGTCTTGGGTAGGCCCCGCATCTTTGGAGTTGCCGGTTTTTCTTCTAATAGGTGCTGCAACTGTTTCCCTTGGTCAGAACGGGCGAGAATTCGCCTCACCTTTTGATTAAACCGCTTACTTTCCTTTTCTGCCTGGCCGTTTGTGACTTGTTTGTATGTAGAAGTGTCATTCAACAAATCAAACATTTTCCTGTTGTAGTCGGCATAGTTCATGAGGACAACTCCACCTCCCTTATCCGCTGTGGTCACTATAATACTGCCGTCTTTGGATATTTCTTTGAGGGCAGTTAAGTATCTCCGAGGTAGAGAGCGCTTAGCGTCTTTGGAGAACGCAGAGCAACTTGCTGTGAATCCTTGTATGAAACCTTTGTCGATGTCTGTGTCCTTGAATCTATAGTTTCTCATAATGGTCTCAAGCAGAGAGCTTTTGTTTGATCCAACTGCAAACTTCAAGCCTAATGATAAGGCTTCAGATTCCGTCTCCGAGACCTGACGGTCGGACAAGTTTGTGATCATCTCGCGATTGCCTATGTTCTTCCAAGGACTTGTGTCGCATAGCTGTTTAAGTTGAGAGTCCAAGTGCCTCTGGTGTTCACTTTCCTCCTGTTTCAGCCTTGTCACCATATGGTGTGGCAGGTGTACGTCACTGAGTTGACCCTGCAAAACCACCAGGCAAAAGGAGCATAAGAGTGACCTTAGGTACCACCGTCTGTCCAACGCCCTTGTGCAACACGTAGATGAGGCGGGACATCTCCCCAACTGGGATGATATGTCTGTGTTGTGTAGGGGTTTGACAAAGAAGCATAGGCAGGCTGTAGAAGTAGCTTATATTCACATCTTTGACAATCTTAATGGTAATGCAGGAAAAGTGAAACTGAGCAGATTTACGGCTGAACTTATTTTGCACGATCTAAAAACTAGAAGTGCAAAGTGAGAAGCGACGGGTGTGAAGCATTGCTATTTGAATTTTAATCTGTGCCGTAAACTATTTTGACAACTTGGATGTTTAGGCGAATTATTTACATTTTATTTTGTCTTTATGGCTTGAAAAAGATTTATATCGAAACACATGTGTAGCCATCTTAAAGTAATATAACCAAAAACGTTCCCATTGTTTTCCACTTATAATTCAATTAATCGGTTACATTTGGAGAATCTTGGTGCATTCGTCAGAAAACCTGTCGCGAAAACGGCCACTATCTGTGCACTGCGTTTCTAGGTTCTTTATGATTAGAACCGCCATGCCAACATGTGAAATGAGGCTTGTCTCATGGATTATGGTGTGTGTCAAGGCCACTTGAAGATCAGGTCAAGATCATTTACATTTGTTACCTCCACTCGCTTTACCCCTCGCCGGACCAGGGAGCGTTGATGCACCCCCCCCCACATCTAAGGTTTTTAGCAAATAATGTAGGCGCGTAGCGCCGCCAAATTTGGCATAACCTCTGGGGCAAACTTTTGGCACCTTCTCCGAGAAGTTCCGGTCTCTGTCATTTCAGGTCAGGTCGCCAGGTCACCAAATCCGGTACAATGTCAGGGTAAAATTGGACTATATTAGCGCCAACGTAATCACTGCCTACGTTTATCGTTAATTGCGTAAGAACTAAGAACTGTGAGACTTGGAGCCACCAAATTTCGGACACAACTTGGGGCAGCCATTTGGCACGTTTCCTAGGAGTTTTGTGCTAGAGGTCACGCCAAATTTTAAGAAAACTTGTCTGAATAGCTCCAAGGGCAAAAATATGCTCCATTTCAACGTTTCTGTGTCGTTTTAGCTCCATCAAAGATGAATTCGGTGTTTGATTGCTGAAAAAAACACTTAGGTCAGGTTATCTGAGGTCAAATGAGGTCAAATTACGTTTTTGCTAACAACTTCGCACACAATTGGGTTAGGGCTTCAAAAATAATGTCGTTGTGTTCCTTGTGATCAGCCGAACCGAATGATAAGCGATATGATGCATTTTTTGTTAACTTGAACTTAATTAACCCTCGCCCTGGCAGGGGGGGTCGATGCGACGCCCAGCTAAGATTTTTCGAAGATAGCGTAAAAACGGCGGCGCGCAGCGCCGCCAAATTTGGCACAGCCTATGGGGCGACCTTTTTACATATGACCTTAAAATTTCAGGTCCGGGTGACCTTGGGTCAGGTCACCAGGTCAGAAAAAACGGTACAAGGTCATGGTCAAATTTCAATTTTCTTTTTGCACCTGTCCAACTCACAGTTTTGGACTGATTTCCTTCAAACTTTCAGGATGTGCTAAGTTCACCGAGTTGTATAACATATAGTTCGGGTTTTTTGAGGTCACTGACCTGAGGTCAGTTAGAGGTCATTACGTCGTAATGTTAAGCCTATGGGAAAATACTAAATTCGGAAAATACTGGAGATATCCGCTTCATTCTATCACTTTTGTGCTTTGAAACCACAGTACTTAACAGCAGGTCACTTGGTGCTGCTTTGTTTGGTGTCATTTCCATGGGTCAGGTCAAATGAGGTCAACTGAGGTCAAATGACGTTTTTGCCAATAACTTGGCACATAATGACGCTAGAGCTTAAAAAATGGTATCATTGTGTTCCTGGTGATCAGCCGAATCGAATGATATGCAATTTGATGCAATTTGGTTAACTTGAACTTAATTTATTAATTTAAGTTTACTTAAAATTTAAGAAAAACTTTAAGTACACTTAAGCAAGCTAAAAAGTATATCATTCGACGCGCCTTGACGTGCTGAGTTCACTGGTGCTTTTCTTTTTGCTCTATCTTAATAGTACATACCTACCATGGCACTGAGAGTGTTGCAAGGCAGCGACATTTTTGGACCGGGCAGGGACACCATAGGTCAGTGATCTGACATGACCTGAAACTCCGATCAGTTGTACAACATCTGAATTAAATTAACCCGGCGGCCTCTGGGCCTCCGCTCCACCCGCCGGCCGCTGGGAGGGGGGGGGGGCTTCTCTTACTTTTCCGACGATTTCGTCGCAATGCAAAGAGACAGAGAAGCGAAAGTTTGCACACATATTCCTGAATAGCTGGCCAAAGTTGTGTCCAAATTTGGTGTCTACTGTCTATCCTTTACAAAGTTACGTCACAGTGACGTCAGAAGTCTAATTGAATATTGACGTTTTTTTTTTTTTGTTTCCTCACGACATACACGATACCTATGTGTAGCCGAATATATAAGACCGATCATTGGTCAGGAACTAGTTGAAAGGGTATTAAGATGCGAAAAAACTAAAAAAAGACTAAAAGAAAGACTGAACTTTATGACGTCACTATGATGTCATCTGATGTGCTACAACTATCAATTTTTCGTCAAATATGGCCTAGGTATTCTTTAGAAGCTATACAAAGTATCAAGCTTATATCTCATTAGGTTTCGGAGCGAGCACACAAAACGTAAAGGGGGAGGGGCAACTGTACGTTTGTTTGTTTGTTTGTTTTGTTGGGTTAGGCCCTTTCGGTCGACAAGACCATTGCAGAGCCGGAAGGATGATAGGAATTAGGGGGAGACATTGGTCTGGGCAGGCACCCTAGTGAGTCGCCGGGACTGAGCCCGTCCAGAGGACAGGCCACCCAGCCCCAAGGCACTCACTGCACCCGGCTACGGGGTGCGCTCCCTCAGGAGCAGCGGTGCCGCTCCAAGGGAGCAGCCCGCATGAGATAAAGTTGCCTGTCCAGCCCGGAGGGTGGTTGTGGCGTGGAGGAGAAGGATTTCAGTATCCTGAGGATAGAAGCACGGATAGGTGTGGCAACTGTACGCCATCACCGCGCCCCCTAGCGGCTTGTGGCAGTGCACTTTGCTGTCAGTTTCAGGCGAGTTGGCCGTTTGTTTCAGTTTGGCTTCTGTTGATTTTCAGGGAGGTCTCCGTCCTAGCGTTTGGCGGCTGACCTGTGACGTCACCGATCTCCAGCACCAGCTACCACCACCAGTGACCAGCACCAGCACCAGCCATGGCTCCCAAGAAAACCGACCCCGCCGAGGACCCCGACCCCACCCCCTACCTGTAAGTACCACTGTGCCACCACTAACACCGGGTACCGCTGTACCACCACTAACACCGAGTACCACTGTACCACCACTAACACTGAGTACTGCTGTACCACCACTAACACCGGGTACCGCTGTATCACCACTAACACCGAGTACCGCTGTACCACCACTAAAACCTGGTACCGCTGTACCACCACTAACACCGAGTACCGCTGTACCACCACTAAAACCTGGTAGGTACTGATGGATCATCAGTAATTCACTAACGTACCAAGTGCAATGACTAATACAAAAGTCTACGCGTAGACCTTATAGCGTAGACCTTCACACATTACTGGTGTATGTAGGTACCTACTGGTGAATGTATGAATGATGTATTTCGGTGCTTCCACCACGAAATGGGTATTCCAGCAGCCACATCGATGAACATTTGAACATCAAGTACCTAATGATTAATCGAATCGGTTAAGTATAATAACCTCGCTCATGTATACTAGCAAATGTCTTCTGACTAGGCCCTGGACTGGTTAGGGGCATTTATCACCGCCTCTCCACTGATCTTATCAACACCTCACCAGCCTCTGCTTACCGCTGGTCAGATACAGACATCCGCTGATCAGATAGACATCTGCTGATCAGATGCAGACGCATCTGCTGATCAGATGCAGACGCATCTGCTGGTCAGATGCAGACATCTGCTGATCAGATCTGCTGGTCAGATGCAGACATCTGCTGGTCTCCATCTGCCCCCGCTGACCCTGGCGGGCCCCAGAGCTGACATCACGGACTTCTGGTGACCAAACCCTGACTCGGACCTCCACTGACACTGAGCTCCACTGGCCTCTGACGACCTCTGACCTGACCCAGAGCTGACCCCGACTCTGACCTCTGCTGACCTCCGACATACCCTGGAGCTAACCCCGAGCTGGCCCAGATCTGGCCTCTGACCTGACCCAGAGCTGACTGACCTCTGACCTAGCCTCCACTGACCTGACCTCTGGCCTGACCTCTGACAGGTACGTGTCCCTGGAGCAGAAGCGGCTCGACCAGAACAAGCCGTTCGACGCTAAGGTGGCCGCCTGGGTGCCGGACAAGGAGGAGGGCTTCGTGCAGGGCAAGATCGTCGGCACCAAGGGCGACCTGGTCACCGTGGCCATCCCCGGCGGAGACGTGAGTCCCCCTCCCCGGCGGAGACGTGAGTCCGCCTCTCCGGCGGAGACGTGAGTCCCCCTCCCCGGCGGAGACGTGAGTCCCCCTCCCCGGCGGAGACGTGAGTCCCCCTCCCACAGTGGAGACGTGAGTCCCCCTCCCACAGTGGAGACGTGAGTCCCCCTCCCACAGTGGAGACGTGAGTCCCCCTCCCACAGTGGAGACGTGAGCACTGGGCATAAGGCCGGGAGCCGACCTCCACCCACCCACCCATCCACGTATGGAGCATGGACGGGAGAGCGGCCAGGGACACCCGCCATCCCCAGACGTGAGGGACGGGGAGGGGGCGGCGGGTGGGTGTATGCTTAGACGACGTCTCAGCCTCTCGGCAGATTCTCACCTTTTCACCTTTCTCGCGTTTCTCACCTCTTCAAGAAAGTTGTTGCTCGCATTTTCAGAGGTGTGCTATCAAACCTCCTTCCGTTCACCTCCGGCCCCGGACCCCTGATCTTTGACCTGTGACCTGTGACCTCGGACATGTGAACCCCGATCTTATCTCTGCTCTCTGAGCTGTGACCTCAGACTCCTGATCCCTGAACTGACCAGTGCCTCTGACCCTGACCTCTGACCTCTGATCTTTGATTTTTAATCCTGGCCTGTGACCTCTGAACTGTGACCTCTGACCTCAGGAGAAGAGCATCAAGAAGGAGCAGGTGCAACAGGTGAATCCGCCCAAGTACGAGAAATGCGAGGACATGTCCAACCTGACCTACCTGAACGATGCGTCGGTGCTGCACAACCTCAAACAGCGCTACTTCATCAAACTCATCTACGTGAGTGGACTCGGAGGGTCTCAGAGGGCTGACGGGAACTCTCAGCTAAGTGAGGGGATTCAGAGGGTCTCAGAGGGCTGACGGGGACTTTCAGCTACGTGAGTGGGCTCAGAGGGTCTCAGCGGGCTTATGGGAACTCATCTACATACGTGAGTGGACTCAGAGGGTCTCAGCGGGCTGACTTTCTACCCAGTCGGTGGGCGGGCTCGTGTTGGAAGCTGTGTACTTTAAAATTTCACCAAAAGTTAAGCAAACTCAACAGTTCCTTAGTTCATGGTTTAAAGTAACTGCCTGAGCCTCATACCGCACATCACTCGGCGCGGCTGATCAAGAGGAACACAGTGACACGATTTTTATGATTTAGCTCCAAGTTATCAACAACAACGTAGTTTGACGTCATTAGGCCCCAGCTGACCTGAATCTAGCGTTCTTGCACCAAAGAAACCCAGCTCAAGTCACGTGTCGGTATGCATTTGGGTATACGAACACAAACGGAGCGAATATTTTTATCATATATTTTCAAAATTGGATCTACATATTGGAAGCTTTTCTCACATACGACATCATGACCTATATGTAGATGGCCTGAAGTCTAAGAAATAAAAAAATCGAAGTTCTCAATAACACTCAGTATTGAAATAAGCACACCCTGCAAGTTGGAATAAAATCGATGCCCAACTCCAAATTTCACAGCAAGTTAAGTGCACCTTCAGTGCTATTTCGCTGATGTCCCTGGTAACCTGACCTGAAGATACTGGGACTGAAAACTTTCAGAAAATGTTATTAAAAGGTGTTCTTAAGTATGCTAATTGCGCCGCTGCGTCTCACCATTGTTACGCTATCTGCGAAGGAAGGGGAGGGGTACATCGATTCGACCTGCGCCGGGCTGGAGTTAATGTTTCTCGACCCATACGAGAAATTTAATGTTTCTCGACCATTTTTCTGTCACCTCCCTGCTGTCCTCTGACCCGGTGCCCTGACCCGGTGCCCTGACCCGGTGCCCTGACCCGGTGACCTGACCCGGTGACCTGAACCGGTGACCTGGCCCGGTGACCTGACCCGGTGACCTGACCCGGTGATATGGCCCGGTGACCTGACCCGGTGACCTGGCCCGCCGCACTAACCCGGTGCACTGACCCGGTTCGCCGTTTCAGACGTATTCGGGTCTGTTCTGCGTGGCCATCAATCCGTACAAGCGGTTCCCCATCTACACCAACCGAGCCATCGCCATCTACAAGGGCAAGAGGCGCAACGAGGTGCCGCCGCACATCTTCGCCATCTCGGACGGCGCCTACACGGACATGATGAACAGTGAGTGATGTCACTGGGGTGCTGCAGGGTAGTGACGTCACGCACGGGTACTGTCACAAGGACATGATAAGCAGTGAGTGATGTCACTGGGGTGCTGCAGGGTACTGACGCCACGCACGGGTACTGTCACAAGGACATGATAAGCAGTGAGTGACGTCACTGGGGTGCTGCAGGGTACTGACGCCACGCACGGGTACTGTCACAAGGACATGATAAGCAGTGAGTGACGTCACTGGGGTGCTGCAGGGTACTGACGGCACGCACGGGTACTGTCACAAGGACATGATAAGCAGTGAGTGACGTCACTGGGGTGCTGCAGGGTACTGACGCCACGCACGGGTGTCGGGTACTGTCACAAGGACATGATAAGCAGTGAGTGACGTCACTGGGGCTACTGCAGGGTATGACGTGACAGGGAACCGTCGGATGATCACGCCATGCTCGGTATTGTTGGTCGGCGGTCCTTTCTTCAGCTGGCAGGCTGGGCCTTACTCCAAGTCACACACAGCACCAATTTTTAAGAAACTGAAAATACTTAAGTTGAGAGACATTGGTAAGCAGCAGATGCTTCTGCTAATGCATAGAAAGTTGAAAGGAACTTTGCCTTCATCTATTGACAGACTTTTTACGATACTCGAACCGCTTCGAGATACTCGCTCGACCCATCATTTCCACGAGTTCTTCTCAGAAAAAAAATTATCGCAGCTACACTACTAGGTGGTCTGCACCTAGAATTTGGAACTCAATAATTGGTCCTAAGTTCACAGATATGGAAGCAGTTCCACTAACAAAGAGAGAAATCAAGGATTTCTCAAAGCAGTTTTTTATCGATCAATATTGATACCATTGCCAACACTGACATTATTGTTCTTGTGTTCCACCTGCGTTCGTAAACATACGAATACCTGCCAATGAAATGATCCCCCATTTTATTTATTGTGGGTATGTACGTACATTTACCTGATAATGTATTTTTTACCCGCTCTCTCACAGGTACATACTTGCACAGTACATAGTTTATAAAGACAAATTACAGAATTTGTCTTTAATGCATATCACTTATGCATACCTAATTTTGGAACATTGTACATCTCTGTAACTTGGTAGGTATGTTCTAACTGGGTACCTAGATCGCCACAAGAGGTGGTGGTATTTAGTGGTCCTTATGTCTTTTCCCTGTTTGTCTTTTACTTCTTCTCGAACTTTTATCCTACATTTTTGTTTTGCCCTTTTCTTTTTGTTAAGCTTTGCTTTTTCTCCCTATAAACATCATACAGTACGTACAGTACTAACTGTATGTCTTTGAATCATCGCCATCGCTCAATGACCTAGCTTTCTTGCTATTTACATTACTTGCTATTTGTATACCGGTCGTCTCGTCTTGTTTTGTGTACTTACAAGTCACACTTAAGTTCTCCTGGATACGTAACAATATGTAAATCAGCCCTACGATACTTCCCACCGACCTGGGTTTACCGAGCAACAAGCTTGCTTAGCTCGGTATCCCTTTTCGGTGAGGATCTGACTCCTCCGGGTGTGACTAGGCTCTGTCCCTCTTCTATAATGCAAGCTTTGCATGCGCTTATTACCACTAACCCCTGGATCACTCTCTCCTTCTTACTATTTTCTTTGGGAATGATGTAGCGGCCAGTCAAGCTACATTTAGTCTTGACTTCTTTGCCTCTTCTTATGACATTTTACTAACTTACTAAGTATTGTATTTAGCTTTGTTTTTGTTTGCTTTCCTTTTCTTAGCAGGGAGTGTCGCGACTTTCTTCATATTTTTGTCTTGGGAGGTGTTAACGTAAGGTGCTGTTGTCGCGTGGGTCAGTGGGTGGACACTCCTGGTCGTCTGATCATGGGCGGCGGCTTAGGAAAAAAAAAAGTATGTTGGCCGCGTTTCACTGGCGCCCCAGGGCCGGCCGCCGCCGTTCCAGCCGCGCCGCGCCGGCCCGCCAGGATCCAGTCCGCCAGATCACTTTCCGCGCGCTATTTTCGGCGCGCCTTCGGGCCGCCTGGAATCCAGGCCCCGCGGCTATATTGGGCCGCCGCGCCGCTGCTGCCACCTGTGGGCGGCCGGCGCAGGCTGGCGGTGAGCGGGGTGTTGGTGTGTTTACACTGGCGGCACAGCGTTAACTCGCCACTGACGGAGCTCTCTGGTTTCAGACTCGGAGAACCAGTCGATGCTGATCACGTGAGTAACTGGCCGGGGCGCCTGGCGAGCAGCGGACACGGTCCAGTGCGCGGCAGATATAGCAGTGCAGACGCGGCCGGGCAGTGCGCCCTGTCCATTGGACAGCAATGCCGACGAGGCATATCGAGAAAACATTTTTTCAGCAAATATCTGTCCTGAAAGTCTGATCTTAGACATCATACATATCTATTGTTATTTCAGATTCATTGCTTTTACAATTAACAGACTGATAAATTCTCTAAAACAGGGAAGTTATCCTATCATAGTTGTATCATTGGCATCCTTTGCGGAAAGAGTTAGGTATTCTTCATAACCGCAGGTTGTTTGAAATAGACAAACACCATTCGTTAGCATTGCGTTGGTTTTTCTGTTCAATAACGTGTCGTTTCGTCCTAGCCTCGATGTTATACCAATATCACTTGAATTATGTGCGTGTACCCTTCTCCACAAGCACGACCTTAGCCTATAGAAGAAGACTTAAATTAATCCTCGCCGGCCGAGGGGGGTGCCTCCACCCCATAGGGTTTTTTTTTCGCGATAGCTCCGAACACGCTGGCGATAGAGAGCTGCAACTTGACATACCTGAACCTGACTTTTGATTCAAGTCGGATCTTTTGACTTGACACCAATTGCATTTTCGGGTCAGGTCAGGTCACTGACCTATGACGTCATAAGTGAACCTCTGCACGGTCTTCAGATGTCGCAACTTCGCAACGCCCTCACTGCCAGAGGAGCTTTCACAGGAAAATGAAACTTGCAGGATCTAGTATCCATTACGAGTCTCACAACCTGTATATCTCGGATTCTTCGTAAAGGTCATATGTGGTCAGGTCATTTTCGTGACCTCACCATTATAAGTCAATGGGGAAAAATAGAAACTGCTATTCTGGTGCTGGGAACGATCTCCACCTATCTCAAGCACACAGAACCGTGATTTGATGCACTCCTTGCAAGGTAAGATGCGTCACTTTTGCAATGTTGACCTTGCGTGACGTCATTTATGACGTCATCAATGTCATATTAGTTTTTCGTCAATAACTCCCGATCAAATTGAGCTAGCGAGTCGGGAAAGCCACCAATGGACTCAGGAGACCTGCCGAATCAAAAAATATGCGACATGACCTCTTTCGACCAACTTCGTGACCTGGGGGCGCTAACATGACCGTGACCTGAGGTCAATACCCTATAGACCTGACCCAAACAAAAAGTATATCATTCGACGCGCCTGAGCGAGGCGAACACGATGCTGCCAAAATCGTGGCTCTGCGGCCGTTTTTGCGAAGTTATTCACAAAAAAACTGAGCCGTACTTTGGGGCACTTGACCTGACCTCAGAGGTCACCGGTTGACCCAGGACCTTAAAATCTGTTACCAATCTCTGCGTCTCGTAACGGCGCACACGCTCGTTTTTCAACCCCCCCCCCCCTCGGCCGGCGCGTGTGTAGAAAACCAATAGGTCCGGCGAGGGTTAAAACGCTTCATGTAGGTATTGTGGGAGATCACATTTTGTTGCAAACTACACACTTGTCAGGCCTATTTTTGTTCTTCTACCGTTATTCACTGGCATCCATCCGCTGAGCCGCGATGTCCCCAAATGACGTCACTATGACGTAATCACTGGTCCCGACAGCGGGGAGTCCGGGGCCGGGAAGACGGAAAACACCAAGAAGGTCATCATGTACTTTGCGCGGATTGCGCCGTCCGGCTTCAAACAGCAGTTTGCCTGCGGTGTGAGTGTCTCCAAACAAAATGGCCGCCAAACCAGCTGACGCCGGAACTAGCCAGATGACGCGACGCTAACGGGGCGGAACTAGCCAGCTGACGCGACGCTAACGGGGCGGAACTAGCCAGCTGACGCGACGCTAACGGGGCGGAACTAGCCAGCTGACGCGACGCTAACGGGGCGCAGGCGCATGGCGGAAATAAAGCAGCGCGCGAACAGCAATAGCGGAGCGCGTAAACGGCAGTAACGCGGCCTTTCTCCCGTCCCGCTAAAAATCTGGATCCTTTACAGTGCCGTCGCCCGCCCTCCGTCCTCCGACCAGAGCCGGCCACCTCACGGGAGACCGTTCCAGTCCCCCGCTGGGCGATACACTGCCGCATGCAGCCAGGAGAAACGACCAAGAGCAGCGCTCACAGGGCCAGTAGAATCTCAGCAGCCCCTATGACGGATATCCCCGTGGCCCTACGGACGGAGGTCCACGCTGTTACTGCGCCACAGCCCGCACCCCGCGGGCGGAATGGGTGACCCGGCGGTCAGCGCCGTCAGCCCCGTCAGCCCCCGGTGGACAGCGCTGTGCGTGACGTCTCTACAGCCCGCCGAGAGCGCCACCGCCACCAGACCCGGGCACCCGCCACCACCAGACCCGGCCCCGGGCACCCGCCACCAGACCCTGGTCGGCCCCTCCACCACCAGACCCGGGCACCCGCCACCACCAGACCCGGGCACCCGCCACCAGACCCGGGCACCCGCCGCCACCAGACCCGGGCACCCGCCACCACCAGACCCGGGCACCCGCCGCCACCAGACCCGGGCACCCGCCACCGCCACCAGACCCGGGCACCCGCCACCACCAGACCCGGGCACCCGCCACCGCCACAAGACCCGGGCACCCGCCACCAGACCCGGGCACCCGCCACCGCTGCACCAGACCCGGGCACCCGCCACCGCCACCAGACCCGGGCACCCGCCACCGCCACCCGACCCGGGCACCCGCCACCAAACTCTGCCGTGGCTGGCTCATTGACTCGCCGCCACTGACAGCTAACTTGTCCAGTCTCGGCTCCCCACTCCGGCTCAGCAGCGGCGGGTGCCCTCGACGGAAGGAGCTCATCCCTGACGATGGGCAGACCATGGCGGCCACAGCCGACCGTCCCAGCGGCGACCTTCTCCCCCGCAGCAGATGGGTGGCCCTCGCACCTTCTGAGGGATGCGAGATCGCACCCTCACTCTCCCTCCCCCTGAAGGCTCCTTCGGATCAAACGACACTTTTCCCCGGCGGGCTCCTTCTCCCCAAACGGTCGTCCCTGTCCACTGACCGCTCTCCCCAAACGGTCGTCCCTGTCCACTGACCGCTCTCCCCAAACGGTCGTCCCTGTCCACTGACCGCTCTCTCCCCGACGGCCCCGTGCTCTCTCCCCGACGGCCCCGTGCTCTCTCCCCGACGGCCCCGTGCTCTCTCCCCGACGGCCCCGTGCTCTCCCCCTGACGGCCCCTCCTCCCCTGACGGTCCGTCGTTCCCTGACGGCCCGTGTTCTCTCTCTCTCCCTGACGGCCCGTCGGACGTCCCCTGACGGTCCGTCGTTCCCTGACGGCCCGTGTTCTCTCTCTCTCTCCCTGACGGCCCGTCGGACGTCCCCTGACGGCCCGTCGCCCCCTGACGGCCCGTCGCCCCCTGACGGCCCGCTCCTCCCTACAGCGGCGAGTCCGGAGCAGGAAAGACGGAGAACACCAAAAAGGTCATCGCCTACTTCGCAAATGTCGGCGCATCGGGCAAAAAGAAGGAGGATGGCAAGGTGACCGTGCCGCCGCCCTGGCGGCTGTCGTGTGAACTACTGTTTCTCAGTGCAGCCGCAGACCGGCCGGCGGGAGCCGCTGTCCCTCTCTAATTTGTGTCCCTGAACCTTGCAGCTGCAGCTGTGTTCACAGCTCTGTTATTTTGTTTCACCCTTTCTAGCTGTCTTCTGAGGTGCTTATAGCATCGGGCAGACCCGTCGCCGTGCGTCCCTGTGTGACCTAGTGCGCCCTCTGCACGCCACCCAGCGGCCCTCAGACGGCGCCCTGTGTGACCTAGTGCGCCCTCTGCACGCCACCCAGCGGCCCTCAGATGGCGCCCTGTGTGACCTAGTGCGCCCTCTGCACGCCACCCAGCGGCCCTCAGACGGCGCCTGCCCCAGGGGGGACTCGCTGGATCCCCCACCACCGCCCTGTGCGGCTGGCTGGCCCCGCCCCCGAGTGTGATTACCCCGCCCCCGAGCGTGATTACCCCGCCCCCGAGCGTGATTACCCCGCCCCCGAGCGTGTTTACCCCGCCCCTGAGTGTTTGCCAAGCGCGTCTCTGACAGCGCGCTCCCCCTTCGTCCGATGCACCTTCCAATAGGTCGGAGTAAGTTAATTACACCCCACTGGGTTACATCTAGGTATGTACTCCGGCTGCATACACTGCATGGAGTCTTCACGGCGCACTGGCGATACTCCGCCGCTAGGAGCTGCTGTACTCGGCTGTCTGCCGGCGAAATGACCCGAACTTTCACCCCAGTCCAGCCACTGCAGAGGGGCATTCATAACGGCCATGTGGCACTGGCGACGCCAATGTCCAGTGGCGAGGGATCTACTCTCAGGGGTGGGGGGGGGGGGGTGTCACATCTGATACTTCCCGGAACCCTAAATACAGTTTTCTCACCGGTGTTAGGCCACTTATTTTTCTCCCCTTGGCCGTTTCCTCGAAAGCAACAAAATGAACACAGGTTGCAATAAAGTAAGGCATATCATCTCAGCTGAGTCAAGGAACTACCCTTTTGTAGCCTGGAATAAAAGTTAAAGTCTGCCACATGAGCTGTCGAGCCAGGGAAAGAGTTTTTATTTTAACGTTTTCTCTCATTTAGTTTTCCTTTGTGGCACACAACCCCTAATTTGGGGAGAACAAGCTGTCCTGGCGGTTCCTGGCCCTATGCAAAGTCGTGTGGGCAGCGCCCCAACGGCCCCCGAGTTGTGGGGGTAGGCTGCCCCGACTGCTCCCCCCCCCCCGGTTCCCGCGCCTATTTCAATGTCGCAGGACTCAACTCCGTGCTATTAATTCAGCATGATACGGATATTGCGCCTTTTAATTAAATAAAGATGCTGAGAATATTACTGCCTTATTGAACACTGCCACCCAATAAATACCCAAAAAGCTTGCCTTAAAATGAAATAGAAATGGCGCGCCAAGCCTCTTTAGTCATCAGCGAAAGGTGATAATATTAACCGACGAAAATGTGACCTTTAAGTCAACGAGCCCGGATACGGGATAACAATAACAAGCATTCACTCACTTAAGAGGTAGCCCCAATGTTTACTAAGTGCACGGTGCATGACACTAACCACTGAATAATGGGAATTGTTAGTGTGTACGTACATGGTATTTTACGCGCATCACGTCAGATTTAGATCCTTTTAGGATAAGTGCCACACTTAAAAAAAGTATAGTTTTTGGGTTTTTTGGGTTTTTGGGTTTTGGGATATTGAGGTAGACTGTAGTACATACCAGTCTATTCTCCACGTGACCTTGGGACATTCCTGTGACCTCTGTGTGACCTTTGTGTGACCTCGTTACCAGGGTAACCTGGAGGACCAGGTCGTCCAGACCAACCCCGTGCTGGAGGCCTTCGGCAACGCCAAGACAGTGCGAAACGACAACTCGTCCCGCTTCGTGAGTACGCAACGTGGCGGCGGCCTCACCCGACATGGCGGCCGCCATATCAAACATGACGGCAGCCTCATCCAATATGTCGGCAGCCTCGCACAACGTGGCAGTAGCCATATGCAGACTGGCAGCCACTAGTTCGTTACATTTGTTTATTTTGTATTAGGTAAATTTGTAAATAACAGCTCTCCCATCGCTTCCGCCAGGGTGTATTTGCGATATCTTTCACAAAATCCCACCGTTGTCTCTAATGCAAATTTACAGAATCCCAGCTGTTCCGTGGCCGCATCTGGATTCTATCAGCAGGGTATCTTTAGCTGGATCCATTTTCGTGTTGCCGGCAGGGTAATATTATCCTGATTCTTTTAGGGGGTAAATTTACCCGGATCCATTACGTTGTCACTAACGGGGCAAGTTCATCCAGTTCCATGTCTGTGTCGTCGGTAGGGTATACACCCTCGCATATATATTTGCCCTCGCATGTGTGCGGTGTTTGCCAGCCTCTAATGTGTAGGGGGGGGTTAGTTGGACCCCCTGCCGTTCGGCCCCTGATTGAGCTAGAGCTTCGCGGAAAAAAAACGAGCGTGTTGCCCGTGACGAGAGGAAGCCGATGATACCCAATTTTAAGGTCCTGGGTCATCGGTTGACCTTCCAGGTCAGGTCAATGATCCAAAAGTCGGGAAAATCGGGACCTGTTAGAAAGCCGTAAAGTGTGGCTGCTAAGGGGTTTTTCGGGGTGCTGATCACGAATGTCGTGTAAGTTTTGATCATAGATGATGTCGTTAAGCGTTTAGACCAGGTCGGGTCAGGTCAGGTCAGGTCAGGTCAGGTCAACCGGAAGGGGTCGTGACGGGCATTCGTAATACGTGTCAACCGCCTCTGACAGCTTCGCAACATGTTACGAAGACACCAAAACTACATACTTCGTAAATGTTCAAATGGTTGGTAAATTCGAATTCAGCTAAAAAAAAAACTGACCTAGAAACATGTAAAACTCGAAAAAGTGAACCGAGGTCAACAATGGTCGATGACCTGACCTGACCTTTAGGTGACACGGAAAAGAGGTCACAGGTCAAAAGTCATTGGGGTCAGGGTCATGAAATTTTCAGGGTAGGTGTAAAAATGATCAATGCGAGGGTAATGAAAGTTTCGTCGCGATCGGCCGCTTTTTACGCCAGTTATTCGTGAAAAACCATGGGGGGTCCATCCGACCCCCGACCACCTACACATGCGAGGGTTTATCCGGATCTAGGTACATACTTCTGTGTCGGCGGCAGGCATCAGTCGTCACTTTCTGACAGCTATCGATGGAGCTTCAGTGGCTAATTTTAGGGATACCAAAGCCATGCATAACTTGCAATGCCATAGGTCTATAAGTGTTAGTCCATTTTTGTGCCGCCGACAGGGTAAATTTATCCATTTTTGTGCCGCCGACAGGGTAAATTCATCCGGATCCACTTCGGGCCGGCCGGCAAGCTGGCCGGCGCCGACATCGAGACCTACCTGCTGGAGAAAGCGCGCGTCATCTCGCAGCAGCCGCTGGAGCGCTCCTACCACATGTTCTACCAGCTCATGTCCGGCGCTGTCAAGGGACTCAAAGGTCAGTGTGCGGCAGGCGCGGGATCGAATCCCGCCGGGCGGCGGGGCAGGGGGAGGGTCCCATAACAGAACATAATCGTATATTTGGGCTCCTTTGTGGGGGGGGGGGGGTGACATGTTAAAGAAACAGCTGACATCCTTGTTTGGGTCAGAAACTTACAAACACGAATTGGGAGGTAAATTGGTTGTATCTACGTTGTGTTATTCGTCAGTCCAATCTCTACACGTGGGTGCGTCTGGTTCCAGGTCAGTCGGCCGCCAGAGCCCGCAGACCGCTCATGCTGTCTGTGTCCGTGTTCCCTAATCTCCGTGTCTGAGCACCTGTCCACACACCGCAGCCAATCAGCCGTCAAAGTGACCGTCCGTGTTCAGCTGTTTACCGTGTGTTAGCACCTGCCAACCAATCAGCGGTCTACGATCCGCCTTTGGCAGGTTTCTCAGCAGGTCGAGGCCGGAGCTGATTAACTGATTCGATGTTTTCTGCCGCGATTCACTGGTTGATCCGCTGATTCACCGTTGTGATTCCTTTCGGTGATTCGCCGCTGCGTTCACTGTCGGCCATTGGCAGCAGATTAGCGAACAGTCGGCCGACAGTGGCCCCGGCCGGCTCCGACTGGGTCCGACAGTGGCCCCGGCCGGCTCCGACTGGGTCCGACAGTGGCCCCGGCCGGCTCCGACTGGGTCCGAGTCCGACAGTGGCCCCGGCCGGCTCCGACTGGGTCCGAGTCCGACAGTGGCCCCGGCCGGCTGCGACTGGGTCCGACAGTGGCCCCGGCCGGCTCCGACTGGGTCCGACAGTGGCCCCGGCCGGCTCCGACTGGGTCCGACAGTGGCCCCGGCCGGCTCCGACTGGGTCCGGGACAGTCGCCCCGGCCGGCTCCGACTGGGTCCGACAGTGGCCCCGGCCGGCTCCGACTGGGTCCGACAGTGGCCCCGGCCGGCTCCGACTGGGTCCGACAGTGGCCCCGGCCGGCTCCGACTGGGTCCGACAGTGGCCCCGGCCGGCTCCGACTGGGTCGGACAGTGGCCCCGGCCGGCTCCGACTGGGTCCGACAGTGGCCCCGGCCGGCTCCGACTGGGTCCGAGTCCGACAGTGGCCCCGGCCGGCTCCGACTGGGTCCGACAGTGGCCCCGGCCGGCTCCGACTGGGTCCGACAGTGGCCCCGGCCGGCTCCGACTGGGTCCGGCCGGGTCCGACCGGGTCCGACCGGGTCCGACTGGGTCCGACAGTGGCCCCGGCCGGCTCCGACTGGGTCGGACAGTGGCCCCGGCCGGCTCCGACTGGGTCCGACAGTGGCCCCGGCCGGCTCCGACTGGGTCCGAGTCCGACAGTGGCCCCGGCCGGCTCCGACTGGGTCCGACAGTGGCCCCGGCCGGCTCCGACTAGGTCCGACAGTGGCCCCGGCCGGCTCCGACTGGGTCCGACAGTGGCCCAGGCAGACAGCCTTCTAATCGGCGCAGCCTTATCATGGGCGCTCCGAACACGGTCAACACAGCTTCCTGTCAAATTGTCTGATATTAGCCGTTTTCACGACGGCCATCTGGTACACATTGGATGCACATCTGGTGCAGATTAGGTACAGGGTTGGTCAAATCAGGTTCAATGTGTCTCTTAGCAGCTATCAGCTAGGGTTGCACTAATTGCTTATATGCCTGCTTTGTTATATTGTCAGAGAGCATCATTGATTAAAACACTGAAATAAATTCATAAACTAAAGATATTTGCTGTAAAAGAGATTAGGTGCAGATTTGGGCAAATTAGGTGCACTCGTCGGATAGCCCGTCGTGAAAACGGCTATTGACAGCTAGTTCCATTCATAATTAGGCATTTATCTTAAGCCTGGTAGTCTTGATTCACTTTAAGAAATGTCATTTATTTTGAAGAAAACTACTTGTATTCCCAGAGCGTTCGAAGACCAATAAAATTAGCTCAACTGTAGCACAAGCTAAAATGTTTATTTTAGCAAAGCATGCAAAGTCCCTTCGAGTCCCGTTACTTTGCCCCCCTGAGTTCGGTACTGTGCCCACCTCTGAGTTCGGGTACTCTGCTCCCCTGAGTTCCGGTACTCTGCCCACCCCTGAGTTTCGGTACTCTGTCCCCTGGGCTGGCTCGGCCCACCTGTGAGTACCGGCTCCCTGAGTGCCGGTACTCTGAGTGGCGTTTCTCGGCCCACCTCTAACGTGGCCCGTTGACCGCGTAGATAAGCTGCTGCTCTCCGGCTCGGTGCGGGATTACCACTTTGTCAGCCAGGGCAAGACGACCATCCCCGGTGTGGACGATAAGGAAGAGATGGAGGCCACAGATGTGAGTGGCACGCTGACCTTACAGCCTCTGACAGCCGCGCCGCCCCCCGCCAGCTGCACCGGGCGCTGCCGGCGCCGACTGCGTGTGCGCCAGCTAACGGGAACCGCCGGCCGCCGCTGCCTCTCTCTCTGTGTGCCTCTCACAGCCATTCACCTACGGAAACAAACGAACCAGCACGGAAACAAACGAAACAGCACGGAAACAAGCGAAACAGCGCGCTAAAACGAAACTCGCAAACAGCAGCAATCAAATACACAGGCGGCTGACTTCCGCCCACAGAAAACAGTTACAAATCTGCAAAGGCTCCAGAAATGTAAGCCAAGCAGAGTTGCGCGAAAATAATTTATTGCTGGTGCTGACCTTATTCGGCTTGGAAAAATTGACTGATTGAGGTATTTGGTCGTATTCAGCTACGAGTATTATCTGAAATGTATATTTAAACAAAATATGCTATGGAAAAAATTCACACAACAATTTTCAAAACTTCACCAATGCTTATTTATGTCATTGTTCAAAGGACAAAAGGCACAACAAAACCGAAAAAGAATAGACACAACACCAAGTCATATATCCCTCGCCGGACCTTTTGGTTTTCTACATACGCGCCGGCCGAGGGGGGGGGGGGGGCGGGTACGACCCCCCCCTCGCCGTTTCGCCCCTGGTGGAGCTAGCGCGTCGCGGAAAAACGAGCGTGTGCGCCGTTACGAGACGCAGAGATTGGTACCCGATTTTAAGGTCCTAGGTCAACCGGTGACCTCTGAGGTCAGGTCAAGTGCCCCAAGGTACGGTTCAGTTTTTGGTGAATAACTTCGCAAAAAACGGCCGCAGAGCGCCGATTTTTGGCAGTATCGTGTTCGTCTCGCTCAGGCGCGTCGAATGATATACTTTTTGTCCGGGTCAGGTCAACTTGGGGTGTTGACCTCAGGTCAAGGTCAGGTCAGCACCCCCAGGTCACGAAGTTGGTCGAAAGGGGTCATGTCGCATATCATTCGATTCGGCAGGTCTTCTTGAGTCCATCGGTGGCTTTCCCGGCTCGCTAGCTCAATTTGATCAAGAGTTATTGACGAAAAACTAATATGACCTTGATGACGTCATAAATGACGTCACGCAAGGTCAACATTGCAAAAGTGACGCATCTAATCTTGCAAGGAGTGCATAAAATCACGATTCTGTGTGCTTGAGATAGTTGGAGATCGTTCCCGGCGCCAGAATAGCAGTTTGAATTTTTCCCCATTGACTTATAATGGTGAGGTCACGAAAATGACCTGACCTCATATGACCTTTAGGAAAAATCCGAGATATACAAGTTGTAAGACTCATAATGGACACTAGATCCTGCAAGTTTCATTTCCCTGTGACATCTCCTCTGGCAGTGAGGGCGTTGCGAAGTTGCGACATCTGAAGACCGTGCAGAGGTTCACTTATGACGTCATAGGTCAGTGACCTGACCTGACCCAAAAATGCGGTTGGTGTCAAAAGATGCGGCTTGGATCAAAGGTCAGGTATGCCAAGTTTCAGCTCTCTATCGCCAGCGTGTTCGGAGCTATCGCGAAAAAACCCTATGGGGGGGCGGCACCCGCCCCCCCCCCCCCCTCGGCCGGCGAGGGATATCTGTCTGTCGGACAGCCACACCTAATTACCCCACAGCGTTACAGCTCCGCCCCGCAGCAGCGACACCAGTTATCCGCCGCCGCTGCTGTGACACTATCCGCCGCTGCTGTGGCACTATCCGCCGCTGCTGTGGCACTATCCGCCGCTGCTGTGGCACTATCCGCCGCTGCTGTGGCACCATCCGCCGCTGCTGTGGCACTATCCGCCGCTGCTGTGGCACTACCCGCCGCTGCTGTGGCACTATCCGCCGCTGCCGTGGCACTATCCGCCGCTGCTGTGGCACTATCCAGCTCCTCAGCCCCACAGTAACACCGTATCCACCGCCGCTGCTGCCCTGCCGCCGCCGGTTGCTATGGCAGCGGCCGTCCGTCGACAGATCGCCATGGTAACGCCGCGTGTGGTCCTGTTCGACAGACAAGCTGTTCCTCAGCAACGACATAAAGGATTACCACTACGTGTCGCAGGGCAAAACGACCATCCCGAACGTGGACGACGGCGAGGAATTGCTGCTCACCGACGTAAGACCGACCCTCTGCGGGGCTCCCCCATAGCTCTCCCATAGCTTACCCAACCCTACCCTACCCTACCCTACCCTACCCTACCCTACCCTACCCTACGCTACCCTACCCTACCCTACCCTACCCTACCCTACCCTACCCTACCCTACCCTACCCTACCCTACCCTACCCTACCCTACCCTACCCTACCCCACCCTACCCTACCTCACGACCCTCTTTGAGGTCCTGCCCTACCGCATACCAAACATATCCCTCCCTACCTCAGCAACGTAAGACCATCGATGTGTAGGATTCAAACCTAACAGTTACCATATAGGTATCCTATCGTAAATATCCCATATCTGCTGGAAACAACGTCCTTCCGTGGGTACTGTAGCCCCTGCTGACTTAAAGCCGACCCTATTTGTCAAATCTACCGAAAATACCCTACCGCGCTCCTGCGCTCCCGTCAACATCCCACCCATACCGGACATCATACCCTGACCGGTACCGTGAACATCCCCCACCCATACCGGACATCATACCCTGACCGGTACCGTGAACATCCCCCACCCATACCGGACATCATACCCTGACCGGTACCGTGAACATCCCACCCATACCGGACATCATACCCTGGCCGGTACCGTCAACATCCCACCCATACCGGACATCATACCCTGACCGGTACCGTCAACATCCCACCCATACCGGACATCATACCCTGGCCGGTACCGTCAACATCCCACCCATACCGGACATCATACCCTGACCGGTACCGTCAACATCCCACCCATACCGGACATCATACCCTGACCGGTACCGTCAACATCCCACCCATACCGGACATCATACCCTGACCGGTACCGTGAACATCCCCCACCCATACCGGACATCATACCCTGACCGGTACCGTCAACATCCCACCCATACCGGACATCATACCCTGGCCGGTACCGTCAACATCCCATCCATACCGGACATCATACCCTGACCGGTACCGTCAACATCCCACCCATACCGGACATCATACCCTGGCCGGTACCGTCAACATCCCACCCATACCGGCATCATACCCTGACCGGTACCGTGAACATCCCACCCATACCGGACATCATACCCTGGCCGGTACCGTCAACATCCCACCCATACCGGACATCATACCCTGACCGGTACCGTCAACATCCCACCCATACCGGGCATCATACCCTGACCGGTACCGTGATCATCCCACCCATACCGGCATCATACCCTGGCCGGTACCGTCAACATCCCACCAATACCGGACATCATTACCTGACCGGTACCGTGATCATCCCACCCATACCGGACATCATACCCTGGCCGGTACCGTGAACATCCCACCCAATACCCATACCGGACATCATACCCTGACCCTAGGGTGTGTCGTGGAGGGGGTGATTTTCGCTGATCTTAATGCCGTGTCCGGAACTTGTTGCGCTGATTCATCACAAAACAATTTTTCACTAACATTTGTTTCAAAACTGCGCAGATGTTGGCCTCTGGAGGAAAGTTTGCACCGATGTCAGATGCCCCAGCGCCATCTGTGATACAACACACGGACGACTTAAGAACTAAAGATATGGCTACGAAACTAAAGGTGGCGCCACTGATCGTTTCGAAGTCTTCGATTGTCGGCATGCAATATCAAGGGCATTTGAGCGTCGTTTTTGTTATGATCAGTTTTTTTATGGCGTTCGGTGAACGCCATAAACTCCGCTGTGGTTCACTCCGCTGTGGCGTTCGGTGAACATGTGAAAGCACTGGGATGCGATGGTACGGCGGTGAATATCGGGACCAGCGGTGGTGTGTGCCGACTTTTCGAGCTGGCGACAAATAAGCCCGTGCACTGGTTTGTGTGCATGCTGCACGGCAATGAATTGAACCTGCGGCACGTATTCAAGACGCTGGACGGCACTACCAGCGGACCTCGAACCTTCAACGGCGCCATCGGCACCAGCTGCGCCGAGGACGTGTGGAGGAGGGAGGTGGCGCCGTTCCAGCCCGTGCCCGGACACGTGCCGGAGATGACAGCCGAGCTGGTCGCCACCCTCAGTCACGACCAGCAGCTGCTGTACCGACTGGCTCTGGCGGTGCAGACTGGCGACATGTCGGACTCCGTGGCGCGACAGAGGATCGGGCCACTCAACCACGCCAGGTCAGTACTCGGGGCGCAATATGAGGCATGTCCGTTATTTCGTGACACATGCATAGTTACGCAAGTAAAATAGATTAACAATTGATCGCACGTACAATCATATGCAGGTATTGTTTATTTCAGAAGCATGCAAAGAATGACAAACGAGCATTTAACTTACGTCATTATCAAGTTTGAATATTGTTTAATGAATAAGTTATGCATGCAAATATTATAATAATCAGTTATTAGTTCGTTTCATTCAAAGTAGATACCTATTACCTAATAACTTAGATCGAAACCTCGCTTGTGTTCTTTGTTACTCTAAAACAATACAGGTTTCAAAATACATGTTTATGTTACCATTGGAAACATGAAAGTTGTCAACTTTCATTCACTTGTCTTACAGACATAAGTAATGACTATACCATTATCAAATTAATTACCTAAGTTTTGATAAAACTGTGTTACTGCAACAGAACACATGTGATACGAGTGGAGTAGCGCCTCTACCTATAGCTAACGAATGTTCGCTGTTCAGTGCAGAAAACGGTTTATTTTAGCCGTGTTTGTACGGCACTTTATCGTTGGTTTGTGATTTGTGTGCGTGCTTGAATTTTCTTCTGATCAAAATTGTGGCGTCCGTTTCAGATGGCTGACACTCGGCGCGCGGGTGCTGCGCCTGTACGTGAGCACAGAGTCACCGTCTGACAGCCTGCGGCTCCTCGTGCAGTTTCTGGTGACTCACTACGTGCCGGTGTGGTTCTGCATCAGGCGACACCCCGACTGCACAGACGGTGCAAAGAACTTCCACCGTTCTGTGGAGCTTCTCCGAGAGCTGCCGGAGATGATCCAGGAGGTGGTGCGACCCGTCCTGCAGCGCAACGGGTACTGGGCGCATCCTGAGCAGGTGCTGCTCGCGATGGTGGCTGACGGTGACGCTGGCGTCCGACAGGAGGCCGTGCGCCACATACAGGCAGCCAGACAGCGCGAGACGGAGGACGTTCGGCCATTCCGGCTGCCGGAGCTGAACTTCAGCGCCTCCGCTTACACAGAGGTGATCAGCTGGAGCCCGCCGGAGAGTGTGACGCAGCCGCCGCTGCTGCGCCACCTCACAGACGAGCAGCTGCAAGCCATCGAGCACTCTCCGCTGCAGCTGCCGAACTACCCGGTCCACACGCAGGCGGTGGAGCGGGCAGTTCGGACCGTAACCGAAGCGTGCCTGGCGGTGCGTGGGGAAGAGGCGCGTCACGGCTACATCACTGCACGCCTGAAGCACCGCCGCTGCCATCCGGTCTTCGCTTCGAAGAAAGACTTCCAGATATGCTGAACTGCTCAGTGATCACTGTCACCCGTTCGTGTGACTGCCAGTTCGGTCCTGTCGCCGTGTCTTCGAAGTTGCCGTCGCCGCTGCCTTGGCCCGCTGCGACCCGCCGGGGCCTGCCCCTGCCGCTCGCTGTGATGTGGTTGTCGCTGCTGCCGCCGCCCCCCCCCCCCCCCCGCCCGCCCCGCTCGGCCGGTTTTAAGAGTGCAGTGCCATACCGTTACGTGAATGCTCGGAAGATTTTCGTGTTTTTGCGATTCTGTAAAAGGATGTTTTCTTCATACGTGAATTATGTCGTGAATGAGACCCCATACGTGGGTGTCTGGTGTATGGTTTCGGCTTTCGGTTTGCGTCGGGTGCAGTGATTGATGTATTTTATGTTACATGTGGTTGATTAATACGAGGATTTTCACGAAAAAAAGTTCGGTCCTGTCTCGTATCTCGCATTGATGATTCGAAGTGTAGTGAATGTTGCTTCATTTGTTAGCTATCGATATACGTGGCATTGTGAGATACCATGTACTGCATTCAGATGAGCCAGGCTCTCATGATGTTTGCTATCGTTCTATTTAATTAGTATTATATTGATAAGCACGGAAATGGCAAGTAAACGACATAAAACGGCGTTCGTGGAGCGGTCGGACAGGTTTTGCACTCAGCGCCACCTAGCGCCACTTATGAGAAGGAGTAGTTCCGCAATATGCCGTATGTTGTTCTGCAGATGGCGCCACTAATACAAATGAGACTGAACGGAGACACAAACTTTTCAGAAGAGGCCATCAAGTACGGAGTTTTGAGGGGAATTATCGTCCTAGATGATTTAGCAACATATCAGGGCACCAAATAATTCTAACGGCAGATCATTTTTGGATTGACGACACACCCTAAACTCAACATCCCACCCATACCGGACATCATACCCTGGCCGGTACCGTGAACATCCCACCCAATACCCATACCGGACATCATACCCTGACCGGTACCGTCAACATCCCACCCCGTCGTACCCCGCCGACCGGACACTGCTCCGTTCTGCCCCCCCCGTACCAGGGGTGTCCGGTCCCCCCCCCCCCCCCCTGCACGGAGTCACAGCGTCAGGGACGCCGGCCACCTGCCCAACCCCCTGTCAGTCCCACATGTCACTCAGCTGCATGATCGGCTCTCTCCAGCCATCTACATTGTACAATTACATGCATACATAAATTGCCGGCTGGCCAGCCAAAAGAGCGTCTCTTCTAAATGAAGTCTTCAAAATAGTCACAATAGTGAGTATCACAATACTGCACTTAGAATGAGTAGGATTGAGAAATGGAATTTGAACTGACACTACCAGTACGTAATAATTGGGGACAAGACTTGTGAGGCGACAGCACCTCTTGTAATGATTTTCTCTCTATTTAATTTTAGGCTAGATTAGGCCGGTTTTTCTTAGCAGTTGATCGGTATTAGCACAGCATAGCCTGTCACACAGCAACACTGACGAAAAAAAAAACAATGAGAATTATATCATTGAGCGAATGTCACCCACTCTGCCTCACTCTCAGGCCGACCTGCCGGCCGCAGTCGGGCGGCGGTGTGGTGCGCGCGCTCTCTCTCTCCAGCTGTCGCCCGGGTCCGGGTCAGGGGGAGGGCGCTGGGCGGGTATCAGGCGCCTCTCCCGAGTCTGGACTCGGCGCTCCGGTCGCTCGGTAGGCAGCTGAGTCTCGGTCGCCCGGTAGGCACTAGGCAGCTGAGTCTCGGTCGCCCGGTAGGCAGCTGAGTCCCGGTCGCTCGGTAGGCAGCTGAGTCTCGGTCGCACTCCGCAGCGTCTCGCTGCCGTCCACGGCACCCGATGTTGGCGGTCAGTCGCCACAGCGGATCTCCAGCTGCCCCAGTGACGTCACCGTGTGTGTGTGTGTGTGTGTGTTCGGACGGCCGCTGACCGGCGCCCGCGCAGACCGCGGCCTGTAGTGCCCGCCGTAGCGTGTGTCGTGTGCGCCCGTTTTATGTAGCCGAACCGCCGCTGCTGTCCCCGCTGTGCAGTGGGCCGCCTGTTCGTTCTCCGCAGATCTGCACGCCCCTGACGCCAGCGCGGGCGCCACCGCCCCCTCGGAGACCCCCTCTGCGCTCTGCGTTGATTGGCCGCGGCGGGCGAGTCCACTCCGGTCTGCGGGGAGGCAGTTGTGATACTGCGCCGCCGAGCACCGGTGTGCTGCGGCGCAGTATACCAGCGCAGGCCGCGTCCGCCGCGGCTCAGAGCAGCCGCATTGAACCGCCCAGACTCTGCCCGTCCATTTCAGCTGAAACACGGACACAGCATTTCTCGGCCACATAATACGCCTGATTCTCCTTTGTTGGCTCGGTTTTGAAGCCCAGAATCACAACAGTTTAGAGTCTAAATTTAACTAGTTTGCCGTAGCATCTTCAAGGCAAGGTACCTATACCAGCGATGTTTCCAGCACCAGCAGGTGACTGTGTCCGTGCTGACCCCCCCCCCCCACCATTACCGTGTCACCGACACGGCGCCCGACTGCCGGCCGCTGCACCCTCCGACCGCCGTGTGGCCTCTGACCTGTGTGTGACCCCTCTCTTTTTACTTCTTTGAATGTGTTTGCGTAGTAGCTCGAATGGTGTGATTTGGCTGACGCTGGAGTTGCACGTTTCTGTTCCTGAGACGATAAAAACTTCTTTTTTTATTTATGGAAAATTGCAATAACGTAATCAAACAATTTGATGGGCTGTCAATAGAACTTAAAAAAAAACACAGCCTCACACATCGAAACGTGCAGCTGCAGTGGCCGCTCCTCCCCTCCCCCTCCGCACGGACCGGCCCGGGACCGGGTCCGATGTGACGTCAGTGTGACGTCACTGCACGCAGAGCGGCTGCTGCTCACCCAGGGGATTCGCGCCTACCGGTTCGTCTCGCAGGGCAAGACCACCATACCGGGTGTCGATGACGGCGAGATGATGCTGGAGTGCGACGTGAGTACCGAGTACCTATCGCGCCCTTAGTGGTGGGCCAGTGATTCCAACAGGGTATTTACTATTTACCCAGCACACCCATAGTGGTGGGCCGGTGAATCCAACAGGGTACTTACCAGAATACCACACCCATAGTGGTGCGTCAGTAACTCCAACAGGGTACTCATCACAATACCACACCCATAGTGGTGCGCCAGTAACTCCAACAGGGTATTCATCACAATACCACACCCATAGTGGTGCGTCAGTAACTCCAACAGGGTATTCATCACAATGCCACACCCATAGTGGTGGGCCAGTAACTCTAACAGCGCGTCGGTTGGACGGTGCACGCAGAGACTGTGGGCGGGGCGAGATTTTAAGATGATTGGCCTCAATGTCATATGCGTATATCGCTTAGGGCCAGTACTCATTATTATGAATAAAAGTACTTGTATTTTCTGTGGAAAGGGCCGAACTGGTGGTGCAAAATATGGTCTTATTCAGAAGTGGTATTGTAGGTATGGAACCCTGGGGATGCGGTAGTTAGCTTGTCACCAACTTTAGGCACCAGTCGTTTTGAATAAAAAATCGCTATGAATATTGACTGTCACTCATTGGGTTATCCCGATGGCCATTTTGTCAAAATAAATGAAATAAAAAATGCATAGGCTTGGCGTACCTACCCAATCCAATGAATGTATGACGTAGTTAAATACATTATATAAGTTTATGTAATTCAATTGTTTGAATCTATAAAGAAAATAATTTTTAGAAGTAGGTACAGCCAAGATACCTACAGGTAGGTATAGGTGCCTACGTATTTCAAATTTCGTATTTTCGATAAAACGAAACAGAGGTATCTAAGATTATCACATGATATTCAGAAATCGAATTTTTCAATGCCTCCAGGTCATTGAAGTGTTTCGATTTTAAGCCGTAGTAAAATATGTCCCCATGAAATAAATAAAATATATGGCCAGTCACACCACACGTCACCCTGATCACCCGTGTCACCCGTGTCAGCCAGCGACACACCTGGTGTCAGAAGTGATAACTGATACACCCAGTGTCAGCGACACACAGTCAGTGACACACCGTCAGTGACACACAGCCAGTGACACTCGGTGTCAGTCTCGGCCATCACACACACACGTGTAGTCACTCACCAATGACATCAGCCCACGGAGCAGCCAAAGCGCTCTCTCTCTCTCTCTCTCTCTCTCTCTCTCTCTCTCTCTCTCTCTCTCTCTCTCTCTCTCTCTCTCTCTCTCTCTCTCTCTCTCTCGGCCTGGCTTTGTCGCTCCGCTCTCTGCCTCTGCGACTCCCGCCCTCTCCCCCAGACCCAGCCCACAAAACCCCAGCCGAACCGCCCTGTCTGTCTACATGTCTGTCTCTCTGTGGTGTTCTTACCTTTAATTTAACGTAAGTCTTGCAAACTTATTAGTTATCACTTCGTATAAATATGCTTCTTACGTTGAATACTCGGTAAAGTCGAACTTAAGTCAGCTATTTCCATACACATCATTTCTGCTTTCGTACAGCTCAGACTTTGCATTCTGCTCGCGATAAAACTGAGTGTGATTTGGCGTGGTGTGTTGTGTGCTGCACATCTCGGCTGGGGTTCCTCAGCTCACGGGACCCAGCCGGAGCCAGCGGGCGACACAGTGACTAAATTACCTGACTAAATTACTAAATTACCGGCTCGTCACTTACCGAAATTGTGGGATCAGTGCGACAGCTCCACTGTGCAGTTCCACATATTGGTGGTGATAGAGGCTGCACTTCCTCTTATAACCTACGGTCTGTTTAACCCGCGCCCCAGTGGCGGTCTCAGTCAACTTCGCCCTAGTGGGGGGGGGGAGGGGCATATGTTACCACCCACCTCTAACTCAAAAACTAAGAGGTCTAGAAAGACGCGGTAAAAAGCCGTCGATAGTTCTCAATGCGTATGTTTGAAAGCATTTCGGTCATTTTTCATCTTAGAGCAATATTGGGGTCACTGGAGGTCATCAAAGGTCAAAATTTGCCAAATGTCATATTTTTCAGAAAACATGCATTTATCTCACGAACTATGATAGGTAGAAAAAGCATGTAAAAGCAATCGATAGCTTTTGAACTCTTCTTTTGCTAAGGTCATCATCTAAATTGACCTCAAGTCAACGGTTTAGCCTCCAGAGGGCAAAAACTCCAAAAATAGCTGCTTTTACGAAAAGTGTTTTTCGACAATAACTTTTGACTAAAAAAGCCACGAACTTCAATTGCCAGAATCGTGTTCCTCTCGCCGACACGCGCCGAATGAGCTATAATTTGACCTTGAAATGTCAACTTGAAAATTTGACCACAGGTCAAGGTCATGACCTGACCGGAAAAGGACATGTTGCATATCATTCGATGCGTCTTAACAAGACAAACACAATGAGACCATCCCTAGCGTCCTATCTCTTTCCAATCGAGATTTATTGGCAAAAATCTGTTTGTAACCTCAAATGACCTCGGATGACCTTTCTAGAGGCTATCAGCAAAAACGACACCTTGGTCGTCACGGGTGGTCCAAATCATTGTGATTCTGAAATATTTGGACTGTTCCTATGCGTACACACGGATCTAGAGGCATTTTCATTTTTCTCCATTGACTTGTAATGGAAAGGTCACGCCACTGACCTGACCTTAGGTCACGGATATAAAAAAAATCCGAGATATGCAAATTATAGGTGCCCATACCATCATGCAATCCACCAAGTTTAAAACCTTTCTGACAAACACTGCAGGCTGGACATGATTGCAAACTTTTTTAGGCTTGGTCAGTTAACTTGACCTGGTGACCTGACCTGACATTTTTTATTCACACGCAAAAATCGCGACAGGGTGGTAACGTATGCCCCCCCCCCCCCCACACTGGGGCGAAGGTTAAATTCGCTTTATTTTAGCCAAAAGGAATATAGGAACAGAACAGCCCTCAACTCACCGCGTGGTAGATCTGATCGGCTACACCGAGGACAGCTCGGACTCGGAGACTATGAAATTGGTTACTATTTTATAGGAAATCATAGCACAGGACGCGCGAGGCTCCTTACATTAGATTGGGCTCGTCATGGGCTCGTCCTATACAATTTCCGCTCAGTTTGGCAACAATACAAGAAAGTTTATATTGCCCCCTCCCTAAAAAAAAAACTTATACTTCTTGTTGCCATTCTTCCCTTTTAATTACGGAGCGAGCGAAGCGAGCGGAGTCTCATACTGAATTAAGGGAAAATCCTGAGTATGAGCGGCCGGCCGGCCGGCCGTGGGGACGCTCTTCAAAAGCTAATATCTTAGGAATGGGACATCCGATTGACAAGCGGTCTTCTTTACTGAATGTCACTTGGACGTAAAAGTTCTGTGGTGTGATGGCCACCATGCGTTCTTGCCAACCACCGCACGTGGCGCGTGGTAAAGTTGGACATTTTTTAAGAACCCCCAAAATTGCAACCTCAATAACGGCACAACGGTTGGGCCGATTGAATTGAAACTCGGTACACAGTTAGGTCTCCATCAGATAATTCATCTGCATGTGTTAAGGTTGGGGTGCTACAGCACGTGCGCACGTGCAGGGGGCGCTCCCAGATCTCGAGAACGGCTGGGCCGATTGCGCTCAAATTTGGTACACGGTTGGGGACCAATTAGTAGGGTGCCGTGCAAAAGTCAGTTTGGCCCCGCTTGCACGTGCGCACGTGCAGTGTGCCGCTTCCAGATCTCGAGAACGGCTAGGCCGATTGCGCTGAAATTTGGCACATCGCTTAAGACCGGTTAGTAGGGTGCAGTGCACAAGTTAGTTGGAGGTACCCCCTCGCAATTTCGCACGTGCAAGGCCCATCCTCTCGCTCGCTCCGTTGGTCGCCCAAAAGGCGTTTTACTGGTTTATTTAATGATGGATCCAATCAAAAGAGTGGAACGTGACGCACCTCTATCATATGGATTTTTATCGACTGATAACATATCCCTAGAGTTATTAGCGGAATTGTAAAAAAAGAGTGCCTATCACGCAGTGAGATGGGAGCTGTACCTAGCGAGCTTAGCAACGTAATAAAAAAGAACTAAAGACATCAATGCCTTTCATTTCGATGTCTATTGACCGCCTTTGGAATTATTTCTCATGCGGTCGCTTTTTTGGCTATTACGGTATAGTTTCATTCTTTCCCCTCCCGAGCGTCGCCTTTCTCGGTGTTATGGTCTCAGTCTCTATAGGTACCACCTGGGTATTTGTCGTCGCCATTTGGGCGTTTGCTCGGCCGTTCGGGCGCCTCTGCCGTCCGGCTGGGGCCCGCGAGCTGTCACCGGGGGGTCCGCGCCGCGCGCCGCTTCCGCTGACCCACAGGAGGCCTTCGACATTCTCAACTTCTCTGCCGAGGAGAAGATGAACATCTACAAGATCACGGCCACCGTGATGCACCTGGGCGAGATGAAGTTCCGCCAGAAGGGGCGCGAGGAGCAGGCAGAGGCCGAGGGCACGGAGGTGAGTGAGCGGCCGCCGCGCCGGCCGGCGGCGCCCCCGCCGCGCACCCGCTGACCGCGCCGCGCCGCGCCCACAGGAGGCGTTCGATATCCTCGGCTTCACGCAGCAAGAGAAGGAAAACATCTATAAGATCGTGGCCGCTGTGATGCATCTGGGTACGATGAAATTCAAACAGAGGGGCCGCGAGGAGCAGGCGGAGGCAGACGGCGCCGAAGTAAGACGCCGCGGCGACGCTGCTGCCGCCAGGCGGCCGGCCCGCGCAGTAACACGCCGCCGCCATCTTGTTTGGTTTCCTTTCAGCAATGGCGCCGCTGCTGCTGGCTGGCTGGGTGCCGGTTTTACGCCTCATCGCCTGATATTTGCACACTGCGTAATGTGCTCCGCGTGACTGCGTAATGTGCTGACTGCTCGGAGTTTGGCAATGCTGAGCTCTTACTAGCCTCAAGGAAATAAATCCAAAAATGTTGCACCAAATTCCAAACTTTTACCTAGGTACATCTGCCGTACCTACCTAATGCTTATACCAACCAACCAATTGGTTCAACCATCGATATTAGTTTTTTCGCGAATATTTATTTAAAGTCTGGACTCAGGGGCGTCGCCGACGGGGGGGTCGGGGGGTCGTGACCCCCCAGTCTTGAAAACTGGGGGGTGTCGACCCCCCACTTTTTGCGATGCTGAGTATGCCTTTTTAGCTTTTATGTCAGTGAAGCAGGCGTCAGCAACACCAACAAATACATCAGATTCAGAATCGCTTCAAGAGCTCCCTAAAGCCAATTAGCCAATTACCTGAAGTTCAATTAGCTATGGGCGGGGAACACCTGCACAACAATATTTTTAAGTAGCCACCATTCTAGTACCTTTTTATCCCTCAAAAGATTGGACGCGCCAAAACTGCCCCGAGCGTTCGTCTGATCGTTAAAAAAATGGTCGCAGTCGATTCGTCGGATCAGTACCTAACTACAAAACTACAAACTAGCCTCAGCCCCATGGCTACCGTCACAACTAGCTGTACAGTGCACATGTAGGGGAAAGGGAGTCAGATGAAACCGTCTCGGGCTTTTGCAAAGAAGTCGCGCAAAAAGGAGCCGATTGCAACGAAACTTCCGGTGCGCTCGAGTTAATCAACTACTAAAAAATAAATCGATATCCCTGATTCAAATAAAGATGACCTTGGTTCACTTTTTCATAACATGCTTTTAATTTAGGTATAGGAAAGTTTTTGGAGCTGATTTTGAACTTAGCGCCCATCTGAACATTTAAGAAGTAGTTGTGCTGCTTATACATATGTATAACATGTTAGGAAGCAATCGGTGGTGGTCATCCACTAAAAGGTACTGGTCGATCTGACCTGACCTGATCTACCCCAAATGTATGGAGTCATCGTCTTCGTTCAAAACTAAGATAACATTCGTAATCAGAACCTCGAAAAACCATCACAACTGACATTCGCAAAGTTCTAGCAGGTCCCGAGTTTCCCTACTTATTGGCGATGACCTGAGTCCTGAGATGACCCGAAACTTTGTAAATGGGTATCATCGGCTTTCTCTCGTCACGGGCAGCATGCTCTTTTTCCGCAAACCTCTAGATCGATCAGGGGTCGAAAGCATACCTCAGCGGTACTTTAGTATACGTTATACGTTAGCGACTGGGAACCCACCAATAGAAGGGCTACAGTGAAGCAGAAAACATATTCGATAGCTCTTTCAACGCTCTTTCGCTAGCTTCGCGTCAGATTTCATCTCAGGTCTATGTTTTGCCCATAGAAGGCAAACAGCTAGCTGGACAGATTCTGCCTAAACATTTGCTTTGCAATAACTTTAGATTCCGTGAATTTGTTTGGTATTTACATATGTTGTCTTGTCACCACCGTGTTTATTTCTTTGAGACGCGTCACATGAGTTAAAATTTGACCATTCAGGATTAACGTTAAAACGACCTCAGGTCAACGTTATGTCATGATCGAAAAAGGACCTCCTGCTGCATATGAATGGATCCGTGTTATTGAGCTAAACAGTGAACACCTTCCAGGTGCTGTCATCGCTCTACCGCGTCTTTGTCAAAAGTTGTAGAAAAAATGCTGGTGGCCATCGATGGACATTTCCACTAATGACCTTTCGAGACATCACTCGTTATTATAAGTTGCACCCTGTCCCTGGCAATGATGAGCTGATTTGTCATGGCTCCAAAGATATTTTGCGTTTCTGACGAACTTTTTCAAAGCAGGAGGCATTCGTGCTTTTTCTAATTTCTCATTATTTTCTAATGATGAGGTCACGTATTTGACCTGCCTCCAGATCATAGATGCAAATCCTCAGAATAATGAATTGCTGATACGTATAACCCCATACATTAGGTATACAGTGTACCAAATTTCGAAGTTATGGGAGAAAAGCTACAAGAATGGCGAGAGGAGAAAGTTTGATAGAGGTATACCGTATAACTGAACTTGACATGGCGACCTGACCTTAAGTGACCAGTGATAATTTTTACGCAAGTGATGTAGGTAGGTATACCTACCTAATAGGTTATACCAAATTTCGCGGCGCTGCGCGCCGATTTGTTACACGCGCGCACACACACATACGCACGCACAAAACTGGGAAGTGTGGCAAAAAAAAAACACCCCTACCCATCGGGTGAAGACTAGAAACCCGACCCCCCCACTCAAAAATCCGTGGCGACGCCCCTGTCTGGACTGTACCTACTCATCAATTTAATTTGTTGTCAACAAAAAAAATAACGCCATTTTCGGGGCCAGAGTGATTGGCATGACGATTATGTATGTAGGTGCTGACAATGTGCTGAAATGCTGAAATGCTGAAATGCTGAAATGCTGAAATGCTGAAATGCCTATGTGCTGAAAAGAAGCGTTACTACTTGTTAATTTTGCTGGGTAACAATGACAACTGCATGTTGTTCCCGTTCATCCCACTGCAGTGCCATAGGTACACAGCAGCTGTGACCTAACACTAACACCTCGGCACGTGTCTTCTCTCCAGTAGCGTTTTGTACTGACATGTCTGCCGCTTTTGGAGCAAAGCTTGCGGGTGTCAGCTACCAGCTACTCTGGGAGTGTCTAACTCTACTGCTCACCGAATGGTGTCCACTACCAGGGCCACCAGTCACAGACTGACTGCGTGTACCTATGTGTGTTTGGTTGGTGCCCTATGTGTCGGTGAAAAGCACTCAGATCTGCTCTGTCCTGGGACTGGGCTGAGTCGCCCCCACTTGGATCGCCCACCTGACCTCACTGTTACTCCCCATTGAACTTCGTAGAGATCTTTTAAACATACGAAGAGAAGTTACACTGATGTGGCGAAGTTCTTGGCAGGTCGCCCGTTTCGTGATCACATGGGTAGGTATCATGTTTTAGCCAAACAGCAGCTCTTCGTATGTAAGATCTCTGCGCAGTGGGAAGCATGCCCCCCCCCCCCTCCCGACCCGGGTCGAGCGGCACAGACTGTCGGCATGTCCCGGCCAGTGACGTCACACCCACTGTCCAGTGACGTCACCCTCTCTGTCCAGTGACGTCACGGCTGACTGGGAGCCGGCGTCGTGTGTCCCCGTAGTGTGTTACCCTGTTGGAAGCGTCCACCACGGGACCGGATGGACCGTAGCACCCGGCCTGCACCCACCCGGCACCGGCCGCGCACCCACCCGGCACCCCGCACCCGACCCTTTCCCAGGTGACGGCGCGCAGCTGATGTCGCAGGGGGGGGCGGTTCTCACAGCGAGGTCCCCGTCAGTCGGCCCAGACCAGCGCGCCCGGCGCCAACGGGTGTGACGTCACTGACCGCTGACACCGTGTGTGACGTCACCCGCAGGAGGGCGAGCGCGTGGCCAAGCTGGTCGGCGTCGACGGTCCGACGCTGTACCTGAACCTGCTGAAGCCCAAGATCAAGGTCGGCAACGAGTTTGTCACCCAGGGCCGCAACAAGGACCAGGTCAGTGACCTCTGGAATTGGACTAGTGACCTCCGACTAGAGACCAGGCACCTGAGGTCAGATATGCACCTCAGACTAGAGAGCGGGTCAGCTACCTCAGCGACCAGGCTGGCTGCGCAGGGCTCGGGACCCGTTTTGTGGACCCAGCAGTGGGACCGAGTTTAGTGTCGGGTCTTCTGCCAGCATCCCGGTCCGCAACAGCGCCGGCGCCGGCTGGAGCTGCAATGACGGCCAGTTCAGACATATCCAATATTCATGTAAGTTTGACTCTGCCCTGTCCTGCCCTGTCCTGGCCTGGCCTGGCCAGTCCTGCCCCGTCCCTGCTCTGCCTTGTTCTGCCTTGACCTTTTCTCCGACGTGATTATGTGATTTGAACTTACGTGACCTTAGTTTCCCTGCACTGTTCTGAGTGCGCTGAACTGACGGCTGAGCTGAGCTTCTGTGCACTGTTCTGACCTGACCTGACCTGCCCGGCCGCTGCAGGTGTACTACTCAGTTGGTGCCCTGGCCAAGGCCATGTACGACCGCATGTTCAAGTGGCTGGTCAAGAAGGTCAACCTCACCCTGGACACCAAGCAGAAGCGGCACCGCTTCATTGGCGTCCTCGACATCGCCGGCTTCGAGATCTTCGACGTGAGTTTGCCGAGAGTGAGCCGACTTAGTCGCGAGTTAGCAGAGTTAGCCGCGAGTTACCCGCAGGCTAGCCACGACGGTTGAGTAATTAGAGCCGGCCAAGTGCAGCACACTTAGTTTACTTAGCTCAGTGCAGGGCCGGTGCGCTCAGGTAACGTCAGCTTTACGTCTTGATTAGTTGACTTTACGGCAATGTTTCGCATAATCGGATATTTTATAGTTTTATCATGGGAGAACTCTTATGGAAGATTTTTATCTAATTAGTCACGTTTTATTGAAATACATGTCCATGGGATGAAAATGTGAAGGTAGTTACGTCAAGGAACGTATGAAATACGTTTGAAATGTTTCTGTGTCGATGTACAATGCATTTATATTACAGGTTCTCAACGATAACAAACGCAGTTCTCACTTGGCAGCCCTCAATAAGGCAGCAATAACACAAGTCACTGCACCCGTCCAGCACAGCCAATCGCTGCGCGTCCACGGCCATTATGACGTCACAGCTACTTTGAGCACAGCTCACGACGTCACCCAGGGCGCCGCTGAACACCTGAGGACACAAAGCAGCCCATACACCGAACATACGACACACGTCACGTCATCCCCACCGACTACGACAAAGCAAAGCTTATATTGACCGGGGCAATCAATTTACCCTAGATGTATGTTTCTACCTTTATCTCGTTTATGAGCCTTGCAATCATGATGAAAACATAAATATCAAATAGGTATTTGACGTGCTTCAATGATGAATAATATAATATTCCGTTCTCAGAAACTTGGGTTTGGTAGAAGAAGGTATGCGATTCTGCCCACTCACATGGTCATTTGATCTAAAAATAACGTGAACCATTTTTGTTCTTTAATCACAAAAACGGTTTACAGGCAGTCCTTTAACAAACATTTCCAAAAAGCCGCTTCAGTCCCAATGACGTTTGACCTCTATTTATCAGTTCAACGGCTTCGAACAGCTGTGCATCAACTTCACCAACGAGAAGCTTCAGCAGTTCTTCAACCACCACATGTTCGTGCTGGAGCAGGAGGAGTACAAGCGGGAGGGCATCGATTGGGTCTTCATGGACTTCGGCATGGACCTGCAGGCGTGCATTGAGCTGATGGAGAAGGTACTCCCGGACATGTCCCATAGCGACCAGAGTGTGGCGCCCGCGCGCGCGCTGCAGGCTTCCCCGGGCTGCGCTCCGAGCGAACAAACCCAGTCCGGGCATCTCCGGATTTCCGCCAGTGGCCCCGGTGTTTCCCCAACTTCCCGCGTTACCCCGGATTGGAGTGCTCCCTGCCGAAAATAGCCCACCCCACCGAGTTTGCCCTGCACGTGGCTTCAACCCGATGTTTTCAGACCCCTGTGTATACTGCATAGGCCTGCGGTGAACTATCGGCTACAGACAGCGTCTCGCCGGCCTATCCACTGGCGTCCTTCCAAGCATGTCTGGGCGCGACAGAACCCCGGGCTTGTGCCTCCCCGGCCTTCCCCGCGTGCTCCCGGCTTCCCCGTGCGCCTCTTCGTCTCCCTGCATTATCGGTGTGCCTCCCCTGTGTGCCTTCCAGCTCTCCCTGCTGCGTATTTCGCTCAGACCATTTAGTCTGCTTAGTCGGGTAGTTTGCACCGACTCTGTACCGGTGTCTCCCTTAGGCGGCTGTCGCTATGGCAGGCGTGGAGGGTGCAGTCAGTTTCTGATGGCGGTGGCCGCTGTTTGATGTTACTGAAGATAAATGGGACTTTTTCCTCCGGGAGTTCTGGAATGAAGCTTCACAACATGTGGTAAAAGGCACTATAAGGACAAGTTGAGATTTACGTGGTCCGCAGTCCGCACGTGGAAGAGCATTTCAAGCAATGAAATCGTTTCTGAAGCGCCAATGTCTAAAGTTTGCCTGTAAAAAGGCTAACATTCGTTGAAAGGACCTATTGTCTGAAGGCATAAGTGTCTCCTTGCACTGTGGATTCACATGGCCCTGGATATAGCTGATGAGATGGACATTCACCACGAGACTGAAGCAGGGGCTCTGGCAAGAAATTTCAGAAAAAGACTGCAGAAGACTGCGTGAAAGACTGTCGAATGTTATACACAGGAGTCTGCGCTCGGAGGATTTTACTGAAGACCTCACGGAAAGCTCTGCGGAGGGTGATTTTCACTCTATAGCTCAGCTCTTCTGCAGCTTCCAGTGCACTGTCGCTGGCCTCAGACACAGTGCCCACAGCCACACATGCAGCCTCTGTCAAGGACTTTCAGGTGTTCACTCATCCCGAGGCCCTCACCTGGAGCACACCTGGTGCCAGCTCTTCGTGTCCTTGTCGCTGCGGCCAGTCCTCCGCGCCGTCACCCATCCCACACCTCTTCGTTTCCAGTTCAACGGCTTCGAACAGCTGTGCATCAACTTCACCAACGAGAAGCTTCAGCAGTTCTTCAACCACCACATGTTCGTGCTGGAGCAGGAGGAGTACAAGCGGGAGGGCATCAACTGGGTCTTCATGGACTTCGGCATGGACCTGCAGGCGTGCATCGACCTCATGGAGAAGGTGACGCACGTAGCGGCCTCCGGTGCCGACTTCTCTCTAGGAGGAGACGATGGTCTCCTGGCAGCATGACGGACGATGTAGGCGTCGCTTTCGCGGCTCATAAAACACTACCAGCTAGCCGGGTACACGGTGGCCGGGGTGTCGGTTGGCTGGGGTAGTGCCGTAGCAGTGCAGTGTCGTCCTAGTGCACTGGGTCAACGGCGCCGGCTTCTAGAGCATGACTACAGATAGCGTACGTAACAACTGATCACTGCATGATAAATAAACTGAAGTAGCTAGTGATAGTGTCGTAACTTGTATGCTACTCTATTTCTTTAAATAATAGACAGATGACAGAAGTAATTGGCCTAACTCTTTAAGTTAACCAGGATAGCGTATGTCTCATTGAGTGCATCTCGTAGATTCAACGCTAATCGGCTGAGGTCTGGCCCCAGGTACAGGTAAATAATTCCGCTGCATGCGCTGTCTTAGGTCACGGATGCTTTGGACTCTGCTGTGCTGTATAACCGCTGTTGCATGCATCCCTACGTGTCTGCTGGCCCTAAGGCGAATGCTGATGATGACCATATCGATGAGATTGCTGGTCGATGATGCTCCGAGTAGATGTAGTGGTTTAGGTTTTCTGATATATGTAAGATACCGTAATATCTTTGTTCATTTTTTACAACTGATTGAATGTAAGAACAAGTTGCAGGTGCCTATAACCATTTTAGTCGGCAGCTGCCACAGTCTCGATATAGCTCTGGTTTGTGAGTCGGCTGACCGGCCGAGGCAGCGCGTCTCCTGACGCAAACAGTCTCACTGTTCCCCATATTCCAATCCCATTGATCATGTACAGCTCTGTTCGCGTCCGACATCCCTCCAACCTGTATGTACATCTATGTATATCTATTCTGAAACCCTCTCCCACCATCCCCTGTGAACATCCCGCTCCGTACCACCACTGCTGCGTCCCTCCACTGCTGACCGCCGTCCCTCCACTGCTGACCGCCGTCCCGCCACTGCTGACCGCCGTCCCGTCACTGCTGACCGCCGTCCCGCCACTGCTGACCGCCGTCCCGCCACTGCTGACCGCCTTCCCGCCACTGCTGACCGCCTTCCCGCCACTGCTGAGCGCCTTCCCTCCACTGCTGACCGCCGTCCCGCCACTGCTGACCGCCGTCCCGCCACTGCTGACCGCCGTCCCGCCACTGCTGACCGCCGTCCCGCCACTGCTGACCGCCGTCCCTCCACTGCTGACCGCCTTCCCGCCATTGCTGACCGCCGTCCGCGCGCGCCGCAGCCGATGGGCGTCCTCTCCATCCTGGAGGAGGAGAGCATGTTCCCCAAGGCCACCGACAAGACGTTCGAGGAGAAGCTGAAGAACAACCACCTGGGCAAGTCGTCCTGCTTCATCAAGCCCAAGCCGCCCAAGCAGGGCCAGGCTGAGGCGCACTTCGCCATCGTGCACTACGCCGGAACGGTGAGCGTGTAGGGGACCTGGCTCTGACAGTGTAGGGTTTGGGTTTGGGAGGGGCTGGGGACCTCTGAAGGAGAGGGTTTGAGGACCTCTGATAGTGGAGGGTTGGGGAATTCTGACGGCTTGGGTTTGGGGACCTCTGGGGACATGGTGAGAGACGAGTGCGGGGATCACTGGCAGTGGCGGTATTGATAGTTTGAGGGCCTTTGACTGCATGAGGATGAGACAAGTGACTATAGTTTAGGTGTGTGAGTTCTTGAACAGCGAGCTTTGCGGCCAATCCTCAAAACATTTGGTAACATTTTGCATTTGAGAGAAGAATTTACTTCAGAATAACTGAAATAAACACTCCTGCATCCTACTCTTGCTGAAATGAATGAAAACAAACGGCCTCAGCGCCCTCCGACCGACAGTGCTCGAGCTGGAGTCCAACGGGCAACGAATTCCGCTCCCTCTAGCCGACAGTTGGTGGCGTGGACCTGGTTAGGCCAGGCACAAATAGTTGAACCACATTCCTCTTGAGTCACTCGCTCTCATGCCCTGATTGGCTCACCCTCACTCTACGTCACCCGCTCTCAGGACCCTGATTGGCTGGCCCTCACTGCGTCACGCGCCCCCAGGTGGCGTACAACCTGATCGGCTGGCTGGAGAAGAACAAGGACCCGCTCAACGACACGGTCGTCGACCAGTTCAAGAAGGGCTCCAACATGCTGGCGCAGGAGATCTTCGCCGACCACCCGGGACAGTCGGGCGGCCAGGACGCCGGTGGAAAGGGTGAGCTGATGCCAGACGAATCGGTGAGGGTGTCGCAAAAAGGGTGAGGACGCATCACCATTCACCGGTCCAGCTTGTGAATAACAATTACAAGCTATTTGAAACTTCACGCAAACGACCAATCATTTTCTGATATCAGCCCTATCGCTTGACTCGACTGTGTGGCACTCTTTTTCCTAGCGTAAGGTGATGGCAGGATTTAATGTCACACTAAGCATGTTTACCAAATATGTATACCATAAATTGAAATGGGTCGAATAAAAGTTGTGCTCTGAAACTGGACTAGGACTTCGGAACCAAGTTATAAGTTACGTGTCCCAGCTTTTGGATTTAGATCTGCCTATCTTAGGTAGGAACGGGCGTAACACACTGTCACGAAGATTTCCTCGTCGAATGCTGTCTATATGAGCGTTAACATCGCAAGGCGTTGAAAATTGCTCTGTTGAATCGACTTGCTCGCTTTCTTGGTCACTTTTCACTTTGGTAATTTATTGCATTGCAACTGGAGTCAATTCGCCACTGTTGCCGCAGTGGCCGGATTTGTTTGCCACTGTTGCCGCAGTGGCCGGGTTTGTTTGCCACTGTTGCCGCAGTGGCTGGGTTTGTTTGCCACTGTTGCCGCAGTGGCCGGGTTTGTTTGCCACTGTTGCCGCAGTGGCCGGGTTTGTTTGCCACTGTTGCCGCAGTGGCTGGGTTTGTTTGCCACTGTTGCCGCAGTGGCCGGGTTTGTTTGTCGCTGGCTGCCGCAGTGGCTGGGTGCGCGCTCTCTGCTCTGAGACACTGACGACCACCTATTGCAGGCGCCAAGCGTCAGAAGGGCTCGGCATTCCAGACCGTCTCGGCCATGTACCGGGTAAATAGAGCGAGCAGTGCCGCGGCTCTGTACCGCGACGGCCGGCCGCCGCCGCCACTCTGGCTCAGTGAGAACCCGCAGCGTGGTCCACTGAGAGTCCTCGCTGTGACTGTGGTGACATGCAGCGGTCGCACCAGCCCGCCGTTATCCGGCAGGGACCGTGTCCCGGCGGCTAGTGCGACCCGAGGCTCGGTCTGACCTGAGGCCTCAGAGTGGCGGCACCGCCGGCCGCCGCCGCCGCCACACCGGTGACGTCACTGGTGGCGGCTCGCTGGACGGCTCTGACCGGACGGTGGCCGGCCTGTCCAGACCGCCACCAGTGACGTCACCGCTGTGTACCGCCGCCGCCGTGTCTGACCGCGGCGCGCGCCGGCCCTCTGTTCTAGGCCGTAAGAAGGGTGGCGGGTTCGCCACCGTGTCCTCCGCCTACAGGGTATGGTGTCCTCCGCCTGCAGAGTATGGTGTCCTCCGCCTGCAGCCCGGCCGCATGTCCGTCTGTCTGTCCGTCTGTCTGTCTGTCTGGGACTGGTCACTGTACCCGCAGTGTACCCTGTACCCCGGTACACAGCGGTCCGGACTGTATCACTTTGTACACTTTGTACTCTGGAGGTCAGCAGCATGTCTATATCTGCATCATCCGGGCCGCGAGGCGGACCCCAGTTGGATGGGGGGGGGGGGGTCCGTCTCTGGGATGCTACATCCGGGCCCTGAGACGGGTCCGTTAGGGGGAGGAACCTTTGGGGCACTGTTTCCGCAGTGACCAAACCAAGTTTGGCACAGTCTTTTTTTTTTGTCTGCTGGAGCTGGTAACTTTGGGTAGGCAAATCTTGGAATGAAAATCGCTATTATTTCCTACAGTTTCAGCAAGCAGCTGATAATCTCTCAAATTTTACTCTAACAAAAGCACTTATTTAGATATTGTTGCATTTAATCAAAATTACTAAGTGGTTTCTGTTATTCTATGTTATGCTCTATTCTACTCCATTTATAAATTGTGAAATCAGAATGCCTCGTAGGTCCCCTATATTTGGGGAAATTATGGACATGCGCCAACAAGAGTAGTGCACTAAATAAAACACGAATGATGTACAGATTCTATCACTGTGAATGAACTTTGTACTATCTACTCTGTAGTTAATTTAGTTTTGAGACGCCACTGAATCCTACATAATTCAGTTTTGACAGCCTGCATCGTGTTTTATTTTCCTTTGATTAATCAGTACCAACGATACCTATAAGATTTGCATTTTCGAACGCATGTTTATTTCGAGGATAGTTTATGTTTATATTACGATGATTGCCGTGCACCCATGTTCCTATTGAATGTTGTACCTAAAATGTTTTCTTTTTAAGACGTCAAATAGGTATAGGTAACAGAAATGGTTCGTGTCATCGAGTTCGTGTCGTACTGCGTAAAACGGCCATCCATATGGCGGCGTACGTTAACTCCCCGTACCGGTATCACACTTTTGATTGACTTCGAAAAGGTGCACGACCTCGATAAATTTGCAGGTCTCTAGCTAGCTTGTACCTATACCTTTTCCTGGATAATTTGCAGCAACGCAATATTATGTATTTACCATCTATTCATTTGGCCTGAACAAATGTCCCCTCATTCTGAACAAATGCCCTCCCAGTGCCGGCTGTGCCGTGGGTAAAGTGAGTGGACCGTGCGTCTGACAGTCACCAGGTGATGTCACGGGTAGCACCGCCTGGGTGACGTCACAGTCCCGCCCCGCCGTCTGTGCCAGCACTGGCCGGTGTTGTCCATCATGTCACGTGACCCGGGTGTAGTGACTGGTTTGGAGATTGTTATCGGTGGCCGGCGTTGTCCATCGTGTCACGTGACCCGGGTGTAGTGACTGGTCTGGAGATGGTTATCGGTGGCCGGTGTTGTCCATCGTGTCACGTGACCCGGGTGTAGTGACTGGTTTGGAGATTGTTATCGGTGGCCGGTGTTGTCCATCGTGTCACGTGACCTGGGTGTAGTGACTGGTTTTGAGGGTGTGATCGCTGGTCTGCGACTTTTTCAGGCGTCTTGTGTCCTGTCTGTCTTTGATGTGACTTTATCAGGTGTACCTATAGCGACGGACAGGTCAAGGGCTCATCCCTGACACCTCATGACACCCCCTGACATCCACTGACACTCCCTGACACCCCTGACATCCCCTGACATCCACTGACATCCCCTGACACCCACTGCTACTCCCTGACACCCGCTGACACCCGCTGACACCCGCTGACACCCGCTGACACCCGCTCTTTGGCAGCGGCTGCCGCGGTCGGTCTGTCCGGCGAGGTATAGCGGCGGTTAGCGGCCTCTCACTGCGCAGGTAGCTGGCCCCTGGTCTGATACCCCTGGCGACGTCTGACCCGGCACCTGCAGCTGCATGGAGCCGGCGCCCGGCGCGCGGTGGACATGTAGCCGCCCTGTCACCCCCTGTTGCACCGTCCCGTCACCCCCTGTTAGAGCCACCACCGAGGAATGGCGCCGCCCGCAGCCGAATGACGCGCACACACCCTAGATGGATGGTGTCCCCTACTCCCTAAAGGAATGGTGTTACCCTTACCTACGTAGGAACAGTGTTACCCTGCAACAGGAATGGTGTTACCCCACAGATAAATGGTGCTGCTACCCTAGCTGAATGGTGTTTTTCGTATCTGAATGATGATTCCTTCGATACGAATGTCGAGAAGACCCTTAGAAGAGTGGTGTTAACCCTTCCGAATGCCGCACCCTCTAGAAGAATGGTGTCACCTCCTGCACAAATTTCGAATGGTGTTACCTTATTTATAGGATCTATATGTTACCTCGCAGCCGGAATGGCGTTACCCCGGTAGAATGGTGCTACCCTGGTCCCTGGTACATGCTATCCTGGTAGAATGGTGTCGCCTGGGTAAATGTGTCACCCTGTGGATTTGTGCGGCCTCCGTATGGGCTTCTATCCCGGGCGAGCGAGACAGCTGGCGCTCCCTCCCTCCCTCTGAGGAACGTACCCCGCCGTGACCTCCGGTGACCTCTCCCACCGCTGCTGTACCGGTGACCTCCTCCCTCCGTCCGTCCGTCCGTACGTCCGTCCGTCCGGAGCAAAGGCAGCCCACCATAATCCCATAGGCGGATAGCATCGCCAGTGGGAGGCGGATTATCCAGCGGCCCACCAGTGGAAGGCGGGTTATCCAACGGCCCGCCAGTGGGAGGCGGGTTATCCAACGGCCCGCCAGTGGGAGGCGGGTTATCCAACGGCCCGCCAGTGGGAGGCGGGTGCAACCCACATTACATTAAAGACCGAAAGAGATTCTTCCTCAAACCCCAGATACCATTTACTGTTCATAAAAGACATTCCTTGCACCCTGGCGGCTCTTTTGGATCCAGAAGGGGCTTCGAAGGGTCCCTGTAGCCTCCGAGTGGGTGCTTCGTGCCTAGGTGGCCCGCAGTGGCCCGGCAGTCCTCCGGACGACCTGAGGCCGCGCCCCGTGACCCACCGACGTCCGCGATATCGCGTCATCGCGGCGTCCCTTTGTGTCAGGTGTTGTCATCACCAGCCCGGTGTTCCATCGGCACGTGCAGCGCCTCAGGGACTGAGGGGACCCCGCCCCGCGCGGCTCCGCGCGTATCTGCGACCTCCGGTGACCGCTATTCTCACCCTTGTGACCCCTAGTGTGACCCCCCTGTGACCCCGTAGTGACCCTGCATCTCTGCAGTCTCGGCCCGGCCGGATAGCAGCTGCATTCGTTACAGTGCTCGTCGAGTTTATTACTGAATGCGAGCTGGTTGCCCCTCATGTCTGCTCGACCCCACTTATCCCAGAAGTGACCCTAGTGCGGCACCTGGTGTTCCGTTGAAAGCTGCACGCGTCGATAGAGTCCACGGGGTCAGTATAAACAGCCTTGTGTAGCTGGGGACAGTATTGACCTGGTATCAGATGGCAACATTGGCCATGAACGTAACCTGGTTTCGTGTCATAACTTGTAAAGAATATTTAAAAACGGTGGATGACAGAATGTGTTAGCACCTCGATCAGTTTGCCGGGGTCTCTGTGCTGACTGATGGGGCGCCGCTCTCGAGGCCCTGCGCTGACGCGGCGCGCTGGCCGCCCTTGTTAGAGGCGCACCAGCAGGCCTGCAGGGAGAGGCGGCACTGCGCTGTGCAGCGGCACCACTGCGGCGATATTCCGCCGGTTCTGCCCCGCTGACGTCACTGGCCATTTCCCTAGGAGCAACTCAACAATCTGATGACGACACTGCGCTCCACGCAGCCGCACTTCATCCGATGCATTATCCCCAATGAGCTGAAGGCGCCCGGTAAGGCGGGAACCGCAGAGTCCGCACGGAACCGCAGCGCACCGCGGAACCAGGAGCCCGCACGGAACCTGCACGAGGAGCCATGCCCTCCCCTTCGTGAAACCCTGGACTGCACATGGCGTCTAGAACCCGTCCGTAGACATAGACCATAGACACTACCTGGTGACCCATAGACACCTAGTGTCGGACCCATAGACACCCACTGTCGGACCCATAGACACCCACTGTCAGACCCATAGACACCCACTGTCAGACCCATAGACACCCACTGTCGGACCCATAGACACCCACTGTCGGACCCATAGACACCCACTGTCGGACCCATAGACACCCACTGTGGGACCCATAGCCACCCACTGTCGGACCCATAGACACCCACTGTCGGACCCATAGACACCCACTGTCAGACCCATAGACACCTAGTGTCGGACCCATAGACACCCACTGTCGGACCCATAGACACCCACTGTCGGACCCATAGACACCCACTGTCGGACCCATAGACACCCACTGTCAGACCCATAGACACCCACTGTCAGACCCATAGACACCCACTGTGGGACCCATAGACACCCACTGTCAGACCCATAGACACCTAGTGTCGGACCCATAGACACCCACTGTGGGACCCATAGACACCCACTGTCGGACCCATAGACACCCACTGTCGGACCCATAGACACCCACTGTCGGACCCATAGACACCCACTGTCGGACCCATAGACACCCACTGTCAGACCCATAGACACCCACTGTCGGACCCATAGACACCCACTGTCGGACCCATAGACACCCACTGTCAGACCCATAGACACCCACTGTCAGACCCATAGACACCCACTGTGGGACCCATAGACACCCACTGTCAGACCCATAGACACCCACTGTCGGACCCATAGACACCCACTGTTGGACCCATAGACACCCACTGTTGGACCCATAGACACCCACTGTCGGACCCATAGACACCCACTGTTGGACCCATAGACACCCACTGTCAGACCCATAGACACCCACTGTCGGACCCATAGACACCCACTGTCGGACCTATAGACACCCACTGTGGGACCCATAGACACCCACTGTCGGACCCATAGACACCCACTGTCGGACCCATAGACACCCACTGTCGGACCCATAGACACCCACTGTCGGACCCATAGACACCCACTGTGGGACCCATAGACACCCACTGTCGGACCCATAGACACCCACTGTCGGACCCATAGACACCCACTGTCGGACCCATAGACACCCACTGTCGGACCCATAGACACCCACCTGTGTAAACTCTCCGGGATGGTACCGGGACATCACTAGTTCACTAGTGCGCAGATGACCTCTCGGTGGCCCTCTACTGACCTCTGACCTCTGAGTGACCCTGAGACGCTGACGCGGCTGACGACCCCGGTGTGCGCCCTGATATTTCCCTTTGTTATACAATGTGTGTACTGTGCCCCAGTCGGATAGATGAGCTCCCCTAGCTAGACTGTCAGTAGTCCCTAGTCCACCCGCTGTGCCTCCCCCTGTGACCTGGCATGTGACCTCATATGTGACCCGCCCACCAGCGCGGCCACTCGCTGCCCAGACAGTGTGTGTGCCTGCCGTCCCCTCCCCTGTGCACGCCCCCCCCTCCCGCCGCCGTCCGTGCTGTGCCGTCCTCGTCGCCGCTGCCCCCCTGATGACGTCACACTCACACTGTGTGACGTCACGGCGGACAGGAGCAGCTCAACAACCTGATGGTGACGCTGCGGGCCACTCAGCCGCACTTCATCCGCTGCATCATTCCCAACGAGACCAAATCGCCCGGTGAGTCAGCACTTACACACACCGGGCACAGGGCGCCGCTCACAGGGCGCCTCTCACAGGGCGCCGATCACAGGGCGCCACTCACAGGGCGCCGCTCACAGGGCGCCGCTCACAGGGCGCCGATCAGAGGGAGCCGGTCACAGGGAGACGCTCACAGGGCGCCGATCACACACACCGGTCAGAGGGCGCCAATCACAGGGCGCCGATCAGAGGGCGCCGATGACAGGGCGCCGGTGACAGGGCGCCGCTCACAGGGCGCCGGTCACAGGGCGCCGCTCACAGGGCGCTGGTGACAGGGCGCTGCTCACAGGGCGCCGGGCACAGGGCGCCGGGGGACAGAGGTGGACACAGGTCAGTCGGTCACCGGAACACAGTGCAGAGGAACACACACGGTCCCGGAACACTGGGCTCCGGAACACACAGGGTAACGGAACACAGCGCATAGGAGCCTAAATAGCACCGGAACACAGCGCACCGATGGTGGCACACAGGCTACGATATTCAACCATGAGAGGGTAAACAAATATCAGGGGAGGCACGGAGCTGAACACGGAGACAGGCATAGGCGAGCAAACACGAACAGAGGTCACAAGAGCTGAGCAGAAAGGTCAGGGGTGACTCAGGCGTGGGATCTAAATCCGCACAGACAGTCCAGAGGAACTGCTGAAGAAACTAGACGACCGGCACTACCGGGCCCTCAGTGGCCAGTGAGGGGGGCGGACCCTCACTGGTCAGTGAGGGGGCCGGCCCCCTCACTGGTCACTGTGGGGGACGGCCCCTCACCGGTCAGTGTGGGGAAGGGAACGGACCCTCACCGGTCAGTGTGGGGGACGGCCCCTCACCGGTCAGTGGGGGAAGGGAACGGACCCTCACCGGTCAGTGTGGGACCGACCCATCACCGGCCGGCGCGGTGGTGTGACGCGCGGCCGTGAGCAACAGCCGGTCTGTGTGGGCCGGCCGGCCGCCGTTTGCAGGCGGACCCCATCTCCCCCCGCCTGCCCGCCCCTGCATGTCGACACCTGCCTGTGCCTGTCGTCCCCCCCCCCCCCCACTCCCCAGTCACCCTGTGGTCGCCCCACCTCTTAGATCATGGTCTCGTTTCGTTCTAAGGGACGCTGTGTCGTTGGAAAATGTTTGCTAGGCTGACACGCCTCAGGAGATTAACGTTCCACTTCATTGTGTTTTAAAGTCATTGGGTTTATATGTCATTCAACAATTTAATTCAAAGTTAACGATTGCCTTTGGCACGACGAATCATATTATCTGTTGTGTCAAAGTGAAAGCCTTGGGCGAAAACTCACTGATTAAACTGTTGCTTGACTGAAGTCCGACCGCAACTCCAGCTCCAACTCCAAATACAACTGCAAATCCAACTTTTACTCCAACTCCAACTACATCCCCAACTCCAACTCACCATTGGTGGCACCATTGGTGGTGGCAGGCTCACTGACCATTCAGCTGGCCGGACCATGCACAAGCAGTTCTCCAGCTCTGATCCTGAGCCCTTCTGCAGGATCCTGACCGCCAGCTCCTGACCTCACAGATCCACCGACCCGCTCAACCGACTCCGCTGACCTCTGACCTCCGCTGACCTCTGACCTCCGCTGACCTCTGACATCCGCTGACCTCTGACCTCCGCTGACCTCTGGCCTCCGCTGACCTGTGACCTCCGCTGACCTGTGACCTCCGCTGACCTCTGACCGCCGCTGACCTGTGACCGCCGCTGACCTGTGACCGCCGCTGACCTCTGACCGCCGCTGACCTGTGGCCGCCGCTGACCTGTGACCGCCGCTGACCTCTGACCTCCGCTGACCTCTGACCTCCGCTGACCTCTGACCTCCGCTGACCTGTGACCGCCGCTGACCTCTGACCTCCGCTGACCTCTGACCTCCGCTGACCTTAGACCTCCGCTGACCTCTGACCGCCGCTGACCTCTGACCTCCGCTGACATCTGACCTCCGCTGACCTCTGACCGCCGCTGACCTCTGACCGCCGCTGACCTCTGACCGCCGCTGACCTCTGACCGCCGCTGACCTCTGACCTCCGCTGACCTCTGACCTCCGCTGACCTCTGACCGCCGCTGACCGGCCGCAGGTGTGATCGACTCCCACCTGGTGATGCACCAGCTCACCTGTAACGGTGTGCTCGAGGGCATCCGTATCTGCCGCAAGGGCTTCCCCAACCGCATGGTCTACGCCGACTTCAAGCACCGGTAAGCGGGCGGGACGGGGGACTACCCTCTGCGGCTGACACCGGGGGGGGGGACTCCCCTCTGCGGCTGACACCGGGGGACTCCCCTCTGCGGCTGACACTGGGGGCGGGGACTCCCCTCTGCGGCTGACACCGGGGGCGGGGACTCCCCTCTGCGGCTGACACCGGGGGCGGGGACTCCCCTCTGCGGCTGACGCCGGGGGCGGGGACTCCCCTCTGCGGCTGACACCGGGGGCGGGGACTCCCCTCTGCGGCTGACACCGGGGGCGGGGACTCCCCTCTGCGGCTGATACCGGGGGCGGGGACTCCCCTCTGCGGCTGACACCGGGGGCGGGGATTCCCCTCTGTGGCTGACACCGGGGGCGGGGACTCCCCTCTGCGGCTGACACCGGGGACGGGGACTCCCCTCTGCGGCTGACACCGGGGGGGCGGGGGACTCCCCTCTGCGGCTGACACCGGGGGGGGACTCCCCTCTGCGGCTGATACCGGCCGCTCTGCCGGGACAGACAGCGGGCTCTGCTCACAGGGAGGGGCCTCACCCATCGCGGGTACCTTCACCGGGACAGCACGGCCTCGAACAGGGATCTGTGCTCAAATTGGATAGTCAAGAAAGGCATGTGTTCTTAATGCCTATACAGGAAGACTGAAGACTTTTGTTAGGGTTCCGTGCCTATTTGGACGAATGCCTAAAACAGCGACGTTTTGGCACAGGGAAAGCGCCATGTTAATGGGGACCCGTGTGTTTATCGATTCTTCCTTATTCTTAGTGCCACTATTAAGAGAGGGGATCATTGCAGTTGTATAAAAGGACGGCGCGGGAGCGCCACCCTTCACTCTCCTCCCGTGCCGGTCTCCACTGTGTAGGCCACGGCCCCTGGGCTGTGTGGGCCACGGCCCCTTGGCTGTGTGGCTCCAGTCCCTGGGCAGCGCGGGGTGAGCCATGACTATGTGGGAACGGCGCTGTGGGACTTTGTATAGCATTGACTATGTAGTTATGTATATGTTAGCTCGCGTTACCTGTGTGGAGCTCTCGTATAAGTGCCGTCGCGGTCTCGGCCCTTTGACTCTGCGCACTGAGGCTCCGCGACCAGTGCGCGCCCGGACCATGCTGTCGTGTTGTGTTGTCTGAGTTCCGCTCGCTCACGCTGACTGTTGTGGCGCCGTGTCACCGAAGTTACATAGTGCTGGCTCCCGCCATCATGAAAAAACACGACGACGACAAGGACGCCACCAGGGCCTGCCTAGAGACTATCGAAATGGACCCGGAGAAGTTCCGGCTGGGCCACACCAAGGTAGCCTCTGCCCGAGACCCCGGCTTCACCGCTGGCCGCTGCCGCTTCACCGCGCCGCCACCCAGCACGGCCCCTGGCCTCTGACCTCTGACCTCTGACCTCTGACCTCTGACCTCTGACCTCTGGACCTCTGACTCCTGACCCCTGACGACTGACTTCTGATCTGTCTTGGGACCTCTGAGCGGTCACCTCTGACCATTGACCTCTGACCTTGGCCTCTGACATTTGACCTCTGATCTCTGTATCTGACCCCTGACCTCTGACCTCTGATCAGTGAACAGCTATCTGACAGTCCGCACTGGCGGATCCGACGGCCAGTCAGCAGCCTCTGTCTTCCACACGAGCTCGGCAGCGTACAGCAGACAGCAGTGTGTCCACTCCACATCGGCTGCGGTGACCTTTTGTCGAACCACCCTGCACGTGCTGGGTGGAATGGTGAATCCAGATTTCACGACCCGCCCATTACCCGCCCATGACCCCCGCCCATTACCCGCCCGCGACCCCCGCCCCCGCCCATTACCCGCCCGTGGCTCGTCTGTGACCCTCCGGTGACCTTCTGTTGACCCTGCGGTGACCGTGTGCCCCAAGCTACACAATCCTGGCGCCCAAGCAGATGAAGGCCCTGTCGGACGACAAGGATGCCACCGAAAAGTGTCTGGAGGTCATCGAACTCGAGCACGAAAAGTACCGCATCGGCCACACCAAGGCAGGTGGCCCTGTGGCGCCTGGCCGGAGAGTGTCGGGCCGGGGCCCGCGGCGTGCGGCGCCGGGGTCTGGAGGCCGCACTGCTGCCACAGAGGGTCTCCGTAAACATAGCGGCACTGCAGCTCATAGTAGCCCAGCAGTTTGACCAGCTAAATTTGGTTTATGATAGCGATAATGGGGACGCTGTTCCTTTTGGGCTCTGGTGGCAATAAAAAAAACATCCAGCAGTTTTAGTAGCAAACAAAGAGTGCCGACGTTAGGCGACACACCCTCTGCCGGCGTGCAGCCTCCAGACTGCCGACTCCGCGGTCTCGTGGACGCGGTCTTGTTCTTCGGGCCTGCGAGACTACAGCATCTTGATCCCCTCCCCCTTACTGCATCTTGGTCTCTTCAGCAACTTGGACCCCCTCTACAGCAACTTCGGCCCCTTTACAGCATCTTGGTCCCCCTCCCCTGCATTGACGGGTGCACGGACAAACTTCTGTCGTCCCCTGACTTACCGCACTGGACCGTGCCGAACTGGACTGCGGTCTGGACTCTGGACTGTGTCTGGACTCTGGACTGTGTCTGGAATCTGGACTGCGGTCTGGACTCTGGACTGCGTCCGGAGTCCGGACTGCGGTCTGGACTCTGGACTGCGTCTGGAGTCCGAACCCACACCCCTGACCCGGCCCGCGCACGAACTCTGTATATACCCCCCCCCCCGCGTGCCCGCCTTCTGGCAGAGTTCAGTGACCCCCAGCTCCCTGTCTGGTTTGCGGTGTGAACCCTCCCTCTCCCTGCGAGGCTCGTTTTCCCTGCCATGGTCTGGCCCTGCGATGACCCTGGACCACCGGCTCAGTGGTCCTGGCACTGCAGCTGTACCCCCGGCTGTGGGGAGCGCTGCTCCCTTGGCCCGCGAGTCTGCTCGGTCCGACCACGAGCGACGCCGCTCTAACGCGTTCGTGTTCACCCGAGTGGAAGCTGGAGTTACCTAACCCCACCGGTGGCCCAAACAGGTGTGCAAGACTACAACCTCCTCCTCTGAGTCCCCCCCACCCACCCCCCACCCCCACCAGCGTCCGTTCCCGCGACGCCTCGTCGCAGTGAGTGGGCGCAGTCTGCCTGCGGCCGCGGCTGCCGCTACCACCGGTACAGAGGCGCGGACACTCCTCCCTCGGACACTCAGAGTGAGCCTCCGCCGACACTGGGAGTGACCCTCCGCCCCGGCTGACTCTGGGAGTGACCCTCCGCCCCGGCTGCCACCAGTTACACGACCCCCGGACACTCAGAGTGAGCCTCCGCCGCCACTGGGAGTGACCCTCCGCCCCGGACACTCAGAGTGAGCCTCCGCCGCCACTGGGAGTGACCCTCCGCCCCGGCTGCCACCAGCGTCCGTTCCCGCGGCGCCTGGTCGTAGTAGTGAGCCTCCGCCGCCACTGGGAGTGACCCTCCACCCCGGCTGCCACCAGCTACACGATCCTGTGCCCCAAGAAGACCAAGAACAAGGAGGAAAAGGAGTCGGCCGAGATTATCATGGAGGAAATCGAGATGAACACGGAGATGTTCCGCTTTGGACACACAAAGGCACGCTCAGCGCCCCGCCGAGACGGTCTCGCCGGCGGCGGCAGTCCGGTCCGGTCCACTAGTAGACGTCCGTCACAGATAGATGGCTGCCAAATAGTCGGACCATTGCCCGTGGACCAGTCCGCCGACAGTAGATCTCAGTGTTGCAACTAGATGTCCGTCACAGTTAGATGTCCGATAGATTTAGATATCCATCAACGTAAGATGTCCGATAGAATTAGACGTCCGTAACAGTTAGACGTCCGAAAGGATTAGACGTCCGTAAGAGTTGACGTCCGTAACAGTTAGACGTCCATAAGAGTTAGACGTTTTCGAGATAGACGTCCGTCGCAGTTACAGTCCTCCGACAGTAGATATCCGTCACAGAGGCTAGCTGACCCCGCAGTCCAGTCCGCTAACATTAGATGTCCGTTCTATGTAGAATCAGTGCACGCGGTGCTTCTGAGCTCCTGAGAAGGCAGCGCTGTTCGCAGTGACACTGACGGCCTAGTCCGACCAGAGACAGCGAGATGGTCAGACCAGCGGATCAGTAGGGGTTTGGCGTCTGCTACGTTAGCCGGTCCGTCGTTAAGCAAAGTCTGGTCCGGTCTCCGAGTGAAGTCGGGCCCGTTCTTTAGGTATCGTCCCCGATGTATGTAGTAAACAGTCGTGTCGGACCGCTGTAACACGGTGCACAAAGCGGCTGCGGTCCCCGGGGACCCGTGTTGAGGAGCGCCGCGGCAGCATGCTCAGTGGCCCGTCCGTGCGGCTGATGGTCCCCGGTGACCCGTGTTGAGGAGCGCCGCGGCAGCATGCCCAGTGGCCCGTCCGTGCGTCCGATGGACGCGCCCGCCCCCGAGCCGGGCGGCGGCCTCCCTCGCGGTCTGTGTGTGCTGGGCTGTCTCCCGGGCTGTCCCCCGCCCCCGAGCCGGGCGGCGGCCTCCCTCGCGGTCTGTGTGTGCTGGGCTGTCTCCCGGGCTGTCCCCCGCCCCCGAGCCGGGCGGCGGCCTCCCTCGCGGTCTGTGTGTGCTGGGCTGTCTCCCGGGCTGTCCCCCGCCCCCCCAGCCGGGCGGCGGCGTCCCTCGCGGTCTGTGTGTGCTGGGCTGTCTCCCGGGCTGTCCCCCGCCCCCGAGCCGGGCGGTGCGGCGGCGTCCCTCGCGGTCTGTGTGTGCTGGGCTGTCTCCCGGGCTGTCCCCCGCCCCCCGAGCCGGGCGGCGGCGTCCCTCGCGGTCTGTGTGTGCTGGGCTATCTCCCGGCGGCATGTGTTCGTCTGCCGTTTGTGTCCCCCCCGTGCAAAAGCCCTCTGCAGCGGAGCAGTCCCCGTGTGCCCCTCTGTCAGCATCACACCCGCATGACCCCGAGACCTGTGACGTCACCTCCGCAGTACGGGCGGCCCTCCCCAGCTGACGTCCCCATGTGACGTCAGCCGTGCCGTGTCACCTCGTCTCCGGAGCTCTGCCATCCGACACTGGCCGCCGGAGACCGAGGGACCCAGCATGTTGTACAGTACTGCCTGCTCTCCTGTCCATGTGACGTCACAGTGACGTGCTGTGTGACGTCACCGTGCAGTTACCGGATCCTGGACCCGAAGAAAGTCACGGACGAGTCGGACCCGCGTGACGACTGCGAGCACATCATGACGGATCTGCCGCAGTTCGACAACATGTACCAGTTCGGACATACCAAGGTACCGCAGTCCGCAGTAGACACACCAAGATACCGCAGTACATGTACCAGTTCGGACATACCAAGGTACCGCAGCACATGTACCACTACGGACACGCCAAGGTGCTCTGTGCAGAGGGGCCACTCCTCGAGAGCATTACTGAAAAATCACTGTTCTCACTTGTTTTCACTGAGGATCATGGATCATTGACGGTTGGTGTACATACGCGGCACCTGGAACAGTAGCACTTCAGCAAGCCTCAGCGGGACTTCAGCTAGGTCTTACCAAGGCTTTATCAAGGCTGTACAGTGCAATGCCTGCCCCTGGGCTGCCCAGGGCTTGACCGGGGTTTTACCAGTGATTTGGCAGAGCTTTAACAGAGCCTTACCGGTGCTTCGCAAGGCTTCATCTAGGCTCTGGCACGACTTCGCCAAAGCTTTTACTTAGCAGGGCCGCACGACGGCTTCAGCCGGGCTTCGAGAGGACATTATGAGCGTCTAGCAGTCCTTTTGGGGCTCACTGCTAGCAATCACACAAGTAAATTATAGTTCAATGCGGAGACATCCACAGCAGTTCAAATCTTGTAAGCTGTAATTAATAGACAGTCGAACCTAATGTCGGCAGCTTCTGATCATGGTTCCAGCAGCATGTCGGAAAAACCACTCGCTCCGACCTGCCTCTATGCTCTGTCTGGCCGCTTCACTCTCACGGTCCCTGTGGCAGTCGGTTTGCGCCAGACGCCAGACTTTCCCTTGCGCTCTGCACTGCATGCCTCCCTTCTCGCTGAAGTGAATGGCTGGGACTTCCAGCGACTACCTCGGCCTTCGTGTCAGCATGGCCCCGCGTGCAGCATGATCAGCAGACAACGCCCTGCCGCAGCTGTCGTACTGCCCTCGGCGCCAGCAGCCAGCAGGCGTCACCACGCCTGGTATCGGGACTCCCGAACGCCAAAACAAGATGACGTCCGCGTACCTCGGCACCCGTAGTCATTGCCATGACGACTGAGAGCGTCCCGCAGCCGTTGCCCTGGTTACCGAATGATGCGCCCGGCCGCGGTCACTGCCGATCTGGGTGTGGGGGGTGGGGGTCGGGGGGGGGGGGGGTGGGTGGGGGGCGGCTGCCGTACACCGGCGGTCCGCTCCAACGCCTCAAAGGGCAGCGGCGTCTCCTCAGGGCATGGAAGACTGTCCAGACGACCGCAGGAATAGCCATGTTTTTGTTGGAATAGCCATCGCAAAATACCTGAATTCAAATTTACAAGGGCATTCATTCGATCGTTTTTGACTTCTAGTAAAACATTGACTCTGCTAAAATGAACTAGCATATACCTTAAGAGACCGGTTGTCAGTCACTGATGTAATGCTCGAATTCCGCACTGTAGGTAAAGATAGGTAGGTATTCCTTACGGGACCTGCCGCTGATAGAACGATGGTTTGGAAAAATGCCCAGACGCAGCGATGCTGTGTTTGTGGGTAGGTGTACCAAAATGTGAGGCAAAGTATCCTCAATGTCGAAAATGAAACAGCCACGCTACACAAAATCGGCTCACTGTATCACGAGGATCGCCACCAGCGGCCGCCCATTGCTCCCGCTCCCGAGCCCCGGACCAACCACGCTCCTGATCCTCGCCGAGCCGCACTAACATACCCTTCGTGCTGCCGAGGTAAGTGAGGCTGCATGGCGAGCTGTAGGTACTCGCAATCAATAATACCAATGCTGCACATGTGTGCTAGTTCATCTCAACGCTCCACCATTTTCATTACCGTAAGATAGTTCTCAGGAATTGCAGCGTCATAAATAATCGCAATGTTTGGAAAACCGGCTTCCGTAATTATCTTGCAGTTCCTACAGATAATGCCTTGGATGTGGTCAGCAATGCAGAATCTGCGGTAGTGCTGCGCGCCCGCGCACCCGGTCCCCGGTGCCCTCTGACCGGCCGCCGCTGCAGGTCTTCTTCCGCGCTGGAGTCCTCGGCCAGATGGAGGAGCTGCGAGACGAGCGGCTCTCAAAGATCTTCAGCTGGCTCCAGTCGTGGGTGCGCGGCTACTTCACCAGGAAGGAGTTCAAGAAGCTGCAGAAGCAGAGGTGGGCGGGCTGTCGGCACCGAGCCGAGTCGTATAGTCATTAGAGAGGGGACGACAGGGTCTGCAGAAATATATCTGGGACGGGCTGTCCTCCCCGGGTGGAGTCCTGTAGTAATTGGAGAAGGGCGGTAGTGCCGGCAGAAGCAGATGCGGGGCGGGCTGCCGGCTGACCGGCCGGCCGCCATGGGACTCGGCTCCGCAGTGGTGGGGAGGGGTAGCAGCACTGCAGAAGCAGAGACCTGTGAGGGAATGTCTGTGCGTTGATGCTGTTCTGATTGCGGCTCCACGGTCGGCAGGCTGGCGCTCCAGGTGGTTCAGCGCAACCTGCGCAAGTACATGCAGCTGCGCAACTGGATGTGGTTCAAGCTGTGGCAGAAGATCAAGCCCATGCTCAACGTCACACGCATCGAGGACGAGATGCGCGTGAGTGGACGGATCCGTGGGTCGCGAGCCGACCAAGCGGACCATGCCATACCAAACTCGGGGTGTAGTGCGACGTTAATTAAGTAAATACTTTGACTGTGCGGTGAACTGCGACTGAGTGCGTATGACCACGCCGGTATGACTGCTTCTGACCGTGCCCGTATGACCGTGCCCGGCAGGCGCTCGAGGCCAAGGCCGAGAAGGCGCTCTCGGCCATCGAGAAGGAGGAGAAGCTGCGGAAGCAGCTGGACGACCAGAACGCCCGGCTGACTAAGGAGCGCGACGAGCTGCTGTCCGCCCTCGACGAGGAGAAGGGCAGCATCAGCGACTACCACGCCAAGCAGCAGAAGCTGCAGGCGCAGAAGAAGCAGCTGGAGAAGCAGCTGCAGGTGCGTGCCTGAGGTGGCGGCGGGGACTGGCCGGGGAGCGGACAGCGGCCAGGAGTCACAACCTCCGGCAGGAGCGTGTTATAGTTTTTCTCATTTGTCCTTGAACTGTTGTCTCTGTCAGGGTAAGAGTATAGAAGCCGGAGTGCTTACAAAATGTTTTGTTTTATACCGCAACGCAGCAGCGAAAAAGATAAAGTATTAGCCAGCTTACCATGCTGATTGTTGATGCGTTATATTTACAGGCTACCGAAATTTACGCTGATATTCCTAAAAAAATATGACGGCTTGTATGAAGTTACTGACACTACCATGTGAACTGCCCCGTAGCCTCACCATGTGACCTGATTTTGCGCTTCCCGCGCCCCTGTGGCCTAGCAACCTGACCTTGCTCCCCCTATGTCCCCAAGAGACCGAGTGACCTGACGCTGCGCCCCTTGTGTACCCCACAGGAGACCCAGGACCGCCTCTCCGAGGAAGAGGAGGCCCGCGAGGCGCTGAACCAGGCCAAGAAGAAGCTGGACCAGGAGATGAGCCGAATCAAGAAGGAGCTGGAGGACTACGAGCTGACCATCCAGAAGGCGGAGCAGGACAAGGCCACCAAGGACCACCAGATCCGCAACCTGCAGGACGAGGTGGCCCACCAGCAGGAGCTCATCGCAAAACTCAACAAGGAGAAGAAGCAGCTCCAGGTGCGTTTCAGGGGACAGTGCCGAGTGGGACCACGGTGCCGATTAGAACACTCGGCACTGAGCGCAGAGACGGTCCTGCGAGAAGCAGTCACAAGGGACAGAGGGTGGTTGGAAAGCCAACGGGCTGATGCAAACGGTGGCCATTGCCACGTCAGAATGAAAAACGTGCTGCTTGTTTAAAATAGGTCAGGCCTTAACCTGTCACCATATGTGTCACCGTTCGTACTCCACGACCAAGGCCTCTAGCGCGGCTGTCACCGGTGCGACCCCTGACCGGCGGTCCGTGCTCTCCCACAGGAGAACCAGCAGAAGACCTCGGAGGACCTGCAATGCCAGGAGGACCGCGTCAACCACCTGAACAAGGTGAAGGCCAAGCTGGAGCGCTCGCTGGACGAGCTGGAGGACTCGGTGGAGCGCGAGAAGAAGCTGCGCGCCGACGTTGAGAAGAACAAGCGGAAGGTCGAGGGCGACCTGAAGCTGACCCAGGAGGCTGTGGCCGACCTGGAGCGCAACAAAAAAGAACTCGAGCAGACCATCGCGCGCAAGGACAAGGAGATCGCCTCGCTGTCCGGTGAGTGCGGACGGCCAGGGGCGGCCGCGGCATGTGCATTGACGCGGTGAAATAAATAGCCTCTGTAAGACCAGAAACACATTGCGGTCCACGAGTGTGACGTCGCCGTTCTAGCAGCTGATGTCGCTGTCTGATGCCATTTTGACGTCACGGTGTGGCCCTCTGATGTTGCTGACTCTGACGTCCCGTGCAGCCAAGCTGGAGGACGAGCAGGCGCTGGTCAACAAGCTGCAGAAGCAGATCAAGGAGCTGCAGGCGCGCATCGAGGAGCTCGAGGAAGAGCTGGAGGCCGAGCGGCACGCGCGCGCCAAGGCCGAGAAGCAGCGCTCCGACCTGGTCAGTGGCGGGGAGCGGTCACGGGACGACGAGCTGGCCTGGGGAACGTGGGGACTCGGCTCAGTACTGAATCAGCTCAGTAGAGCAAAACACCGATTCTGAAGGGTAGGCCAAGATATTGCTGATACTTCGACGAATGTGTGTGCTTTTTTTGGCAAACTGAGCACTAAATACTTTCGTAACACTATTTTAGGGTAGTCGGACAGGGGTTTGTGCGTCCTCACAATCAGTGTAATTTCCGAACCATCATCGCATTGCTGAGACTGCGCCTTCTCTTTCTCCGATGAGTCAACGTGCCTTCTCTAGCCCTTTTGACACCACTTTGTCATCGCAGTCGGCAGCCGCGAGCTGGAGGCTCTCGGCGAGCCGCTGCTGTTGCTGTTGTTGTTGCCTCTAACGCCACTGGGTGCTTGGTCGACAGGCCCGCGAGCTGGAGGAGCTCGGCGAGCGACTGGACGAGGCCGGCGGCGCCACCGCCGCCCAGATCGAGCTCAACAAGAAACGGGAGGCCGAGCTGGCCAAGCTGCGCAGGGACATCGAGGAACAGGTGAGTGAGTGAGTCAGTGAGTGAGTGAGTGAGTGAGTGAGTGAGTGAGTGAGTGAGTGAGTGAGTGAGTGAGTGAGTGAGTGAGTGAGTGAGTGAGTGAGTGAGTGAGTGAGTGAGTGAGTGAGTGAGTGAGTGAGTGAGTGAGAGAGAGACACAGAGAATAGAGAGAGAGGAGAGAGCGAGAGACTAAGAGACATCGAGGGATAAGTGTGGCACACGCAGAGACATCAGGACATCGAAAACTTGGTTCGGTGCCAATCCTGCAGTCTGAAACATGCAGAAGTGGCACCGAATCAAGTGACCAGTATACCTTGGCACAGGTGGTCTATGCAGGTTAAAAATTCAGGCAGGTGGTTGTAACCAATACTGAAGACTGGTCCTCCTAGAGAATTGAGGAGCGACTTTCCTTCTTTTGTAGGATCGCCATATACATATGTACCACCGGCTGACGAGCCTATATCATGCGTTCTCAGCCGCACTTGGGCCACAGACTCGCCGCATGCCCTGAGTTGCCACTGCCCCTTAGTGACGGCACGCTGACGTCACACTGACGTCCTCAGCTGACGGCATACTGACGTCATTCACTGACGCTCGTTCGCAGAACATTCAGAACGAGTCGGCGCTGGCGGGAATGCGCCGACGCCACAACGATGCCGTGAACGAGATGTCCGACCAGATCGACCAGCTCAACAAGATGAAAGCCAAGTGAGTGACCGACAGGTTACGTCTTCATGCAGTTTGTGAGTCCTATAATCATTGGGTGACTCACTAATGTGTCGATAGGGGTTCGATTATTAAAATTACAATCGTCTTTCGCTGTTCGCTGCTCATTTAGATTCACTTCTACTGTGCGTACAATTTACTTTTGGAAATCATTTCCATGATCCACCTGGCTCTCACGTGGCAGGACTCCCCAGTCTCTCTGGCACGTTTCTCCGCCCTTACCGGCGAGTTTTTCCGCCCTGACCGTCGCGTTTTTCCGCCCTGACCGTCGCGTTTCTCGCCGTCAGGGCCGAGAAGGACCGCGAGGCCTCGGCCGCAGAGGTGATGGACCTCCGCTCCGGGCTGGATTTCGCCACGACCGAGAAGGTGGGCTCCTCGGGAGGGGCGTGGGCAACTCCGGAAGGGTAGGCAGCTCCCACAGGGAGGTGGGCACCTCCGGAAGGAAAGTGGGCTCCTCTGGAACGGAGGCTACTCTGTGAGGAGATAGGCTCCTTTGAAATGGAAGGTTTGCTACTCCAGGAGGGAGGGCGCTCTGCTCTGGGATTACAGAGCAGAGCAGAGTGATTCGATGGCTTTTAATTTTTGCCACGCAGTATGTGTATTGTGTATTTCATAAAAAGCAGTCTTTAAACAGTATGTGCGCCTTTAAATCTCACTATCCCGCTTGTTTTCGCCGTGCGCCACTTCTGATGTCAGTTGATGCTAGTTTGTGCCCCGGCTGACGTCCTCTGACGTGTTCGTGTCCCCCTGGTGGCGTCAGTCGGCCGCCGAGAAGGCCAACCGTGTGCTGGAGCAGCAGACGGCCGAGGCGTCCGCCAAACTGGACGAGGCCAACCGAGCGCTCAACGACTTCGAGGCCGCCAAAAAGAAACTGGCCATGGAGAACGCCGACTACACCCGACAGGTGCGTACCTACTTGATGCGCTCGCGTGCGAGGCAGAATGACACACAGGTGCCGCTGCTCTATGTCAGGGCGACAGACTCTCTTCTGGAAAAGGATAATCAGCGCGCAGTCTTAACACTTTTTAAACTGACACATTTGAGGGCCCCACGCTGGACGCCGTATTAGATGCATTCTTAATGTTTCAAAAGTGGAGTAAACACTCTCTGGCGTCTCAGTCGAACGGTTCACTTAAGTTTATTTCTTCAAAATAAGACAATGTATAATAAGTAAAAAGTGTATACTTCTTGTTCACGATGCATGACAAACTTTTATATGCATCATCTCGTCTGGCTTTCGTCAATTAGTTGCTGTTGCTGCTAGCTCGCCTGTTTTTTTTTCTTCACATTTTGGGATTACTCTTTCCCTGCACTGATTTTTCTGCGTCTGTGTGTTGTGTGCGTGTCTGCAGTTGGAGGAGGCCGAACAGAACATTGCGCAGCTCTCCAAGATGAAGGTGTCACTGACCACACAGCTCGAGGACACCCGCAAAATGGCCGACGAGGAGTCGCGCGAGAAGTCTGGAATTCTGGGCAAATACCGCGCGCTGGAGCACGAGATGGACTGCCTGCGGGAACAGGTGGGAAGCGACAGGGGACAGGCGGGAAAAGTGGCGACAGGCTAGATGGGCGCAGGCCCATGTCACTCCACTTTTGATGACATCATATGGGGGCCTCAGGACAATAATGACGCGGCGCGCCACAATCGCTTCAAAGCTACTTGCCAACAGTTGCCATTTTTGAAAATATTATTTTGAAATAAAGTTCCAAGTAATAAAAATATTGTAATAAAGTTGTTGAATAATTCCATACCATATCTAAAAACTTACTGAAAAATGATTTATTCATAGTAAAAATATAAGCTCGATGCGTTTTTACGTTGCTTTCCTTCAACTGCAGAGGGTTTTTAAATCGTCTATATCTTCAAAACCGGCCATTTCTTAGCATATTGCTGCTCTTTTTTATCGCTAGAAAATTAGTTGGACTTTCCAATGACATCAATGGTTGAGCGATATGTGTAGAGTGTCACCAACAATCTTCAAATGAAGTTAGTCATTTTTACGTTGTAAAGGAATGGAGTACCCCTATCGAGCATCAGGGGTGACGTCACTCAGGATCTGTCTCTGATTGGTCGGCGGGAGAGTGACTGTACCTTCTATAGATGGCCTTGGATGGGCGCATCGGGTCATCGTGGAATGCCCATGACAGCCAGTATCATCAGAGGTCACATGTAGCCGCCGCAGTCATCGGCCCTGGTAGCGTAGTTGGTGTTTCCATCATCCCGGTGGTCGGGAAGTTTTGAGTTCGATACGATTCCTCATGGCGCCGCCCGCACCCTCCGAGGGAGGCGCTGTCTCCAGCTGCGTCGCCAAGAGTGGGATGGGCTCTCGCTGCTTTCGCAGCCCCAGGGGGGGGGGGTAAAGAGACGAGTAGCAAGGGCTTTCCTGAAACTAGGAAACTGAAAACTAAATTTTCATCTTGCTTTGTTGCATATGTTCGTCAAAAGGAATTTGAAAAGTCTACGTATGGACATTTTCGAAGATTTTGGACGACATCAAACCATTTTTAAACTAACTGACTTGAAAGCAATTTATTATATATATGGTCCATGCTTGCATGACACACACACCTTACGGTTTTTGAAAATTTCGAAAAATATCGATTTTTATACCATTTTCTATACATTTGCTTTTTTGAGAATTTTCCGGTCCAAACTTCAACGTTTGGGAAATTTGTGATAGCTATTTTGTATAACTCAACATTCAACGTCCTATCATAATTTAAAATTTGAAATTGCTTATCAAATGACAGGGAAGTGGCTGTTTGAATATTGACCTTATTTTGGCTCGAAAATTGCGTATAGTGACGTCATAAAACTGTCATTTTTCCAAAGTTTCCCGACAGATTTCGCCGAAAGTTTGAGAGCATGTGTCAAATTGATGCAAAAGAAGGCACTGAAACTATCGTGTCGATAGCATACGCGGCTCATGAGTTAACGCAAAAATCCGGGAGGGGGCAATATTTGCCCCCCCCCCAGGGCCACATGGGTTTAACATTAATTAGGAAGACAGTCATGAAAGCCAAGTGAGATAGCTGTTGCAGGGTTGGGTGTTTCCTAAGGTAGTTTTTGTGCTTGGTCAAGTAGCTGATGTCATTGCGGATCACAGGGACTATCCCACCTTTAACATGGGGTTTGAGTTGAGATAGCCAAGTTTGCGGCGAGGTTCAGAAACCACTATCTATCTAGGTTGCAACCCCCGCGGCCTCTTGGTGTTGAAGAAATTCGTTCCCTTCATTTGAAAATGGGCCTTGTGCAAGGCCTTATCTTCAACATGGAGCGACCGTTAGTGTGACGTCACCTCGTTTAGTCATTCTGATTTAAATGGGTTTGTTCGTTGAAAAATCGCTTAAAACTTGGTCTGAACTTTGTTGTGGTGCCTACAGAGTAAAAAGAATCAGCTTTATGACAGTAATGTGGCCTGGGGAAGGAGGTAATTTTGGGCTGTGACGTCACATATTTGAAAGTTTGTGTTTGGAATATGGGAAGCCTAAGATGTTTCATGAAATAAAAATGCCAGAACCGTGTTCCTGGTCATCCAATCTATAAAGTCGGGCACAATTTAACTGGTTTTAACAACATTTTAGAAGGTGGGATAGTCCCTTTAAGATTTTTCTTTTTTAAATAGATGGGTTGGTAAGCTGAATGTGAGAACAACTGGGAATATATGAGAACAATGATATGGTGCCACTATGGTTTAGCGTTCAAGTATATGCATAACGCAACTGAGAAAAGGCTAAGAACTTCCCAATATGTTGTTAATTCGATTCAAGTGAGGCTGCAGCTTGACGTCATAGGTAACGTGTCTGTGTGTGACGTCACAGGTGGAGGAAGAGGCGGAGCATAAGGCCGAGCTACAGCGACAGCTCAGCAAAATCAACGCCGAGGCGCAGATGTGGAAGCAGAAGTACGAGCAGGACGGCCTGGCCCGGTGAGTGACGCCATCAGTGGCTGGCGTCACCAATAAGTGACGTCACTATCGGCCAATGAAAGGGATAAGCAGGGATAGTCTCAGTTCCTGAGTGGATCTCGCCATGACAGCCAACGGTGCTATTGTTATTTCAGATGCATACTCGCTATTTGCTGTCAATTTACACCTTTAAAACCCTATTCCGGGCGGAGGGGGGGGGGGGTTTAAGGCCCCCTCTTCAGGTTTTTCTTGTGCCATTGCCAAACGCCGCAAGACTGAAAGCTCATACTCGGTGACTTTTTCTGAACATTCATTGCGCACATTTTGACAAAAAGAGTTACCGGTCAGGGCAGGTCAGGTCACCAGAGGCGGTTTGTTGACCCCACCTCAGAAAAGTTTGCAATCACGCCAGAGCTAGAGTTTTTGACTTATCAATTTGTTCTCTTCAGGTTTTAGTTAGGGTACCAATATCTGCAATTTGCATATCTCAGAATTTTCATATCTGTGACCTGAGGTCAGGCCAGACTCGTGACCTTTACATTGCAAGCCTATGGAAAAAATATTTGAAATGCCTCCTACTTCGTGTAAACGAGTCAAAACCACTCAATTCTTTCAGTATTATGGAAGATTATCTCATCGGTGATGATCCTGGTGCCGCTTATTGACAGGGGCACCGGGAAAGGTCATCTGAGGTCATGTGACGTCATAAATCGTTTTCTGTCAATAAATCACGACATGATGGTGCTTAACCCGCGCCCTGCTGGGGGGGTGTTTGAACACCCCCCTTGTGGTTTTTCGCGAATATCTCAAAAACGGCGGCGCGGAGCGCCGCCGTTTTTGGTACACCTTATCATACATCAATTCTACACATGTTGTGAAAATTTCAGACCAAGGTCATTCAAGGTCAGGTCACCAGGTCACTTGAAGTGACCTCACCTCATAAAAACTTTCAATGTCTGTCATAGCTACATCCAGTGACCGATCGCTTTGAAACTTTCAGCGATTGCTAAGAGCAATAGCATGTACAAAATTTATATCTCAGAATTTTGATATCGATGACCTAAGGTCAGGTCAATTTTGCGACCTCCCCATTATAAGTCAATGGGAGAAAATTGAAATGCGCCTCTTTTGGATGATTGACATTATAAACACTCCCAAACACCGAATTACAAGTGGTTTAGACACACTGAACTTGAAAATGGTGTCCGTGACCCTTGTTTATGCCCTGAGGTCATCTTAGGTCACGAATGGTATCTAACAGTTTTTCGCAAATAACTTTTGATAGAGGCATGCTAGAGCGATGAAAACGCCTTAGATGTGTTCAGCTTGACGATACGGATCGACTGATATGCAACATGACCCTTTCCGGTCAGGTCATGACCTTGACCTGAGGTCAAATTTTCAAGTTGACCTTTCAAGGTCAAGTTATAGTTCATTCGATGCGTCTTGACGAGAGGAACACGATGCCGGTAAAAGTAAGCTCGTACAAGGCTTGGGTCAAAAGTTATTGCAGAAAAACTGTTTTCGAAAAAAATCGGTTATTTTTGCAGTTTTTGCCCCCTGCAGGCAAAACCGTTGACGTTAGGTCAAATCTGAGGGAATTACTCAGAAAGGGCGTTAATAGGGCTATCGAATGCGCTTTTCCGCGGCGCTGTAGCTCTATTGGTTCCCGAGTTATGCGTTGGCTTCTTGGAAATTTTCGACATTCGACCTGGAAATCGGCGAAATTTTGCCTTCAATGACCTCTGGTGACCTGACCTTTGACCTGACCAAAAAATTGACCGAAGTGATTTCGTCATTATTTTTTACGCTCTTTCGAACGCCGCCTTCCGCGTATCGCTACGTGGCCCAGGAGCCGAGTTACAAGGGGGGTGTTCAAACACCCCCCCCCCCCAGCAGGGCGTGGAAATCCAGGACCCCCAGCAGGGCGCGGGTTAAGACTTGTAAGTGGTACCAAATTGCTCGCCTGGTCAAGGCGCGTCGTTTGGTATGCAGCATGACCATACCCCAGAACCTCATTAGTGAATGACCTGACCTTGACCTCAGGTCAAATTTCAAAGTGACCTGTGAAGGTCACCGCATGCTTATTTCGCATCGTCTCGACGAGAGCAACAAAAATGTATTACTTTTATGTCTCTATATTTCTTAGTTTAAAAAATAAAAGGTAAAGTAACTAATTCCAAAACATTTTATCGTTGATGACCTCTGGTGACCTCAATATTGACCTGACCCGAAAATGTTTTATATAGACGTTGTAGAACTTCAAACGACCTATCAAACGCCGTTTGCCGTTTGTCGCTGTAATGTGTAGTTTTTGAAATCTGAAGGGGGCTGAAAAGGCCCCCGCCAAGAATCAAACCTTTCAGAGCCCGCCCGGAATAGGGTTAACTGCGACTATTGTTTCGCCATTTCCGGTCGGCCATGTTGTGCTGACCGGTCGGCCATGTTGTGCTGACAGGGTGGAGGAGCTGGACGACCAGCGCAGCAAGCTGGCGCTGCGCCTCCAGGAGGCCGAGGAGCAGCTCGAGTCGCTCAACGCCAAGAACAGCCAGCTGGAGAAGCTGAAGCAGCGCCTGAGCGGCGAGCTCGAGGACATGCACATGGAGGTGGACCGGGCCCAGCAGCTGGCGCTGGCCATGGAGAAGAAGGCCCGCAACTTCGACAAGGTAGCCGGGGCCGGGACCGCTGTGACTGGGCGCCGCCGTTGGTGGAAGGGAGGGAAGCTGAGAGCGGGTGCCGCCAGAAGAGGAAGGCGGGGACTGCCGTCATTAGGGAGATGCGGTCGCGCTCTGTGCTGGCGCAGACTGAGGGATATGGGGACGCGCTCTGTGCTGGCGCAGACTGAGGGATATGGGGACGCGCTGTGTGCTGGCGCAGACTGAGGGATATGGGGACGCTCTGTGCTGGCGCAGACTGAGGGATATGGGGACGCGCTGTGTGCTGGCGCAGACTGAGGGATATGGGGACGCTGTGTGCTGGCGCAGACTGAGGGATATGGGGACGCTGTGTGCTGGCGCAGACTGAGGGATATGGAGCCGCGCTGGGTGCTGGCGCGGGCTGGGTGGTCAGAGGGCGTCAGCTAGGATGATAGGCCAGATCTGTCTGATACAGAAGGCGGAGCCATGTTAGAATCACGCGAGACCAGTCCCGAGATCTCACGCCGGTGAACACGTGTGGAGGATGAGGTCGATGACCACCACCCCGGGCCGACTGACGCCCCCGCTCCCTGGCGCGACTGATTCCTCCCCCCCCCCCGCTCCTCCTCCAGAGGCTCCAGGTGGTGGACGTCTCCCCTGGCCCGACTGATTCCTTACCCCCCCCCCCCTCTCCTCCTCCAGAGGCTCCAGGTGGTTGACGTCTCGCCTGGCCCGACTGATTCTTCCCCCCGCTCCTCCTCCAGACGCTCCAGGTGGTGGACGTCTCCCCTGGCCCGACTGATTCCTCCCCCCGCTCCTCCTCCAGACGCTCCAGGTGGTGGACGTCTCCCCTGGCCCGACTGATTCCTCCCCCGCTCCTCCTCCAGACGCTCCAGGTGGTGGACGTCTCTCCTGGCCCGACTGATTCCTCCCCCCGCTCCTCCTCCAGACGCTCGAGGTGGTGGACGTCTCCCTGGCCCGACTGATTCCTCCCCCGCTCCTCCTCCAGACGCTCGAGGTGGTGGACGTCTCCCTGGCCCGACTGATTCCTCCCCCGCTCCTCCTCCAGACGCTCCAGGTGGTGGACGTCTCCCTGGCCCGACTGATTCCTCCCCCCGCTCCTCCTCCAGACGCTCCAGGTGGTGGACGTCTCCCCTGGCCCGACTGACGCCTCCCCGCTCCTCCTCCAGACGCTCGAGGTGGTGGACGTCTCCCCTGGCCCGACTGACGCCTCCCCGCTCCTCCTCCAGGTGGTGGCTGAGTGGAAGCTGAAGGTGGAGGACCTCTCCACCGAGCTGGACGCCTCGCAGAAGGAGTGCCGCAACTACAGCACCGAGCTGTTCCGCGTCAAGGCCGCCTACGAGGAGTCGCAGGAGCAGCTCGACTCGATCCGCCGAGAGAACAAGAACCTCTCCGACGAGATTAAGGCGCGTGCGGCCGGGACTGGAGAGAGGGCCGTCTGTCCGCACCCTCCTACCGGCTGTCTTCGCAGTGCCGCTGCATTTTCCGCTCCTCTTCACCTCTTTTTACAAGCTTGTTTTCGCTATGGGACAGCTCTTTGTCTTTTCTATACTATTCTCCTGATGTGAAAAACATGAGGTACAGCCCACCGCTAAAGTAATGTGTGGTTTTACCAATCTCAACGGATGGCTTTGACCGACGATTTTTAAATGCGGACTGATTGAAAAGAAGACGTCAATAGATAAAGTTGTAGCTGCAAGGGTGAAGATACATGTAAGCTACATTAAAGTCTCGTAGCAGTCTGGCTGATCGTTCCTAGGCCTCAGAAGCAGAACATACCCATGACTGAAACCACACATTACTTCTGCTGTGGACTGTACCTTGAGTGCTAGCGGAAAGGTCGTCAACACACCGCTGCCAGCGGTGACCTCAGGTACCCCGTGTGGTCACACTGACCCCGCAGTCCGCTGCAGGACCTGATGGACCACATCAGATCCTGCACAGGACCCCGTGTGGCCACACTGACCCCGCAGTCCGCTGCAGGACCTGATGGACCAGATCAGCTCCTGCACAGGACCTTGTGTGACTCGCTGACGTGGTGTGTCCGCTGCAGGACCTGATGGACCAGATCGGCGAGGGCGGCCGCCACATCCACGAGGCAGAGAAGGCGCGGAAGCGGCTGGAGGTGGAGAAGGAGGAGCTGCAGTCGGCCCTGGAGGAGGCCGAGGCCGCCCTCGAACAGGAGGAAAACAAGGTGACCGCCCGACCTGACGCGACCTGACCTGACCCACCCGTCCCCGACTCAACACTTGGCGCAATGTACAAGTTACAACCACCGATAGTTCAACTTAGCACCACTGGTACCGTTACAGGATCGGTGTCTAACTCGTAATCGAAGTGTTCACTTATTCGACATATTGGTCCACGATATCTCGGAGCTTACAGGCCTCAGTCTGTCGGACTCACATAAAGCCATTGTAACAGGCTGGCACAGGTGCAGGTACAAGCACCAGCAGACGCGTCTTTGACTGTGTCAGGTCTCTCGCAGATAGGCAATGCTATGAACTTACTGCTGTTCCCGGAGTAGGTCAGCTGATGGTCCCCGGGCAGGTCAAGTGATGTTCCCGCAGAAGGTCAGGTGATGTTCCCGGAGAAGGTCAGGTGATGCTCCCGGGGTAGGTTTGGTGATGCTCCCGGGGTAGGTTTGGTGATGCTCCCGGGGTAGGTCTGGTGATGCTCCCGGGGTAGGTCAGCTGATGGTCCCGGGGTAGGTCAGCTGATGGTCCCGGAGTAGATCGGCTGATGTCACTGCCCCGTTCCAGGTCCTGCGGGGTCAGCTGGAGCTGCAGCAGGTTCAGCAGGAGACCGAACGACGGGTGGCTGAAAAGGAGGAGGAGTTCGAAAACACACGGTAAGGGTGGGAGAGGCGGAATAAAACACAGGCTGAGCGTGGGGAGAGACGGGGCGAATGAAGGTGCCTGAAATGTTGCTTGACACTGTATTTGCTCTCCTTTCAAGCGGCTTCATTTGATAAAAAAAAAAATATATTCGGACGGCTGGAAAATCCCTCAGCCGATGACAGGGCAGTGTGTGCAGGCCAGGGCCAGATCGAAGGAGTAGCGCTCGCGGACTGCCCAGTGTTACCTGCACCTATATCTCTTTTGTTATCCCTCTGTTACATCTCTGTTACCCTCTGTTATCCCTCTGTTACCCCGCAGGAAGACGCACCAGCGCGCCCTGGACTCGATGCAGGCGTCGCTGGAGGCCGAGGCCAAGGGCCGCGCCGAGGCCATGCGCATGAAGAAGAAACTGGAGCAGGATATCAACGAGCTGGAGATCGCGCTGGACCAGGCCAACAAGGCCAACGCCGAGGCGCAGAAGACGATCCGGCGCTACCAGGCCGAGATCATCGAGCTGCAGGTCAGTGGCGATACCGAGATTATCCAGCTGGAGGTCAGTGGGGATACCGAGATTATCCAGCTGGAGGTCAGTGGCGATACCGAGATTATCCAGCTGGAGGTCAGCGCCGATACGAAACACGAGGCCGAGGCTGGTGTAAGGCAAACAGGCGAGGTACGCTGACGAAGTAGAATGACAGAGCCGTTGGCGGGTAGTGGGACGTGTGTCAGTCGCCGTGTTTGACTGTATGGTTTTTGTGTGTAACGCGACAGGCCCGTCTGGAGGAGGAGGTGCGCATGCGCGACGACCTGCGGGAACAGCTGGGCACCTCGGAGCGGCGCGGCAACGCGCTCAGCGGCGAGCTGGAGGAGAGCCGCACCCTGCTGGAGCAGGCCGATCGCGCCCGGCGCCAGGTGAGAAGAGCGAGAGAGAGAGAGAGAGAGAGAGAGAGAGAGAGAGAGAGAGAGAGAGAGAGAGAGAGAGAGAGAGGAGGTATGTAGGAGAGAGGGATGGTGGAGGAAGGGAGAGAGAGGGAGGGGGAGGGAGGAGAGCCGCACCCTGCTGGAGCAGGCCGATCGCGCCCGGCGCCAGGTGAGAAGAGTGGGAGGGAAGAGATGGAGAGGAATGAGCTACTTCTTCCTCGACAATGTCTATCTCCAAATTCTACAAGCTGAAGTGGATCTTGCAGATTACATTCGTTCTGAGACTGGGGTAGTGGGGTGGCCCCCTACCCCATCCTTCAGGCGGAGCTGTATGTGACAGTCTCTCCTTTCCCCCTCCCCAGGTGGAGCTGGTCCTGACGGATGGTCTCATATCCAGCTGTATCTGACCGTGTTTCCCCTTCCCCAGGCGGAGCTGTGTCTGACAGTATGAATCCTCCCCTGCAGGCGGAGCTGTGTCTGACAGTATGAATCCTCCCCTGCAGGCGGAGCTGTGTCTGACAGTATCCTCCCCTGCAGGCGGAGCTGTGTCTGACAGTATCCTCCCCTGCAGGCGGAGCTGTGTCTGACAGTATCCTCCCCTGCAGGCGGAGCTGTGTCTGACAGTATGAACCCTCCCCTGTAGGCGGAGCTGTGTCTGACAGTATCCTCCCCTGTAGGCGGAGCTGTGTCTGACAGTATCCTCCCCTGTAGGCGGAGCTGTGTCTGACAGTATCCTCCCCTGTAGGCGGAGCTGTGTCTGACAGTATGAACCCTCCCCTGTAGGCGGAGCTGTGTCTGACAGTATCCTCCCCTGCAGGCGGAGCTGTGTCTGACAGTATGAATCCTCCCCTGCAGGCGGAGCTGGACCTCACAGACGGCCAGGACCAGCTCTCCGAACTGCAGGCCAACTACACGGCCGCCACCCTGGCCAAGCGGAAGCTGGAGGGCGAGGTGCAGTCTCTGCACACCGACCTCGACGACATGCTCAACGAGGCAAAGAGCTCCGAGGAGAAGGCCAAGAAGGCCATGGTGGACGCCGCCAGGTGGGCTCCACAAATGTGGAAAATGTGGACGATGGCAGGCATGGTGGGTGGAGACAGGGAAACGTGGAGCGGGTGTCAGTGCAAAGGGCCGAACTGGATGGTATGTACAGTGGAGCGTTAGAGCGGGTCTATGATCAATAGGGATGAGCAGGGTTTCTGGACTCGGTTGTCTGGGGCAGAGAGCCATTGTTTGCGACACGGTCAGGCTGTTGGTAATTGTTTTAGCTGATGCCCTGTCTGTGACCAGCACCCACTGACTTGTATGTCCTGATTTACGTCACCCACTAGCATGTGTCTGTATCCTGTGTCCCGTCCGGTGACCTGTGCGCCTGTATCCGGTGTCCCGCTTGTCCTATATCCTGTGTCCCGCGTGTCCTGTGTCCCGCGTGTCCTGTGCCCCGTGGGTCCTGTGTCCCGTGTGTCCTGTGTCTCGCGTGTCCTGTGCCCCGTGGGTCCTGTGACTCCTGTGTCCCGCGTGTCCTGTGTCCCGCGTGTCCTGTGTCCCGTGTGTTATGTCTGTGAGCTGTGTCCCGTATCCTGTGGTCCGCGTTGTGCCGGGACCTGCATCTGTAACGGAGCCTGTCCGCAGGCTGGCTGACGAGCTGCGAGCCGAACAGGAGCACTCCCTCTCGCAGCTCAAACTCTGCAAGAGTCTGGAAGTGCAGATCAAGGACCTGCAGGTGAGTAGCGCTGGGCGGCGGCGGTGGAGCGGTCTGTGCGCGAGCCGGTCACCGGGCCGGGACTATATCGACCCACGCCGGGTCACCGGACAAGGGACTATATCGACCCACGCCGGGTCACCGGACAAGGGACTATAGCGACCCACGCCGGGTCACCGGACAAGGGACTATAGCGACCCACGCCGGGTCACCGGGCCGGGACTATAGCGACCCACGCCGGGTCACCGGGCCGGGACTATAGCGACCCACGCCGGGTCACCGGACAAGGGACTATAGCGACCCACGCCGGGTCACCGGACAAGGGACTATATCGACCCACGCCGGGTCACCGGACAAGGGACTATAGCGACCCACGCCGGGTCACCGGACAAGGGACTATATCGACCCACGCCGGGTCACCGGGGCGGGTGTGTTCCGACCTGAGCTGTCACTCCATTCATTTGAAGTTTGGAGCCGTGGCTGGAAAACATATCTTCTTGTTCGTTTTCTGAAGCCGGGTGAATGACTTGTCACGTCTAGCTCTCTTCATCAGCGAAAATTGTTCCAGCCATTTCGTGAGCTCACTTTAATTGAGCCACCAAATAAGGTCGTCTCTGCTCATCGCGTTCCCTCCACCCGTTTAAGATCGCCCTGAACTGTAACCCATGTCCTATCGTCTGCCCATGAGCCGCGCTGACCTACCCTCTGCCCACTGAGGACCCGCTGACCTGTCACCTGATCTGTGACCTCCGCCCTGCCCAGGCGCGCGTCGAGGACGCCGAGCAGAACGCCATCAAAGCGAGTCGCAAGATCATCGCCAAGCTGGAGGACCGGGTGCGGACTGTGGAGCAGGAGCTGGACAGCGAACAGCGCCGCCACAGCGAGGCCCAGAAGAACCTGCGCAAGACCGAGCGGCGCATCAAGGAGCTCAGCTTCCAGGTCAGAGAGGGCGGTGGCGGCCGGCGGGCAGGGAGGAGGGACCGAGGGAGGGGTCGGCGGCAGGGGCCTGTCTGACGGACGGCCGCCAGACTTCTCCACTGCTCAACAAATAGTGCAATGCTCCCGGACCCTGAGCGATGCAGCCCGTTTAATTTTCCACAGCTTTCTTGAGGAAGTGGCATCAATGATGTCAAGTTTGCGTCTGTGCGGTCTAGCGCGTCCGTTCGCACCGCTCTGACTGACGCGCGGCACTGAGCACCTGTGTTCCCTCCGAGCGACCCTCCCCTCCTGCCGCGGCACTGAGCCCCCTGTGTTCACTCCGAGTGACCCTCCCCCGCGCGGCACTGAGCCCCCTGTCTTCCCTCCGAGTGACCCTCCCCTCCTGCCGCGGCACTGAGCCCCTGTGTTCCCTCCGAGTGACCCTCCTGCCGCGCGGCACTGAGCCCCCTGTCTTCCCTCCGAGTGACCCTCCTCTCCTCCTGCGGCACTGAGCCCCTGTGCTCCCTCCGAGTGACCCTCCCCTCCTGCCGCGGCACTGAGCCCCCTGTCTTCCCTCCGAGCGACCCTCCCCCCGCGCGGCACTGAGCCCCCTGTGTTCACACCGAGTGACCCTCCCCTCCTGCCGCGGCACTGAGCCCCCTGTGTTCCCTCCGAGTGACCCTCCCCTCCTGCCGCGGCACTGAGCCCCCTGTGTTCCCTCCGAGTGACCCTCCCCCGCGCGGCACTGAGCCCCCTGTGTTCCCTCCGAGTGACCCTCCCCTCCTGCCGCGGCACTGAGCCCCCTGTGTTCACTCCGAGTGACCCTCCCCTCCTGCCGCGGCACTGAGCCCCCTGTGTTCACTCCGAGTGACCCTCCTGCCGCGCGGCACTGAGCCCCCTGTGTTCACTCCGAGTGACCCTCCCCTCCTGCCGCGGCACTGAGCCCCCTGTGTTCCCTCCGAGTGAACCTCCTCTCCTGCCGCGGCACTGAGCATCCTGTCTTCCCTCCGAGCGACCCTCCCCCCGCGCGGCACTGAGCCCCCTGTGCTCCCTCCGAGTGACCCTCCCCTCCTGCCGCGGCACTGAGCCCCCTGTGTTCCCTCCGAGTGACCCTCCTCTCCTGCCGCGGCACTGAGCCCCCTGTGCTCCCTCAGAGTGACCCTCCTCTCCTGTCGCGGCACTGAGCCCCCTGTCTTCCCTCCGAGTGACCCTCCCCTCCTGCCGCGGCACTGAGCCCCTGTGTTCCCTCCGAGTGACCCTCCTGCCGCGCGGCACTGAGCCCCCTGTCTTCCCTCCGAGTGACCCTCCCCTCCTGCCGCGGCACTGAGCCCCCTGTGTTCCCTCCGAGTCACCCTCCTCTCCTGCCGCAGCACTGAGCATCCTGTCTTCCCTCCGAGCGACCCTCCCCCCGCGCGGCACTGAGCCCCCTGTGCTCCCTCCGAGTGACCCTCCCCTCCTGCCGCGGCACTGAGCCCCCTGTGTCCCCTCCGACTGACCCTTCCCTCCTGCCGCGGCACTGAGCCCCCTGTGTTCCCTCCGAGTGACCCTCCCCTCCTGCCGCGGCACTGAGCCCCCTGTGTTCCCTCCGAGTGACCATCCCCTCCTGCCGCGGCACTGAGCCCCCTGTGTTCACTCCGAGTGACCCTCCCCTCCTGCCGCGCGGCACTGAGCCCCCTGTCTTCCCTCCGAGTGACCCTCCTCTCCTGCCGCGGCACTGAGCCCCCTGTGCTCCCTCCGAGTGACCCTCCCCTCCTGCCGCGGCACTGAGCCCCCTGTGTTCCCTCCGAGTCACCCTCCCCTCGTGCCGCGGCACTAATCCCCTGTGTTCCCTCCGAGTGACCCTCCCCCGCGCGGCACTGAGCCCCCTGTGTTCCCTCCGAGTGACCCTCCCCTCCTGCCGCGGCACTGAGCCCCCTGTGTCCCCTCCGACTGACCCTTCCCTCCTGCCGCGGCACTGAGCCCCCTGTGTTCCCTCCGAGTGACCCTCCCCTCCTGCCGCGGCACTGAGCCCCCTGTGTTCCCTCCGAGTGACCATCCCCTCCTGCCGCGGCACTGAGCCCCCTGTGTTCACTCCGAGTGACCCTCCCCTCTTGCCGCGCGGCACTGAGCCCCCTGTCTTCCCTCCGAGTGACCCTCCTCTCCTGCCGCGGCACTGAGCCCCCTGTGCTCCCTCCGAGTGACCCTCCCCTCCTGCCGCGGCACTGAGCCCCCTGTGTTCACTCCGAGTGACCCTCCCCTCCTGCCGCGCGGCACTGAGCCCCCTGTCTTCCCTCCGAGTAACCCTCCCCTCCTGCCGCGGCACTGAGCCCCCTGTGTTCCCTTCGAGTGACCCTCCCCTCCTGCCGCGGCACTGAACCCCCTGTGTTCCCTCCGAGTGACCCTCCCCTCCTGCCGCGGCACTGAGCCCCTGTCTTCCCTCCGAGTGACCCTCCCCTCCTGCCGCGCGGCACTGAGCCCCCTGTGTTCACTCCGAGTGACCCTCCCCTCCTGCCGCGGCACTGAGCCCCCTGTCTTCCCTCCGAGTAACCCTCCCATCCTGCCGCGGCACTGAGCCCCCTGTGTTCCCTCCGAGTGACCCTCCTATCCTGCCGCGCGGCACTGAGCCCCCTGTCTTCCCTCCGAGTAACCCTCCCCTCCTGCCGCGCGGCACTGATCCCCTGTGTTCACTCCGAGTGACCCTCCGCTCCTGCCGCGGCACTGAGCCCCCTGTGTTCCCTCCGAGTGACCCTCCCCTCCTGCCGCGCGGCACTGAGCCCCCTGTGTTCCCTCCGAGTGACCCTCCGCTCCTGCCGCCACAGACGGAGGAAGACAAAAAGAACCACCAGCGCATGCAGGACCTGGTCGACTCGCTGCAGCAGAAGATCAAGACGTACAAGCGTCAGATCGAGGAGGCCGAGGAGATCGCCGCGCTCAATCTCGCCAAGTTCCGCAAGTCGCAGCAGGTCAGTGACGCGCGCGCTTGTAGCTGTAAGGAGAGATGAGCGGCGTCTGGTGGCTCCTAGAGGAACGGGCAGCGTTTACTAGCTCTGAGAGGATAGGCAGCGTCTGTCAACTCTGAGGGCGATTTGGGTACGTCTGCTAGCTCTCAAGGGACGCTCATAGTCTGTTGGTTCTGAGTCGGTCGCAGCGGGTCAGCCGAGGAGGCGTCTGACAGCGCTGCCGGGATGGAGCAGAGTCTTTTACTCTGAGTCTGATGGAGATCGAGAGCCCACGGCCGGGGACTGTCGGCGGCACCTGCCGGGGACTGTCGGCGGCACCTGCCGGGGACTGTCGGCGGCACCTACCGGGGACTGTCGGCGGCACCTGCCGGGGACTGTCGGCGGCACCTGCCGGGGACTGTCGGCGGCACCTGCCGCGGAGCGGTGGGAAGGGAGGCGCTGGGATGTGCTGGCAGACTGGCGGTCGGGCCTGGGGTCAGTGACCGGAGGTTCCCGGCCACCCTGTCGTGTCCCCCTCCTAAGGAGCGTTGTACCCCTGACCCCCCCCCCCCCTGTACTCGCCAGGAGCTGGAGGAGACCGAGGAGCGCTGCGAGATGGCCGAGGCCACGCTCTCCAAGTTCCGCGCGCGCGGCGGCCGGGGGATGTCGCCCATCCGCGGCCAGAGCCCGGTGGGTCAGCAGTGGTCACCGGACACCGTACAGCGGCGAATGGCTCCCATAGAGAGCGGAATGGATCCTATACAAAGTGGAATGGCTACCCCATGCAGATCGAAATGATCCCCAATTCAGAGTGGAATGATCCCCTTACAGGGTGGAATGGTCCCCGTACAGAGTGGAATGTTCCCCTAAAGAGTGGAATGGTTTCCGTACAGAGTGGACTGGTCCCCCTCCCCGTCCCTATTCCGATGAGTGGGCTGCGGGAGTAGAGTGCACCTCCCCCCGTCCCGCCCTGCCTGGAACCCCGCGGACTGCAGCTAGATGGACAGATGTACTCAGATTTCAGACGGTAGAGGCAGAGGGGAGCTGGAAAGAAGACTCAGAATGGAAACTATGTTCTGGCCTAGTGAAGGTTAAAAACCAGGGGCTGTCAGGTGGACATTGTGTTTAGGTCATGTGGCGGCTTGTTCAGGTCATATAACTGTCAAATAGTGACGGAATTCCTCGGGATCAGTGTCAGTAAGGGGAGCAAGAATTGGAACTGAGAACTTCGCGAGGGCGTAAGTAGCAGTGCCACAAGTTCTAAAAATGGGACGAAGAGGTAAGTTCGGTTTGTGGATCTTAGGTAGACCATATAGGATACCTGGCGACGACCCAGACGCATACAGTTCGTTGTACGTATGTTCGGTAATAGCACATGCTTTTTTCAACTTGCTGAGCAGCCTATTAACTTTAGGATCTTCTACACGTAATAACAGTTTGTGAAGTGGCTCATTCACAAGACAAAACTTAGTGCGATCTGACAGTATCTTTGTAATCTTTGCTAGATATTGAGCTTTATCTAAAATCACGACCCCCCTCCCCTTGTCAGGTCTAGTTACCACAATAGAAGAGTCAGATGCAAAATCCTTCAAAGTCTTGACATCATTTTTGGAAAATATTGGTGAAAACACTCTGGACGGACGAAACGTGTTGAAAAACTTGTAACTCACGGTACGAATCTGCTGCTTGACATCTTGAAAATCAAATCTTGAAGGGAGTGACAAAGACGATAACTTCTGGACGAGTGTCTCGAAATGAATGAAATAACCATGAAAGCTGATCTTCCACACAGGTAGCTTAAATTCTAAGCCTGGTCTACCTATGGTCTACCTAAGATCCACAAATCGAACTTACCTCTTCGTCCCATTTTCAGAGCTTGTGGCACTGCTACTTACGCCCTCGCGAAGTCCTTGGGATCAGTGTCATGCCAACCCCCAGTTTATGGCAGCATTGTCTTGGTGAAGCAGTGTGCGTTTGTGGTCCATTGAGCAGGTGTAGCCTCTGCTCCCCCAGCTGACCTGATCGCCGCCCCGTTCACAGATGCCCATGTAAACAGCAGACCGACTTCGCACGACCGCCGGTTCCCGCTGGTCCGGTAAGTGACGCGACACGTCACATTCAGCGTCACATGTCAGTGCAGCGTCACGCCACACGTCAGCTGACAGTGTAACGTCACTACAACACGTAATGGAAGACATTTAGGTACCGCCAGATGTGTGCGTGGACCAGCGAGCCTTCAGTGGCAGCGCGGGATGTCGTTTATTTGCCACCCCACCGTGTAAAATATAATTAGCCAACGAACGAACGCCATGACAAGGTCATAATCATTGGAGTAGGAACGACTGTCGACTGGGACATTGTGGGTGCATGGGTACAGAAATCCAGCCATAGCCTGTGAAGCGGGGGGGGGGGAGAGCGGTACCCGATATTAGAAAATGGAAAACGGTTTCAGGGGCGGGAGGCTCATCGCAAGCTTGCATGCAAGTGTACCATGTCGAAAAGGTGTCACACATGCATACATTGCTGTTGTGCCGCTAGTATCCGCGGCTAAGTTCGTTCCAGCTTCCGGATCCGCGATCTCGGTCCGCGATCTCACACAGCATTCTGAATAACGTAGTTCGGCTGTATTGGTGATCGGTGTCCGGCGGGGGCCGCTGCCCGACTGCTGCACGGCCGCACCGTGCCCGCGAGCTCCACGAGCTCAGCGCCACCAAGTCTACTGCACAAAGTTCAGAGGGCAGAGGGCTACGTTATAACAATTGCGTTTTGATGCATTGATAATGTCAATAATTCACGCAACTGTGAATTGTCTACCACTAAGAGTAAAAGCGGCGAGCTTAGCCATTTTTGAAGATATCGGGCCAAAACTTTTCACAATGGGTTATAGGTATGTGTTTATGTGTTCTATCACATGTCTTCCTTTTAACCTGACCACAAATTAACGTTAAAGACCATCAGTACAGTAGCAAATGTTTCGAAAGATGGGTAGTGTACAAAGTATCCTGAATTCGTCGTGCTGCATGGGAAGTAGTATCGATGAGAATAAATGTTTTTGTTTTAGATTATTGTGGGTGCAGAATATATTGGCTGCGCTCACTGGATAATAAGTGTGGATGTAACTGCACCATTGTCAAATTTCAAGTTGAAGAGCATGAAATGTTTTTCTCACATTGTACCTAAAGGGCGTACAATTTCCCGAAATTGTTAATCGAAAAGCACTGACAACCCCACGCAGAAGCCATAATTTTTTTAATTAATGTGACCATCCCACCTTTACATTAGTTTTGAGTTGAAATAGCCACATTGGGGTCCCTGAACTGCGAGTACCAGTTTGAGTACTCACAACATCGAGAAGTGTTTTGATTCGGAGATATTTAATTTAATAAAGTTGCAGTTTTCGGATTCTAAGGGCCTAATGCATTTGAATACCCCCTTAAAATTTGTGACGTCAGCGCAGGTCTAGCGATTCTTAAATCTAATGCTAAAAGAAAGCTGTTGCTGTGGCGGTATATACCTACTGCTTTGCGCGCAACGTCTGCCGCACTTTTAACCCGCGCACCGACGGGGGGGGCGGATATCCGCCCCACCCCCTAAGGTTTTTCGTAGATAGCGGGAAAACCGCGGTGCTACGCGCCGCGAAATTTGGCACGACTATTTTCTCATCAATTTTACACATGGTGTGCAAGTTTGAACCTCCCAACTTTTAAGGTCAGGTCACCAGGTCACTTTGAATGACCCAACCTCAAGTCACTTTTTTGCAACTTTTTCACCGTGCCAGAGCTACAGTAGATGTCGGAGGCCTTTGAAAGTCGCAGGATGTGATAAGGTCATTAGTAACTACAGTTTGTTTCTCTCGGAATTTTGATATCGATGGCCTAAGGTCAGGTCAATTTCACGACCTCCCCATTATAAGTCAATGGGGGAAAAATCAACTCCCTGTTTTTACTACTAAAACGGGTCGGAATGGCCACATAAACCATACATGACTTCATATACGATCAACCTTCACTACCTTGAGGTCTGTTTTGCTGTTGGGCAGCTGTAAGGTCATATGACGTCATCAAAGGTCACCAAAGTTTTTTGCCAATAACTCCGTACAGGAACCAGATACAGCCGCGCGGATGGTCTCATTGTGTTCAGCTCGTCAAGGCGCATCAAATGATATACATGATGACCTCGAGGTCATTTGACCTGAGGTCAACCTTTGACCTTGGCCTTTTGAGGTCAACATATATATCATTCGATGAGGATTGACTAGAGGATCACGATGATGCCCTTAGTTTGTTCCTATCTTGACTAGTTCGAAAGTTATTCGAGAAAAACTCTCCATATCTGGCGCCGCCACTTTAACTTTTTTGACCCCTGTGACGTCAGCTTTGACCTGACCTAAAAATTAGTTTTTTCATTGTAGACCTTGTCCGTGCGTATCCCATGCCGTTTACCGCTTGTCGCTATCTTGCTTCGTTCTCGAGATCTCAGGGGCGCGGTCATCCGCCTCCCCCTCCCGTCGGTTCTAATTTGGCGCAGACCCCGTCGGTGCGCTGGTTAAGATACCAAATTATTGCTTTAAAATGACGTCATTAGAACAGAATAGGCCCGAAAAAGTAAAGGTTTAATATCTCGTAACCCGGGTGAATATTTTCTCTGAAGTTCGGCAGATATTCATTTTTGCTCTTTCTGAGCCAAGGTACATCACTGTCATGCCATTTCATTGACTTTTTTGAAGGTGGGAGGGTCCCTTTAAGAAGGTGAATGGTGTTTCCCTAACCTGTCGTGCACTGCCCTGCACTCGCTGACCTGAGCTGTGTCTCTGGTGTCCTTTCAGACCTGTCGGCGGCCCCCAGCCGAGAGAACGGACGACCGGGAGACCGGCCGGCAGACGGACAGACGGACAGACGGACAGACGGACAGACAGACTGCGCGACACGTCACCGCCGGAGAGCCAGCCCCGGCGGCGGCGGCCCGGCGGGAACACAGGACGGCCGCCGCCGGCAGACGGACGGCCGCCGCCGGAAACACAGGACGGCCGCCGCCGGAAACACAGGACGGCCGCCGCCGGAAACACAGGACGGCCGCCGCCGGCAGACGGCCAGGCCGCCGCGCCCGGCTGCCGAGCCGGCTGCGCGGCCATCGGCGCCACCGACCCACTGTGTGACGGCACCGACCCACTGTACTGCGAGCCGCTAACGGAATACACGCTATCAGAGCTGTGCGACGCGTCTGAACCGGGGGGGGGGGTCTGTCAGTGCAGAACCGGGGGGGGGGGTCTGTCGGTGTGCCCGGGCGTTTCGGCGTAATGGCCGCGTTACGGCGTAACAATCTCTTGCCGAGAAACCGTGAGGGCCAGCGAGCTTTAGAACGGTTTCTAATGGAGCTCAGCTCGTGTAGAGGCGAGGCCGACGCTTTGGAAGGCCACATTATTGTTTGCATGGCTAACCCGCGCCCCGTAGGGGAGGCCGAAACGCCCCCCCCCCCCCCCTGTCCTTTTCCATCGATATCTCCTCAACGGCTGGAGATATCGCCACGAAAATCTCAGGACCCCTCCGGGCTTCAATTTTACACATTGTGACCAAAAATTTCCAGCTATGATAGGTTGGCCACAAATGACGTCAGAATGACGTCATGTTCTGCCATTTTCGACCGAAAAAAAGACCTTCGCGAGAAGAGCTGTCAGGCCTACAGCTTTGAAGATACAGAAAAATGATCAAGACATAAAAGGTGTAGAATTAACAGGACTACATAACTATTATCTGGGATTTTTTATTTTTTTAGTTTTGATCCCCAAAATCAATAAAGTATATTTTTGATATATTAGCAAAAAAATCCAAAAAGTTGTTTTGAGTTTCGAAAAACGGAATATTTGATAGGACCCACCGTCTTCTATCTACATACCAAATTTCAGATCAATATCTCGTTTTTTGGCCAAGTTATAGCGAAAAAACTGTTCAAAAATGATGTAAAATTTTTCAAACTCAATTTTTGGCAATGATGATGCAGTGATGCCGTAGATTGTTAGGCCTCCTCGGTCGAAGGGGAGTGGGGACAACCCTATGAGGCATGAGGGGTTTTCCGCGATTGCTAGGATCACGCTGGCCACGGAGAGCTGACAAATACCGTGCTTGGGTCTGGCGAGGACCTGGACTTCCCAAAAAGTCTCCTTTTTTAACCCTCGCCGGCCGAGGGGGGTGCCCCCCTCCATAAGTTTTTTCGCGATAGCTTCGAACATGCAGACGATAGAGACTTAAAACTTGAAGGACTGATTCAAGCCAGATCTTGTGATTGCAACCGCATTTTCAAGTCAGGTCATTTCACTGACCTATGACGTCATAAGTGAACCCCTGCACGGTCATCAGATGTCGCAAATTCGCAATGCCCTCAGTGCCAGAGCAGCTTTCACAGGGAGATGAAACATACAGGACCTAGTATCCTCCATAGGTCGCAAGACTTGCATATCTCCAATTTTCCCTAAAGGTCAGATGGGGTCAGGTCGGTCACGTGACCTCACCATTATAAGTCAACGGGTAAAAATCAAAACTGCTATTTTGGCGCCGGGAACGATCTCAAACTATCACAAGCACACGAAATCGTGATTTCATGCATACCTTGCGAGGTCCGATGCTTCACTATTGCATTGTTGGCCCTGCGTAACATCAATTATGACGTCACTAGGGTAATAAGCTTTTTTCGTCAATAACTCCCGAACAAACCAAACTCCCCCTCGCTGGCCGAGGGGGAGGAATACCGCCCCCCCCCCCCCATAGGGTTTTTCACGATAGCTCCGAACACGCTGGCGATAGAGAGCTGAAACTTAACATACTTGACCTTTGATTTAAGCCGGATGTTTTGACACCAACTGCATTTTCGGGTCAGGTCAGGTCACTGATCTATGACGTCATAAGTGAACCTCTGCACGGTCTTCAGATATCGCAACTTCGCAACGCCCTCACTGGATTCGGCCGACATCGCCCCTGGCGTCAGGCCAGCCACATACTACATGGACATAATACATGGCCAGAGGAGCTTTCACAGGGAAATGAAAGTTGCAGGATCCATTACAAATCTCACAATTTATTTATCTCAGATTTTTCCTACAGGTCATATGAGGTCAGGTAATTTTCGTGACCTCACCATTATAAGTCAATGGGGAAAAATGAGAACTGCTATTCTGGCGCCGGGAAAGATCACCAACTATCACAAGCACACAGAATCGTGATTTGCTGAGCTCCTTGCAAGGTTCGATGCGTCACTTTTGCAATGTTGACCTTGCGTGACGTCATTCATGACGTCATTAGGATCATATTAGTTTTCCGTTGATAACTCCCAATCAAATTGAGCTAGCGAGTTGGGAAAGCCACCAATGGACTCAGGAAAACCTGCCAAATCGAATGATATGTAACATGACCTCCTTCAACCAAGTTCGTGACCTGGGGGCGCTGACCTGACCGTGACCTGAGGTCAACACCCTAAGTTGACCTGACCCAAACAAAAGGTAGGTATATCCTTCGACGCGCCTGAGTAAGGAGAACACGATGCTGCCAAAATCGCGGCTCTGCGGCCATTTTTTCGGATACTTTTCTCCAAAAACGGAACCGTACCTTGGGGCACTTGACCTGACTTCAGAGGTCACCGGTTGACCTAGGATCTTAAAACCGGGCATCAATCTCTGCGTCTCGTAACGACACACGCTCGTTTTTTTCTGCGACGCGCTAGCTCCACCCAAGGGCGGCGCCACCGTGGGGGCAGTAGGGGCAGACTGCCCCCACTGGTAGGAGGCCGTGGGGGCAAGACTACGTTTTTGCCCCCACAAAATTTGGCTGATGTTGAAATGGGAACAGAAGACCGGTGCAACATTCATTATAGACGGTTATAATAGTACGCTTGTTTTTTTTACGGTCCTCGTATCAAGTGCGTCAGCAGAACGTTCGTTCTCGGACCGTCTGTCGCATATCTCCTACTCTCAATCATTCTCCTACACATTTTCATTCACCAGAAGGCTGCCCTCGAGCTTGATCTCGAGGAGGTTGAGAAGCAGTTTATCAAAAGTCGGCCAGAGAAGAGATCATCCTCTTTTGAGGACCCTTAGATTGAAACTGAGCTCAGGGAGGTATGACAAAATGTGATTACGGAGCGAGCGAAGCGAGCGTAGTCTTTCCTTAGATTAACGGAAATTTCTGAGTATGAGCGGCCGGCCGACCGTGGTCACGCTTTTGCGAGGCTTATATCCCAGCAACCACTTGACCGATTTACATGCGGTAATTTTTGTAGGGTAGCTTCATTCCTTCTACCAAGTATTGGACTATTCCCGATGCATGTGGGTGACCCCTTATGCACGTGCCACGTGCAAAACGAAGAGGTGTCACTTTTGCAATTGTTGCAATATCTCGGTAACTACTTGGCCGATTGCGCTGAAAGTTGGCATGTAGGTAGGCACCCACTATGCAATGCATATCCATGTGCCAGAGCTGAGGTGCTGCTGCACGTGCGCACGTGCAGGGGTCGATTCCAGATCTCGAGAACGGCTGGACCGATGGCGCTAAAATTTGGTACATGGTTAGGGACCGGTTAGTAGGGTGCCGTGCAAAAGTCAGTTGGGACCCATTTTGCACGTGCGCACGTGCAGGGTGCCGCCTCCAGATCTCGAGAACGGCTGGGCCGATTGTACTCAAATTTGGCACATCGCTAGAGACCGGTTAGTAGGGTGCCGTGCACAACTCAGTTGGAGGTACCCCCTCGCAATTTCGCACGTGCAAGGCTCACCCTCTCGCTCGCTCCGTTAGTCGCCCCAAAAGGCGTTATACTGGTAGGTATATACAGGGCGATTCATAGCCGTGTGACCGAAAATAAATGAAAACTACAGGAAATGCATTCGTGTTACATGCCATTGCCAAGTACCATATTAAACAGCCAAATTTGAAGTTTTGCTCCATGTATAGCATCAGTCACAAATACTTTTCCTTCGACTCTCACACTTCTTTTAGACAAGATGTTCAAAATGGCCACCTCGGCGACAGATGCACTCCAGCGCCAGAGCCTAAAGTTGGCGATGGCGCGGACGCACAACATTTCTAAGGAAATAGAACCAAAGTAGCTTCCAATGGCATCCTTCAGCCCCAGAATATCCTGGGGGCTCTGATCATAGACCTCGGACTTTACATAGCCCCAGAGGAAGAATTCCACGACGTTGAGCTCCGGCGAGTGTGGCGCCCACCTGACCTCAGCGCTCTTTGAAATCAATTTTCCGGGGTTCGCTTACCATTTTTTTTTTGTGCCGTGTTTATGACTGAGCCGTGCCCTCTGCTTTGAATTGATTAACGATTCTATAAATTGTTATCTTCTTTCGAGTTTCCCTTGGGTGCAAGCCCTCAGACGTGCAGAAACATCTTTGTGTTTGCTTGACGGACTGCGTTAACCCTCGCCGGCCGAGGGGGGGGGGGGGCGGGTGCCGCCCCATAGGGTTTTTTTCGCGATAGCTCCGAACACGCTGGCGACAGAGAGCTGAAACTTGGCATACCTGATCTTTGATCCAAGCCGCATCTTTTGACACCAACCGCATTTTTGGGTCAGGTCAGGTCACTGACCTATGACGTCATAAGTGAACCTCTGCACGGTCTTCAGATGTCGCAACTTCGCAACGCCCTCACTGCCAGAGGAGATGTCACAGGGAAATGAAACTTGCAGGATCTGGTATCCATTATGAGTCCCACAACTTGTATATCTCGGATTTTTCCTAAAGGTCATATGAGGTCAGGTCATTTTCGTGACCTCACCATTATAAGTCAATGGGGAAAAATGAAAACTGCTATTCTGGCGCCAGGAACGATCTCCAACTATCTCAAGCACACAGAATCGTGATTTTATGCACTCCTTGCAAGGTTAGATGCGTCACTTTTGCAATGTTGACCTTGCGTGACGTCATTTATGACGTCATCAAGGTCATATTAGTTTTTCGTCAATAACTCTTGATCAAATTGAGCTAGCGAGTCGGGAAAGCCACCAATGGACTCAGGAAGACCTGCCGAATCGAATGATATGCGACATGACCTCTTTCGACCAACTTCGTGACCTGGGGGTGCTGACCTGACCTTGACCTGAGGTCAACACCCCAAGTTGACCTGACCCGGACAAAAAGTATATCATTCGACGCGCCTGAGCGAGACGAACACGATGCTGCCAAAATCGGCGCTCTGCGGCCGTTTTTTGCGAAGTTATTCACCAAAAACTGAACCGTACCTTGGGGCACTTGACCTGACCTCAGAGGTCACCGGTTGACCTAGGACCTTAAAATCGGGTACCAATCTCTGCGTCTCGTAACGGCGCACACGCTCGTTTTTTTCGCGACGCGCTAGCTCCACCAGGGGCGAAACGGCGAGGGGGGGTCGTACCCGCCCCCCCCCCCTCGGCCGGCGCGTATGTAGAAAACCAATAGGTCCGGCGAGGGTTTTAACCTACACAAATTACACATTTTTACTTTTTGCTGCGCTGTGGACATCTTGAGTGATACACACAGACCAGACCAATATAGAACAAAACTTCATAAAATTTTCTACTAGCACGTGAAATTTCACGCGGAAATGTGCAACCCTCTTCTCAAGAGTGATCAACTAAATAGGTCACATGGCTATGAATCACCCTGTACATATATCCGGGTTATCTGGAATTGTATGTGGGTCGCCCTAATGGAGCTTATTCTGGTGTATCAATCGTGTGAGAGAATCGCACATATACGTTCTATTCAGACAGAGAAGCTGTTGTATATACGTTCTACGGGAAAAAGGAGAAATAGGTACTGACTATTGTTTTAAGGAATACACCATTTTACATCTCAACGAACAACATAAGATTTTTACAAGTTTGTGTCTCGCAATCTAGTTTTATAGTATTACTAGAGGTACAGGTTTACGCGATAACTGTATATTTTGATTTATGTTATGTTACGGGCGCATTAGTTTGGGTGATTGACTTGTATTTTAGCTGTATTATTTGGGTAGATTTGGGTAGCTGTTTTTAATTAAACAGGGATGGTGATACTTGCGGGGTGTTCAAGTGTTTTGTATGTTGGGCCTTTTTGAACTCAACCCTACCCCTACCCTAATCCTACCCTACCCTACCCCTACCCTACCCTACCATACCCTACCATACCCTACCCTACCCTACTACCCTACCCTACCCTACCCTACCCTACTACCCTACCCTACCCTACCCTACCCTACCCTACTACCCTACCCTACTCTACCCTACCCTACCCTACCCTACTACCCTACCCTACTCTACCCTACCCTACCCTACCCTACCCTACCCTACTCTACCCTACCCTACCCTACCCTACCCTACCCTATTCTATTACCCTACCCTACTCTACCCTACCCTACCCTACCCTACCCTACCATACCCTACCATATCCTACCCTACCATACCCTACCCTACTACCCTAACCTACCCTACCCTACCCTACCCTACCCTACCTAACTCTACCCTACCCTACCCTACTACCCTATCATATACCCTACCCTAACTTACCCTACCCTACCCTACCCTACCCTACCCTAGTCCCTACCCTACCCTACCCCTACCCTACTCTACCTTACCCTAAACTACTCTACCTTACCCTAAACTACCTACCCTACCCTACCCTACCCTACCCTACCCTACCCTACCCTACCCTACACTACCATACCATACCATACCATACCCTACCCTACACTACCCCTACACTACCCTACCCTACCCTACCCCTACCCCTACCCCTACCCCTACCCTACCCTACCCTACCCTACCCTACCCTACCCAACCCAACCCTACACTACACTACCACCGACAGTCCAAGTTTCAGCTAAATCGGCCCAGAAACGGCTGAGATATTGCAAAAACAAATTAATTGTATTTACTGGCGAATCCTCTTTGCCAGCGGTGCCTTGTGTCGGCCTTCGTTGTCAAAGGTCAATGACCTGCCGGTATTTCCACTCAGTTTCTTAAGCGAACAACTGAGCCTAAAGCACGTGCCCTCTGCTCGGTGCCGGTCGCGATTCTAATGCTAACCCCATGGCGCACATGAGCACGCGCCACGGGCGCACCCCCGGCCGCATCGTGCCCAAAATTTAATACGACCTGTTGAATTACGTGACCCACGAGTGGCAAAAATTTCACCCTCCTGCGTCAATCGACGGCGCCGCAATAGCCATTTTTGGGCGTCACGCCGACAGCGTAACCCCGACGGCGGACTTTTTAAGATTTATAATAGTAGACTAGAGGTACAGGTTTACGCGATAACTGTATGTTTTGATATGTGTGATTAACGGATGCATTAGTTTGGGTGTAAAAACTTGCATTTTTATTGGTATTAGGTATTTGTGAAGAACTGGGTAACTGCTTTTAATTGATCTGTAAAGTATGATGGTGATGCATGCGAGTTGTTCGAGCCCTTTGTAAGTTAGGATGTTACTCAATTCAAACCTACCCTACCCTACCCTACCCTACCCTACCCTACCCTACCCCTACACTACCCTACCCTACCCTACCCTACCCTACCCTACCCTTACACTACCCTACCCTACCCTACCCTACCCTACCCTACCCTACCCATACACTACCCTAACCTACCCTACCCCTACCCCTACCCCTACACTTCCCTACCCTACCCTGCCCTACCCCTACCCTACCCTACCCTACCCTACCCTACCCTACCCTACCTTACCCCTACCCTACCCTTCCCTACCCTACCCTTACACTACCCTACCCTACCCTATCTCTATACACTACCCTACCCTACCCTACCCTACCCTACCCTACCCTACCCCACCCTTACACTACCCTACCCTACCCTATCTCTATACACTACCCTACCCTACCCTACCCCTACCCATGCCCTACCCTATCCTACCCTACCCTACCCAACCCCTACACTACCCTACCCACCCTACCCTACCCTACCCAACCCTTTCACTACCCTACCCTACCCTTACACCACACTACCCTACCCTACCCTACCCTACCCTACCCTACCCTACCCCTACCCTACCCCGACCCTACCCTACCCTACCCCTACACTACCCTACCCTACCCTACACTACCACCGACAGTCCAAGTTTCAGCTAAATCGGCCCAGAAACGGCTGAGATAGTGCAAAAACAAATTAATTGTATTTACTGGCGAATCCCCTTGGCGAGCGGTGCCCTGTGTCGGCCTTCGTTGTCAAAGGTCAACGACCTGCCGGCTCTGATGCTTTTCACTCAGTTTTTTAAGCGAACAACTGAGCCTAAAGCACGTGCCCTCTGCTCGGCGCCGGTCGCGATTCTAATGCTAACCCTATGGCGCACATGAGCACGCGCCACGGGTGCACCCCTGGCCGCATCGTGCCCAAAATTTAATACGACCTGTTGAATTACGTGACCCACGAGTCGTGAAAATTTCACCCTCGTGCGTCAATCGACGGCGCCGCAATAAGCGTTTTTGGGAGTAACACCGACTGCGTAACCCCGACGGCGGCGGCGGCGGACTTTTTAAGATTTATAATAGTAGATTTGCTCGCGACCCTCGCATGTGTGCCAGCTTCTAATGTGTAGGGGGGGTGGGTCGGTTGGACCCCCCTTGCCGTTTGGCCCCTGATCGAGCTAGAGCTTCGCGAAAAAAAAACGAGCGTGTTGCCCGTGACGAGAGGAACCCGATGATACCCAATTTTAAGGTCCTAGGTCATTGGTTGACCTTCCAGGTCAGGTCAATGACCCAAAGTCGGGAAAATAGGGACCTGTTAGAAAGTCGTAAAGTGTGGCTGCTAAGAGTTTTTTCGGGGTGCTGCTCACGAATATCGTGTTAGTTTTGATCACAGATGATGTCTTTAAGCATTTAGACCAGGTCGGGTCAGGTCAGGTCAGGTCAACCTGTAGGCGTCGTGACGGGTATTCGTAGTACGTGTCAACCGCCTCTGACAGCTTCGTAACATGTTACGAAGTCACCAAAACTACTTCGTAAATGTTCAAATGGTTGCTAAATTCGAATTCAGCTCCAAAAACTAGCCTAGAAACATGTAAAACTCGAAAAAGTGAGCCGAGGTCACCAGAGGTCACCAAAGGTCAATGACCTGACCTGACCTTCAGGTGACCTTGACACCCACCCTAATGCATGGGAGCAGCATCAAATCACATGTTTGAACGTTTGAAACCACGAAAAGCTTGCAAACGCGCGGCTAATGCGAGCCGACATACGCGGAATCGCGATTCCGGCCAAACATGGTCTCGGAAAAAACGTCACAGGTCAAAGGTCATTGTGGTCAGGGTCATGAAATTTTCAGGGTAGGTGTAAAATTGATCAATGCGAGGGTACTGAAAGTTTCGTCGCGATCGGCCGCTTTTTACGCGAGTTATTCGCGAAAAAACATGGGGGGGTCCATCCGACCCCCCCCCCCCCCTCCTACACATGCGAGGGTTAACCCGGCCGGGCTCGGGGGTAATCCCAACCACCGCAGCCCGGAAGTAGCCCCCCTCCCCCACCTGTTTATCTCCTTAAATAAGGCAGCTACGGAAACAAAAAGTGAACCGAGGTCAACAAAGGTCAATGAGACATTAACCCGCGCCCTGCTGGGGGGGTGTTTGAACACCCCCTTGTGGTTTTTCGCGAATATCTCAAAAACGGCGGCGCGGAGCGCCGCCATTTTTGGTACACCTTATTATACATCAATTCTACACATGTTGTGAAAATTTCAGACCAAGGTCATTCAAGGTCAGGTCACCAGGTCACTTGAAGTGACCTAACCTCATAAAAAAATAAATCAATGTCTGTCATAACTACACCGAGTGACCGATCGCTTTGAAACTTTCAGCGATTGCTAAGAGCAATAGCATGTACAAAATGCATATCTCAGAATTTTGGTATCGATGACCTAAGGTCAGGTCAATTTTGCGACCTCCCCATTATAAGTCAATGGGAGAAAATTGAAATGCGCCTCTTTTGGACGAAAGACATTATAAACACTCCCAAACACTGAATTACAAGTGGTTTAGACACACTGAACATGAAAATGGTGTCCGTGACCGGGGGCGGATCCAGGAAAACTCCAAGGGGAGGGTCATGAATCGAAGTGGTGCCCCTACCCAAAATTAAAAACTCAACGGATTTCGTCCACTTCATTTTGGTGGTGCCCCCATTTTCAGTTTTTTCCTTCTTTTTCTTTTTTATTTTAGTCAGTATCTTGACTCTTAGCCACAACCACATTTACCAATTGTAAGCAAGTATATATGAATGTGCTATGTGTATATGTTGTGGACGCTGAGTAGTGAGTACTTACCAGGAACGTTATCAGGTAAGCAAATCGTTGTCAGTCCGACGAACTTGACCCTGGCGTCTAAAGGGTCTGTCCTTTACACTTCAGGCTTGTCAGGGGCACCAAAGCCCTTCCAGGGACACCACAAACCTGTCAGGGGCACCTACGGCCTTGTAGGGGCGCCACAGGCCCGCCAGGGGCACCACAGGCCTGCCAGGAAGCAGGGGCACCACAGGTCTA